GTGCTTGTAACAATCCCTGCAGTGTTTTGTCAGCTGGGAGTTTGATTCAAGTTTGAAAACCAAGACTATCGATCGGACAAATCCAATGTCAGCAAAACTGCTGTACAGTTTGGCAGTCAATTGATTGACCAAAATTGTAAGCAACAAAACAACTTTTATTTGCAAAAGAAAAAGGAAAACGCAGTTTGTTCTTGAATCAAAATATTAGTTTCAAAACTGTATGGTGAAAAACAGTCTTGGGATATGCAATTATTTACAAGAAACTATAGGTTTCAAAACCAAAGCAATTAAATTACACGACTGGGAAGTTGCTGACAATGAAAGTGGTCATTTCCACAAAGTGAGGTTTGTTGTCCGATGGAACCCATACGATATTATTCACCTTTAAGAAATCAAACGCCGTGTATTGTGTAGAACGAGGTCGAGAAACAGAGTTAGGATTAGCGTTATGCAGCCAATAAAAATCATTGATTATAGTCTACATACCTTATTGATGAGATGGTTCAAACGTCAAAACAAATCGAGTCAACTTCTCAACACTCGCAATAGTATCGTTTTGTGACAACACTTGACCATCTGTTCCGTGGTAGCTTTGGTGTGTAAAACAGGCAAAACGATCAGGAGGTACAACAAAATACAGTTCTGGTTTTGACGGATCACCAAGTATTTCCAAAACATCACAAAGTTCAGTCTGTTTGCAAGGATGATCTTTGGCACCGGTCATTTGGAAAAGTAGATTTGGCTTGATGAACGAATCAACAGATTCAAAAATATTGCTAATGGGACGGAAATAGCAATTCGTTGCGTCTTGAACTTGAGAATTGTTGGAGAATAACAAAGTACTAAGATCCATCGGCAGTTGAAGTGTAGACTCCAGCTTGGTACGTAAATCACGAATCTTGAATGAGCCACCTTTAGCGATGACTGTATGAGCGTGCTTTTCAAATAATTCCCTATTAAGTTGACCAGTTTCACCAATTTCTCGAGTAACAGAAACGAATCTGATAAGATGATCTCGGTCTCTGGCATAGACACGGTTGTAAATTTCATCAACCACATAGTCAAAAGCAAACTGATAAGGACCACTGTGAAAGCCATCCTTGACTGATATATGAATCAAACAACTTGAAGCGTCTAGGTTTTCACCATATTTACCAAAAGACTTGACAACTGAATCGATATTGGAAATATTTAAAGCTTTGTCGAGAAAATTCTGTTTTTCTTTTACCAATGCATATTTAAGAACATAACGAGCAATTCCTCCCCACTTCAAATACAGACTTTCAACCAATTCTTGTGGGACTGTAGGAAACAGCATTGAGCGACAGGAATGCAATTCTTCTTTTGACCACACTGGCATATACCGAATGTTGCAGGACCCCTTGCAAAACCGATGCCAAATTTCCCAACGAGGTAAAGTAACAAGAATGGTCTTGGCATCAACATCAACAGGTGCTGAGCCATCAACAATGTAGAATGTTGACGAGGAATCCAAGATTTTCCAAAAAGCATGCTTTCCTCCTTCGAGTACACCATTGGGAGTAAGCAGATATCTTTTTTGATCGGCTCCACTCTCATACACGACTGTAGCACCAGAGCGAGCAAGATGCAACAGCAAAAAGTAACCAAAATATGTCTTGCCAATTCCAAGATTTCCAAGGATGATCAAATGACATATATCAGCAGATTGCACAATAGATAGTGATTTTTCAAGAAGTTTAGGATAACAAGGACGGATGTAAATGGATGATCCAATTGAATGGTTTCCAAGGATGAATACGTCTGCTGGAAGTTGGACAACAGTGTTTCCTTCAAGAGGGTTAGGGTAGTTTGTGAAAGCAGTCCAAAAATCCAGTAGTGCGGGTGAGGCTGCAGCAGATGTTGGACCTAGGTCAGTTTGAGTAGGCTGTCTTGGAGGTAGATGTAAACAACCAATAACAATGCAAGAACCATCTTGAGTAAAGTATTATTGAGGAAGAGAGTCGAGTAAAGCCCAGGTGTTGATTAGTTGGTCTTTGTTGCTGTTGGTGTATAGTTGGAGTTGAGGAGCATCGATGTCAGCCATAGCAGGACCATACTCAGACTTGATAGCATCCTGAACTTCACCAAGTCTACTGATTCCAGTCACATCAATTTCAGTAGAAATAGTGTCGTATTCAACATTGAGGAATCGTTTTGGTATTTTATGAAAAAGAAAAAGAGTAAAAAAGCAATTTATTTGTCAAATTGTAAAACAAAAATCGACTTTTTAATCGAGTCAAAATAACAAAATTTTGGGATATTTCAAGACAATTCACACGATTTAAATATTTGGAAATTAGTCAAATTTACACCAGAATTAATGTCTCATTAATGTGAGACATTACTAGTGTGAGAGTGTTGACTTGCATTGTGTGAGACATTAGTAGTGTGTGAATGTGAGACATTTCTGAATAGTTTAACAATCAAAAACCAACAACAATGACGTTTGAACTGGAATTCACATGACTTTCTTGGTTTCCATTTTATAAACACACTCACTCACTTGTTAATAAATGACGTAATCGAATATTGATTCATTCCATCACATCTTCAATCAACTGCAACACACTTGCCAATAATGACAACCATCAATATGCCATCATATGTTCACGATCCTCAAATTCAAAAGTCAATTTGAAACCCCATTTTTAAGCATCTACAAGTCTGCAATATCAGATTTGTGGCTGGTACATAATAGGTTGCCAATAAAAGTCGACAAAGTGAGCAACTGCAATGTGCCTTGCTGTATGATAGTAACATATCAGAAATTATGAATGCTTTCAAAATCAAAAGTCTACAAATGATGTCACTGCTGGCTTGTAGCCTCTGTTTACAAACCTACAATCAACACATTCACTGGATTCGTATAATGGTAAATGCTGAACCACAAACCGCTGGTGATATTATTATGGATGATGCTCATATTATTGGAAATCAAACGATTGGTGCAGTTTCAGATGCTGTTTCATCACACAGAAAGTCTTGCTACAGAGTCTGAATACAATAGCAGTGAATCTGCAGTTTGACCAACACAGTCAATAATTATCGTTTCAAACTCGAATCAAGTGATGATGTTGCTGTTTCAGATGCACTCAATGTCATCAATGCAGTAACATTGAAACCAACTCAAATCATTGATCATGAACCAATTTACCGTGTCTTGATAAAAACACTGATAAACCATTATTCATACATGAGCTTGTCAAAAGTATGGACCGATTGCTGAACAGATGTTTAAAGTGGAGCTCAAAACAGTGCAATTCAATGTGCAGCTTTCCAACGACTTTTCCGCTACAAAAAATACAGTCTTGGAACTCAAAGTGTACATCAACAATACTTGTGTGTATTGACCATCAATGATGTTGTTGGTGTAGCATACACAATGTGCATTGCAGAAACGCTTGTTTGTTTGCTGGAGCTATTTCAAGCAAGCAAAAATACTAAAAGGTTCAGTTTGATGAATGTCTGGTGTATATTTACAATGCATTCAAACTCGAGAGATTGTCGTACTTTGCATACAAGACATACTACAATATATTACAACAATATCGTGTATTTCAATATACACCCATTCGATTTACAACAGTGGAATAAACATCATCACATTTGAACAATGGTTCAGTCGTACAAAGTCCAATAACAGCCATGAATTGTATCAGACATGAACATACTGGTGCAAAATTCACATCAAATAACACACCGCAACAAACATGTTTCTGGTAGATGATGGAATTGATGTCATTGATTTTCAAGTACACGATATTGGTGTTGAATGATTCAATAAACTATACTCGTCGACTTTGTGTACTTTTTTCAGTTGCATCGTTTCTGATTCCAAGTTTGAAGCATAATAGTTGCGACAGCGCTGTTGTCCAATTTGCTTGTTTTGTGAATAGTAATCATGATACCACTTGTTTGACGCTTTCTGTTGTTGAACTGGATATGTATGTCAAATTTGGATGTCAAATTTTGATGCATTGCAAGTAATTGTTGTAGTTTTTGATTGAGTCAATGAATGGCATTTATAGTTGCTCTAGAAAACAAGTTGTTTGAAATGTCCTGTCATATGTCATATGTTTTGTTGTTTTCATATTCACTAATTGTTGATAATGCATCCAATTGATTTCTGTTTTGACACTGCTTATTTGTCATTGTTGGATATGGGTTTCTAGATTCAGTAACAGACGTTTCAGCAATTTGGATGTGTTCAAATTCATAATACTTGCAAGTCTGAATTATTTGATCATCATCTGAAATTGGATACGAGTAATCATTTCCACTAACCACAGTATACATAGTATACACAGCATTACTGTATATTGACTTGTATTTTACTCAAAGGTTTGTCCATTCAGTATTCCAACACAATTTCCAACATGGATTGAATGGTTTGCAGTGTTTGTTTTAATTGAACCACTTGATGGATCACTTTCATATCTTGATTCAGTAATATCACCAACTGCACAATGATGGATGTGATTGTAGTCAAACACAATATATTGCAAGGCATTAACGTATTGGTTAGTTTTAGTATATTCTTGATAAAAGGCAACGATGTTTTGTAATGGGGTGTTAAATCATTCAATCAAACATTGTCTGTTGTGATTTCCAACAGTGACAGTGACATGACAAACACCTTTTGCTTGTGACAGACTTTGAACAAGTGTATTGTTCCGTTTGCTGTACAATACACGACATGGTCAGTTGGTGGTATCATGCAACCATACAACTGACAAGTGATTGCAAGTGCGATTGATAGTTACAATCAACACTGGTTGTTATCAGGTCATTGATGTATATGGAACAAACCGTGTCAATGTATCAATCAACAATCCAGTAACTGTCGATGTAATACCCAACACAGTATGTAATCAATGATATGGTTGTTGATCCATTCACAATACTCGACAAACACCAATACATCAGAAAGCTTAAATTTATTCAAAATTGAATTCATCGACAAATCATCAATCCAAATCTTAATTCGGTTCTTCAAATCTCAAACCATGCCTTTTCATAAACCTTTTCAATTGATCCCTCAACTCCCACACTCTTTTTCCTGCCTTTCTACACTCTTGTTTCAATTGATTTTCAGTGTTTGGATTGTACGTTGATCCAGATATTTCTTCTCCCCTTTCTAACGCTGACCATTGTTCGAATCTGAGGGCTGCATAATCACAATATTCTTTGAGTTTTTTCTTTCGTAATTCTTTAGACACTGCAAGTTTTTGCTTTAGACCATCAAAGGTTCTCTGGTATCTTGGGCTTAATTCAGCTACTTGATTTGAAACAGTATTAGCAGACTCGCCTTCGTTTATTGGTTGTTGCTGGTCTTGGCTGGAAGTACTTGGAATGGGTTGATCAATCGGTTGTTTTCGATCTCGCTTTGGAGCACTTGGACTGGGTTCATTAGTTGAGCCAGACGCTTGGCTAAAAATGCTTGGCCTGATTTCATTGATTGGCCGTTTCCGACTTCGTTTGGAAGTGCTTGAACTAGGCTGACTCATTGGCTGTTGCTGACTTTGTTTGGAAGCGTTTGGATCAACTTCATCAATTGGTCGTTGCTGGTTTTGTCTGGAAATCAGTAAATCAATCACATCCATTATGCGCTTTCGACCTTGTTTGAAAGTACTTGGACCAGTTATAGTTGCAGTCGGTCGTTGACCTTGAGTGGGAGTGTTTAGACCGGGTTGATCCATTATCCCTTGCCGGATTCGGCCGGAAAGACTCAAATTCATTGGATATTCCTGGTATTCATCTGAAGTGCCTGAATTAGGTTCACTGGTTGGGCTGGACACTTGACTAGAAGTGACTGATGCTTTGGGTGAGCCATCGTTATCAGTCGGTATCAGTATTGCATTGGCGGTTGCTGCTACAGTCAGTACAAACAAAATATCAACCAATTTCATCAGATTGGTCAATGGGCTCAAACTATTAATACAAAAGTAGAGTGTCGAGACTGATGTCGATTATAAAACTGGACACACTCGATTGTATTTGTATTTTTGTATAGCAAACCAACCCTTTTAGGTTAACCAATATACAGGGTTATTTGATTGCTTGTAGTGGTTTATTATAAAATTAGATAGTATGCTGCTCCCTGTCCATAATATCATATTGATCAATTTGATGATCATGTCGATTGAATTATGCTTTTACGACCCTTTGATCAGGTATATTGAAAAGCACACCCTTCATGAGTGTTGTGTGGCCGCAAGTGCTTTGTTTTACAACCATATTCATGTAAAATGGATCACTCCAGTATTCATCATGCAGTGATTGTATTCTGCATTGCAATATACAATGATTACTACACATTGACTACTTGTTTGATATACAACAACCATCATATGACACACAATCATACTATAGTGTTGAATCTACACTTTGTGCACTCTTGGTAGTCATACATTGTATGGTCACCAAGTTTGAACTCACATTCATGTATTGTGTTGGACTGGTCTGTTGCCAATACAACTCTGTACACACATTTGTTGTATTCTGAATCACGGATACAATTGCAATCTAGTTCAACAACAATCATGACACATGTCAGTAATGCAACTGTTGTTTGCATGCCAATACTGTTATTTAGTGGTCCATTTACATCAATATGGCTGCAAGTTGTTGTTATATCACGTATTCTGGACATGGTTTTGATATTGCACATCCAGTTCCATCACATTGTTGTTGACTCATCATTGTAATACTGTATGTCACCATAACCATACACATGGGCATGATCGTGTGGTTTCACGTATAATATTACAACCACGCATGTCGTTGGTTGAATCATCACTACTAGTGTATACTACACTACACTACATGTATGTTGACATGTGTTGTACCAATTTGATTGCATTGCTACAATGTGGCATGCTCCAACCTGTTTGAATGACTGTTGTGCAACATATTGATATTGACCACATGTGATACTGGCCACCAACAAAGTGATCAGCGGTATTCGATCGTATCATTCAATCACTGACTGCCAATACTTCAATTATGAATATTATCCACCATTTCATGACACCATCTGATACATTCAGTGCACAGTAGTTGATTGGTGCAATATGATCAATTCAAGCATACTATTACATTGGAAATGGTGGTGACAATGCAAGGTGTTTATTGAACAAACATGACTGAATGCTTACATTACAAATGCAAATTGACAGTATAAATCATATATACACACTGCAGTACAGCATATTCTAAACGAGGTTGTTGATAGCGTGATTCCAGTTTTACAATGAAATTGTATTATCAAGCAGTCTAGTGTCCAAACATTGATTTACTACACTTTTAGTTATGGTGGTTTGCGTAGAAATGTTCAAGTATGCCTTCTATATCCAATGAACCTCATCATCTGTCGTTTGAATCTATTAAACTTTGAACGTAATGAAGGAAGTTGAATATCATATTCTTGCAGTACACTAGATTCACTTGAATATCTAGCAATTTTAGTCGTTGGTACAAAGTGTACTTTAGCTTCCCTTGAACCAGCATCGTGACTTGACTTTTGCTGATGTTTTTTAGAATGATCGTGTTTTGAGCCGTGGGGTTTAAAAGTGGATCCGGGTTTCAAGATGGATTTTAATTCTGGAGTAGGTTCAGATACAACTCTGATTGACTCTTCTTTGAGAGGTTCAAGAGTCAACTTGCGACACACCCATAATCTTCCTGCTGCAAATCTTTCAAACTTTTTTTTATCAGATGAGCTCATTCTACGCTCCTTTTGTTTAGTTTCTAGTATTTTTTCCTTTGCCTTGGTGCTCATCTTGTGCGGATATCCGTCTCCAACATCAGTTGGAATTTCCATACCCATATTCATCATTATTTTTTCGACTCTATCCAGCCTTTGCTGATGTGTGAGAATGGGCCGTTTGTTCTCTGGGATATATTTTTTAGGGAGATGGCAGACGTCGTCGTATAGTGTGTTGTCAAATATATCATCGTCTGACTGTTTGGACTGAGAGGATGACGATGATTCATTGGACTGATCAACAGAGCTGTCTGAATCATCGGGATCTATAGTCGATTGAGCTACATCATGATTGGTTCCAGTTGATTGTTGCTCTGTTCCAGTTGAAGCGCAAATACCAGCGTGTTGCTGCATGTGTGTTGAACATTCTTTTACAGGTTCTGATTCGCTGGCAGACGGACGATCAATGACTACCGCACTGACTGTCACCGACAACAGCAACAACACAATAGTCGATATGAATTTCATCCTGTCGATTAGTAGGACAATTCTTGGTAATGAATGGGTCGGTTGTGGATATGAACCATACCTTCATAGCGATTAAATATATGATCAAAACATAAGGGTTATATGAGCTCACGCAGCAACAGCTTGACCGCCATTTAGGTATATGTAGCACAGATACTCATTTGTAGACTGTTTTATGCACAACTCTTCAGCCATTGAATGAAACAGGACTCATAGTCAAGGACTGGTGACCCTGACCCATATACTAAAGAATATGTCAAGATCGATTGGTATAATCAGTCAGTTTCAAGTTACGGTCAGTATAGGGTAACGGTTTATCCACGCAACAGCTGGTCAAATATTAGTGGTAAAATCCTTCAAACGACTCTGCCTCAACACTTGATCTAGTGATATGACACTGTGTTGCAGTCCTGTTCAATGCAGTATGGATTGATGGTCATATCAGCAGTATCAATACTTTATGCCAACTGTAATACTTTCAATACGCCAACTCAAAGTATTGCCAATGATTAGAAAAGCTTCAACATAACTCTTGAACTGTCAATTGTCATGCTATCAATAGTATGAACATCCGACTCAATACTGTACATGACTGGTTGTCAAGAGTCTTGCAGTATTTACTTGGCAAACTGGATTCATATTTCGATTATACAAACATGATATCAAACACATGTCTACTTTGGAACAAGACGTTGAGTTGAATGTCCAGCAATATACAAAAATATACAAAAACAGCACGAATTGAATGTCAAAACTCGATTACTAACAATTTCAAATCTACACAAACGAATACGACAACTTGCAGTCTAGTCATGTAAACGGAATACTAAATAACAGTGTCAGTGTGTAATAAACAGTCAGTGTCATGGACTGATTGATAATACAGTGGTGTTGTTGGTGGTGATTGGCATGCAAACAACAGTTGCATTACTGACATGTGTCATGATTGTTGTTGAACTAGATTGCAATCGTATCCGTGATTCAGAATACAACAAATGTGTGTACAGAGTTGTATTGACAACATTGACAGTCAAACACAATACATGAATGTGGGTTCAAACTTGGTGACCATACAATGTATGACTACCAAATGTGTCGAGTATCCATGCAGAATACTAAATGGTAATATGTGATGATCCAAGGGACTCGTATCACCAATGTTTATGTGCCATAATTCCACTATTTGACTTGGTAAACAATATGAATTACACCTATTGATCAATTTACTTTTCTGATTGCTCATCATACATTCTACTTGTTCGTGTCACCAAGATACAAACAATCAATTACTACAAGACTGACTATAACTCATATTTATTAATAAATGACTCTTCCAACCATTTCAACATATTATTGTTTTATTACATCTTTTCATTATCATTGAAAAAACCAAGTTTGCTGATCCTGAATTATTGTGCAACACCCATTACACTTTTGATTTGTTATTTTCTGTCAACTACTAACAGTTACAGATCATACACACACACCTCCATTTAAATTAATATAAATCAGATTACACAAAACTCCAACAGAGTTGTTGGTTGTTGATGGGCAAGTTGGATATGAAGTTGTTTTCAATCAATCCGTTGACAATCATGATAGCATACTTTGATTTGTATGTACGCAATACTGCTGTCATCTTGTGTATGATGTTTTCTATTTCTACAAACACATTCCATTTCCAGCTGTTTTTTGTATACATTTGATATTGTGTAACAATGAGGGTGTAAAATGTAGTACAGAAATAGACGACTAAATTATATTTATTCCAACGGATTTAGCACTCTTGTTCAAGTAAAACAGTATCATCCGATGCTCACTATACACTACTTGTACGTTGAATCATGCCAATCACTTGCTATTTTAACAAGCATGAAATATCACGGCACATATTGATGACCAACTAATAGCCGAGTGTCAACTCATTCCAGTTTTGGTTTATACTCATTTCTTGACCCTAACCCTTGACCATAACCCTTTTCAGAGTGAAGCTTTATAATCAACCATATGATATTCGAATGTATGGTCAGATATCGGCTCAGCCAAGGTTACAGGTCAACATATAAAGGGAGACTCTTCAAAGTTTGGCATTGACAACAAATCAACACCAACCCTGATAACAACACTAGCCCTTAAAACGACCATTCAAGGAGTATGCTTTTAATATCATTTATTCAATAATGGATATAAATACAGTTCAAAAACCGACTTGTTGAATGACATTACAACTTGCTCAACCAAACCAGTAGAATGAAACTCGCAGTTGCTGTATTGTCATCAATCCTTGCTGTCTGCTCGGTCACAGTTGCCAATCCAGTTGATCCCAGTGAAAGTATAGATGATGAAGATGGCATTTCAACATTCATTCCCAGTGCAACTACAAGTACTGAAGATAACACTTTTACCGTCATTCCCACTGTATTTAAAGGTGTCGAATATAATTTTTGGATAGATGCTAATCCAGACGGTATAGGCTTGGGTGCTCTTGATGATCCAATTCCAGGTAACGTCAAGCATTTACTCGACAAATACGCAGAGATACAGGATGGTCGTAATCAGCAAAGCAAGATATATTGGCCGTTAAAATCTCGATGACAGTCAATATGACGTGCTAATGGGCGTGAAAAAAGATCTTAAAGTTCTGGAATATCTATCTCAAGACGATGACAGCCTAAAATATTATATTGAAATTCGGAAGACTAAGCTTGATCATGAAAAACAACTATCCAAACTTGACAAAATTCGAAAAAGTTTTTATGAGTGCCAGTCCGAGATTGGTCGTCTTACAGAAAAAAAATGGGAGACCGATCAACATATTGTGAGTCTCGTTTTCGGAACCCCTCTGGATCTTGCAGAAGTTCCCCACCAAACTTTTCTTATTAGAGGAACGCATTCCGTTAAAGATTACATTGAACAACAATTATTAAAATACAAGGATCTTGATCGAAACCCTAGTGATCAAGAATATCAGAATCCTATTGATCAAGAATACCAGAATCCTAGTGATCAACAATGTCAAGACTCGCAATCGTCATTGGATACACTATCTGGATCTGGATCCTTTGAACAGAAAGTGCCCTCCAAAAAACGGAAAGGTTTTTCCAAGCTTATGAGTAGATTGGGATCATTTTTTCAGCAATCCAAACGTGACGATCCATCCAATTGATTTGATTGATTTGAATGTTAATCTGGACTGATTTCAACCAATTCAATTGTATTTCTGGTTTAATTTACAATAAAATTGTATGTGCATGCATTATATCTGATCATTGTACACAGTCTTGATTGGCATGATATCATATTGTACATTGACACTTGTATTTCCAATACGATACAATACAGTTGATTGTATATTGCATAGTTGTACACATTGATGATGCTGACATGCATTGTGTATCGTGTCGATATGATATTGCTTGACATGTCGTATTGACACATGCAACACCAATACCAACAATAGTCATGTGTGTTGATATCAGATCTGACCAATTTGACTGGTTTGACTCGTTGATTGTGGTGTCAAAATGGTTGCATCAATAGCCTGACTGATCACACACATCAGTCGCAGTATCAACTCTGTCGTGTGTCAAGTACCATATGTTGATGTATGCAGTGATCGTATACTGGTCGATTGGTGCAATATGATCACACATACTAATGGAGTGTGATAATCATGGTATTTGCAGCAGTATACCATATTCCAACTGTTGATATCGCGCATCCAGTATCGACATGATCATCCAGATATACAGTGATGGATTCAAGCAATGCATACCATGATTGAGCTATGTGATCATGATGTGTATTCAATCAATACCATGTATTGCCAATGCAATAGTATGCGTGATCATCGTGTATTAAACAACTACGATACACACTCAACTGATCCAATACATGCACGGCTTGAACATATCACACAATCAAGCATGAACACACCACATTAAATATACATATAGTATCAGTTTGTCACTAATGAATTGTATTCAGTCGAGTTTATTGAGAGTCTGTTTGTAACTCTTGACAGTGTGGTGAGTGTTTTCAGGTACAGCTACTTGATCAGTTGTAGTTATTGGTTTTCTTCTGCGAATAAATGTGCCATCTGAACCTGAAGTAGTTGGTTGTTCAGGCAATCTAACACTATGCACCAAATTCATGATCAATATCAATTGACACATACACACACCAATATTAAACAACTTACTGTGGTAATGGCCATAGTACTTGATAACCGTTCGAAATAGTAGGATATCCATCAGCCATGACTTCGCATCCACATCCAGGACCAAATCCAGTGCGTTTATTCTGTAAATCAAATGTGACTGCAAGATGAGTCATGAGTGGTATACCAAGAGCTGCATAATCATTTGAACCAGCTGTCACAGTAAACCAAACTATAATCCAACATGTACATTAGTCAGGTTAATCAAACAACACATATTGCATACAATTGTCAAATATTTACATTTTTCAGAATCGTATCTCTGTATATAGTCTTTAGGACCCAGTGTGATCTTTACAACGGAATTGCGATTGTCATCAGTTACTGGGTTTTGAGCAAACATTACAATTGTAAACGACGGCAGCTTGTTCCAATCGATATTAAAACCGGATTCAAGCATTGCGTAATGTTCCCAAAATATTCTTTTGACTTCTTTTTTGTTGAGCTTGTTACTAAACACAGTTTTTTTGACAGTAATCGCATTACTATCAAGAATAGCATCAATCAACGCTTTCACGACTACTCTAGGGAAATACATAAATGTAGAACATGTTTGTATAACCGAGTACAAAGTACGTCCATTTTCCACCTTTTTTTGGAATTCAGCAGGCAGCTCCACTTCTTCGCCATTGATTAGTATATTCTTGATGTTGACAGTATGGCGATCGTTTGTTGGTGAATTTACCCATGCAACACTGCTTCCATCCGTTCCGCATTTTGCAGTTACGTCAGTGTTTCCTATATTGATGAAACTTTCATGCAGAATATCATACGGACATAGTTGAATGCCAATCTCGTTATTGGAAATGACACCATCATTGTACAAAGTATTCATCGCAGTGATTTGTGGATGATGTTTTGACAACGAGGTATAGCCAAAGCCAAATATTCCATCAAACTCTGGATCGATACCAACTAGATCTGGTGATTGTTTTTGAACTGCTAGTACTGGTAATTTGATGTCAGTTATCCTAGTACCCGGAATTGTCACAACGGCTGTGGATGTAACGCCTCTATACTGTTTGCCTCTGTAATTTATAGTAACGGGTTCCCCACTTGGAGTGTGTTGCGGAGCCAAGCCTACATCACTGCTTGAACTAGGAAGTGGTACGATTATACTGGAAATCGCTGAATCGACTCGTAAATCCAACTATTTTAAACAAGTGTGAGATTGATTCAACGTGGTGCAAATTGATATCAAACTACAATGCATGACATGACATGATACATACATCAACTCCATCAACATTAAATTTCATTGTGAAACATTGATCAGCATCACGGCCCAATTCAACGGGTGATCGTTTTGACAGTCTATTGTTCGATTGACTGGTAGTTCCAATTGGTGATTCTAATGCAAGTCGAACTGCAGCAACCGCCTGCAACGCAAGTATAACGCATTCTAGAGTAATCAGCATTGTATCGAGTATTGTAATGAAAATGGGTTGAACCTGATACATGACTGTCGTTTTATAACAACGGCAGTTTCAAGGGTGACAACCAGCACTTTTCAATGAACGACCACAAAAAACACGAGTACACCATATAGGGCGGACAAAGCCAAAAACACCCTGTAGGGTGGATCAGTATACAAGCATCGCTGTTAGTATTAAAAATCAACCTCGGTATTATGCTGCGTTGATATTTCCAATTGCGGTCATGTATCCAGTGATCAGGTAGTGTCAGATTGTCACCCTGATTATGGATAGTTGTCATCACATATACAATCCATCACTACAGCATATACTGTCACTGTATACCAAATATTTGACTGATTGTTCAATTGGTCATGTATTTGATTTGTCCGAGTGATTCAAATCATGTCGAAATGGTTGTTGAAATATAAATATATATCATCCAAAGTTGATTCAGATTGTCGCTAGCTGTAATCTGTTGATCTGTCAATGTGTGACCATGTGTCAATGCACACAGTAAACTTGAAACCAACTTGCATAGTTGTCAATGTTCAAATCAAAGCCGCAAAGTTTCATTCTATTTATCATCGTTCATTGTTCATGGCTCATGGCTCATGGATAGCTGATCAATAAATCACATTCGACATGATTGACATGATTGTTTTGTTGAACATATCTCAGTAGATTTGGTTAGTTACGATTTCAATCAATTCAACAGCTTTGGAAATAACAGTGGTAGCGTAGTAAATGGTTTTAATAGCAGCAATTCATATCGATTTTGCAAGATTCATATTTTTGATGTAGAAAATCATGGACTACAACACAGATGAATACGTATTCTCTAACAAGAACAGGAATGAAATTGTTTAATGATAAACGATCTCGAGTGGGTTTTGAAACACTTTCAGCTGAATTGTAAAAACTTAATTTCTTATTTTAGGTTATGGATAAGCTTTACGAATTGTATTACAGTCCCAAGACTGGCCTCATTTCAGCGCAGAGATTATACCTGAAGCTGAACAAAGAAGTTCCAATCTCACAAATCATAAAATTCCTTGACCAGCAGGAAGTCCATCAACTTCATCAAGAATCACAAAGAAAGCCAGCATTCAGCCCCATAACTGTTTATTCAGTCAATGACCAATGGCAGGTGGATTTGATTGACTTGTCTAAATATTCAAGATGGAATGCCGGATACAAGTATCTCCTGTGCGCCATAGATGTATTTAGTAGGAAATCATTTGTGGTGGCGATGAAAAAGAAATCAAATACTACAGATGCAATGAGAGTGATACTTGACGTGCAAAAGCCTATTCTTATTCAAAGCGATAATGGCACAGAGTTTTTAAACAACAACTTCCAAAGCTTACTGCAAGCAAAAGGTGTTTGTCACATCACTGTGAATGTGGGTGATCACAATATACAAGGATTGATTGAACGATTCAACAGAACATTGGAGAATATTATTGCTCGGTACCAAGAATCAAGAAAATCAAATAGATACATTGATGTCTTGCAAGACATTGTATTCAACTACAACAACACTTATCATCGTGGTGTAAATGATATCCCTCAGCAGTTGTACCTAGGCAATCAATCCACTGGAACAATGAATGTAAAAATTACCAAGCATTCAATTAAGGTTGGAGATCGTGTTCGGATACTCAAAGGTAAACAAACATTCAGGAAAGGATATGTGTCAAAGTACAGCAACGGCATCTATACGGTTGTAAGTGGGAACGGATATTTGTTCTCAATTTCAGATGATAACGGCCAAATACTTTGAAAGTCTTACAAATACTATGAACTCGAGAGAGTTGAAGGAACGGAGACCTTTTTGATTGAACCGAGACACAGAGAGCCGACAATGACAAACAAGGAGCGTCGTAACAAGAGAGAATTACAAGAACTGGCAAGAGTTCAAGGTCCAGCCAATAAAAAGAGAAGGACATTTGGAGCAACTTATTTTCTAAAGTAACAATAAATGACACCCATTAGCTCAATTAGAAATTACAAGGACTACTTACAATGTATCAAGAATTGGGATGCTTATTCATCTCAAGAACAAGACCAATTAAGGAAATGGTATCGTGAATATTATTCTCATAACAAGGAAGTTGAACGAAAACGTTACAAAGACTACTATGCCTCAAATGCAAAAGCCGAAAGGGAAAGATTGAAAAAGTATAAAAAGTCTATCAAGAACTGAATATTTCATTTATTTCAAATGTTTAGATTGCTGAGACTTGTAGAAATAACCATTTCGCTTCCAGTTGCTACACCTTCACCCTCGGCTTCCTCCTCAAACGAATGGAAGCTAGATGGAGATTCGCTTGGTTCATATTTACTTTGGTTCTCCCGATAAGATGGTAAAGTTTCCTTCCAGAATGAAGACGACGAATAATTGGATGTTGGTAAAGCATTTGCTTCATCGCTATCCAGTCATCTCCTCCAGCGAATGCATTCATTGCGAATGGTAGTCCAAGGCAAGCCAGAGTACACAAACACTGGGTAGTCAATCAGAAACCGATAATACGCAATGTACAAATGACACATTGTGTGATTCCATTTGAACATTTACTGAGTGTAATCAACAAACTCCTGATTTGGAAAGCATCATTTGAGAGCAAGCAGGTCTTGCCCAATGAATTGTCTGATTTGCAAATATCTCGGCATCGGTCCATTACACGATTCTTGTTTAGTAGTTCTGACGTGTATATGTTTATTCGTCAGGTCAAGATCTTGATTCTGGCAGTGACATACATATAAGGACTGACTGCGTAAGGGACAGGGCTAACAGGTATTTCTGAATTGATCGCAGACAGTGTAGACTCTCCAATAGAAAGCAACAAATTGATTGTATCTGCGTGGGGATGTGCTTCATACGCACCATTTCTGTGAATATGAGAGTCCAGTTCGGGACGACGTGTGCGACTGATTGCCCTAGTGAATGCATTGAATGAATTCTTGTTGATTAATCTGAGCTCTTCTGACAAATCAGCATCATTAAAAGCAGCAACTCTTCTGATCCAGGCTGTAATCTGCTGACATTTGTAGTAAACAATGGAAACTACAATTGTAAACTCGGAATTACAATTGTAATAATGTAAGAGCCACAAAATTACAGTTGTAATATTTCCAATCATTATAAGACCAAGACTTTTGCCATTCGACCAGGTCTTGATCAATTCACAATATGCAGTGTCAATCTCAATGAAAAATAGCATACCAGATTGTTTGCATAGATTATCGGATGAGAATATTGACCGAAAAAGCAATACTACTTTACAAAGTCAGTTGGGAGATGAGTGACATTTGGTGAGTAAATTGAATTATGTATTGGATGGGTTGGATATGAATAAAAACGATTAAGCAATGTTATCAAGTAAATTCAATTTACATCAAGGATTTTATTGATTGCCTTTAATAACTAATAGAACTGCTGTTCTTAAACCCAACTGAGAGATTCCAATTTCTTTGAGCTTCTCATCAGTCAATGCCAGATCGCCAGTGGCCATCAATTGGGTGAATTTGACTTTCTGTTTTCCAAGACAGTCCTTGATAAGCTGAATTTCATCATCATCCAGTTCTTGTTGAATCTTCAACTTGTCAAAGAACTCCTCCATTGTTGTGAACTTGGTGATCTGCTTCTTGGGAAGCTCTTCGAAACCTGCCAGGACATAATACAAATATTCTTGGCGCAGGTCTTTCACATCAGTCACAACGATTGGAGTTCCTTCGTGCAAGCGGTAGAGTTTCTTGACTTTCAGAGCCAATGGGAATTTCTTCTGCACTGCTTCAATCAATGCGGAGAGAGAAGAAATGGTAGAAACCTCCAAGTCGTATTCTTCGTCTCCACGTTTGACAGTGATGTGCTTTTCCGGGACAGCGGGAATCCATCCTTTTGCAATGCCAAAACCAGTAGTTGCATTTTCCATACTAGCGAATGTTTCCTTGACAATTTTCTTCAAAGCTTCAGTAGCAGCAGACCCACCAAAAGAGATTTCGTCAAGTTCCTTTTCCAGAAACTCTCCCGAGGATGGATCCCTTTCCAAAGTTGGTAAAGCTTCTTCAATAGTGATCGAGTTGTATCGGCTTTCTTCGGAAACAGCGCTCGCTTCGCCCCAAACAATAGCAGCATCATATTTGATTTGTAGCAGTTCTCTGAGGTATTCAAGAGAAGAGGGAAACTGCTTCGGATGTCCCTGAACTGTTGCCTGAGTGATTCCGGTGTCTGTTCTTTGGATTTTGGCAAACAACCTTGCTCCAAAAAAGTATTCGACAAGCAGAGTCTTGAGCCCTGGTAAGTCTGAATTGATTGTTGCTTCCACAGACACCCTTGGAGTATTCAGTGAGAGAAAGGAGTGAGCTGTTGAAATCGGTGTATTATGGCCAGACATTTTTTGTCTGGAAGGAAAGCAATGTGGTGTCACTATAAATTTAGACTTGTGAATGAATAAAAACTGGTATCATTCGGTGCCCTATATATACTACTTACGCAGCAGGAAAAAATTGCTGCACAATTTTGAGAATTGTTGAATCTGCCCGAGTGGATAGTTGATTGGACATTGTAGCTTTGTCAGACTTGACAAAATCAATACTATATCCCGTACCGAATTGCGATTTAAGAAAAATCGATGTGCCAAGTGTTTTGAGATGGCCATTCGACATGATAGCAATACGGTCACCAAGAACATCGGCCTCCTCCATAGAATGTGTAGTCAAAATCAAAACACGATTCTTTTTGCAGCTTCGAATCAAAGACCAGATACGTTGTTGAGCAGCAACATCCATGCCAGTAGTTGGCTCATCCAACAACACGATACGAGGGGATCCAAGTAGCGCAATAGCTACACTTGGCTTGCGTCTCATACCGCCAGAGAGAGTACTGATGTAGGCATCTAGTTTAGCATACAGTTCAACATCGCGTGCTATGGCCTCGACATATTGCATTTTTAAATTTGCAGCATCTTTTTGACCATTAGATATAAAATCTCCAACTCGGCCATCGATCGTCACACCCTTAATACCACAATACAGTTCTAAATGCTCACGAACAGTGAGAGATTCAAAGATTACATCAAACTGTGGACATACACCAAGTTCTTGTCTAAACATTGACAATGCAAAAGGATCCGTTATATCCATCACTTTGTCGCCCGACTTGGATTTGACGTAAATGTGGCCTGATTTTGGCAACACAACACCACTTATCATGGATATTAATGTAGTTTTTCCCGCACCGTTGTGGCCCAGTAGTGCAAGAATCTGACTACTGTGTAAATTCAAATTAAAGTCTTGCACAGCACGCTTAATTTTGGTTTCCGTTGCTGCACCACAAAAAAATCTGCCAAAGATCCCCTTGCTAGAATCAGAAGATGCATCCTTTGGTTTTTCTTTGACTTTAAATTCCTTCAGTATATTGTTAATGGATAGCACATTGCGGTCGGAATCTGAAATATGATCTTCGTTAAAGTTTTCAATAAAGCCATCCTCTTGTAATGCGTGTCTGGGTACTTGGAGTGAGGGAATACTTTTATAAGTAGAGAACCAAAAACTGGAGATAAATGGGAAACTCCATGGTTGTGAAGTGGCAATATTCTCTCCAGGAAAAATCTTGTTTAAATACCATGCAAGACTCAAACAACACACATCTGTAATCCTTACCACCCATTCCATGAAAGAAGCGAAAGCACTTGGCGATCGTATTGGCATTGTTGTCAATGGCCGTATGCAATGTATTGGTACTCCGCAGAGGCTCAAATCTGTTTACGGATGCGGATACAAGGTCTCGATAAGAACAAGTGAATCCGTGGATGTGGTGAATGATTGGTTTTTGCAAAATATTGGTAAACCTGGCACATGGCAAGTAGCTCGACAAGTGGGTGGAACGACTGTATTGCAAATGACAAAGCTTGGCGTTGAAGCTTTACAAACACAGCTATTGGCCGCGTCGACTGACAAGGAGAAGATGATTATAGGACTAGAGTTACTAGAGCATATTTTCCGTGTTTTGGAATTGCCGGAAACCTGTGGTGATAGTGGTCAACTAGCCCGACGACTTGGTATTGTAAGTCATGAAGTACAGGAGACGAGTATGACCGAGGTATTTGTTGCATTTGCATCACTTCAAAAGGGACTTGAGCTTTAACAGCACCATGAACAATTTCACATTTTCACAACTTAATAAATTCTAATGCGTTGATGATACATTTATTTACATTTGCTTGATGAGCACTAATGTGTTTTGATTAACCGTTTAGGTTTTAAACAATGGTGTTGTGAGATGCAAAGCTTCATAATGTCAATGTTTAAAGCCTGCTGAGAATTACCTGAACATAATAAAAGGTGGTTTTGTATGGTGTGCGATTACAAACATTGGGGAAGAATTAAGAATGACAATGGTAGTATAGATGGGACACCGAATGATACCGGGTATTTTAGTAGATAGCTCCTAGTAAAATCTATCGAGTGTTGTTAAAATGAATATTTGTCTGTGGCATTCACGTTGGTTAAAATCATTAGAGCAGGCGTATGAGCTAATATTAATGGTAGATAGTTGGTGCCATGCTCATACTAAACACTTGTTTCATAAGATTCAAATGATACCAGTGTCCAAATTTTCAAAAATGACAATTTATCAGAGATTAGTAATTCAGGCCAAAAAGGTGGGATAGAGCAATTTAGAGCTTATAAGTTTGAGTTATTAGGAGGTTTCTGTGCCAAACTCATACCTGATGTTTTAAAATTCGTTAATATTCTAAAGTTGATTTAACCTGAAAGGAAATTGTAATGGAGATATTATGAAATCGTATTTATTGAAATTTTGTTTACGGGACCGCAGAATCCATTGAATAATAATCATCCCACTTCTTCATGGTTTCCTTCTCTTTCCATTCCAGACATTTCCGGAATATAGTAGGGTTAGTCACATGAACTGAAGTATTCATTATGAGTGGGTTATCTGTTTTTGTCGAGCCTTCAATCAAGCGATAAAATATCATATCAGCCGATTCTTGATTCAATGCTACTACCGCAAGTACGACTTTATATCTGTCTTCTACAATAACCGAATCAGAAATGGAGACGATTTTCAAATAGAACAGCGGAATCTCGGTGCTCAAGTTGATAAACCAACCGTGAAGGTCCATTGACATTGCTAGCCTATTGTTTGGGTTTTTGTCGTATTGACTATAAAAGGAGTAGTTTCTACAATGAGAGGCAGATATCAAGTGACAGCTTTCTGCTTTCCCCATCGAACCAAAAATTGACAATTTTTCGATTCTTTGGTATTTGAACTCGTCGCTTGTTTTTTCAAAGGTTGAAAACTGAATGGTTATTACAGACTGAGTGTCTTGTGGCGATTCAGAATCAGTAGGGATGTAATCCTTATAATAGATTCTTTCTCCAAGCTGAGCGGTTGAGGTTGTAGAAACACTGGAATTAATTGTCAGGCTGTTCATAGGAGAATTGATGGTAATCGATTCATTTCGTAAGTGACTATCGAAGCGAAGAGCGTTTTCTTTTGTTTTAAATAATACATTGATTTTGAGAGTGGGTTCGTTTTCCTCATAAAAGAAAGCTGGTTGCCCTGATTCGTAGTAACCAAGATAGTTATCAGCATTTCGATACATACGAGAACAAACACCTTTTACGGCTAAGGAATCCGAGAGAGCGCCAGAAACTTTCCAATACGTTGGTATACCTTTTCTGACAAAGTCATTGATTCCTACGGTAGGACCATGAACAATACCTGACTTGATGACAAGCGGTTGGTCGTAGGAACCAACCGGCTCCTGAATGGATTTCAGAAGCACATCTCCAGCAATGGATGGTGAGCTCGTCAACAGGAATATTTTCAAAACGAGGAGTGGTGGCAGCCTTGTAAGCGGCGACCAGGTCAGAAATATCAGGTTCTTCTCCTTCAGGGACAGACAAATTTTGAGTAAATAATGATACCGGAGTGTTTTCAAGGTATTGAATATAAAGCCTGGTCATTTTGGAGTTTATGAAAGAATAGAATATAGAGTAGAATAAGAATGGAATGAAGAAAAAAATAGAAAAGAAAAGAAAAGAGACAAAACTCGATATCATGTGAATAATGTGAGACAAATTCACACACTTTGAATAGTGTTTAAACATTTGTCATGTGTTTATTTGTATTGTTCAATCAAGTGTCAATTCAACTCAACAATTGATTACGTCATTCATATAATGACTCGAGTCTTTTATTCAACATTTTAATATTCAATTATTGTTAATCAGTCAATTGTTGGATTAGTAAATGTGTTACAAAACATGCATTTACATGCTGAATCTGACAAGTGGATAATGATTGTTCCAATCAACAATTGGATTGAATTGACTGCAACATTATCATTGATTGCAGTCACTGTTGACCAATATATTGTAATACATTGACAGTTTTGACATCAACATTGTCATTCATGTCAAGTTGTGTGTAGTTGCCAACATCACACCTTGACAATACTGTTGCTCTTGGACGTATGACAACATATTAATGTAGTATAGTTTTGGAGGAATATCACAAAAGTAAAAGATGAGAATGAAGGAATGAACCAATGAGTTAATTGTGTTGTTTATTGATAAAAGAAAACATTGATCATTTTATAAAGATGTGGATAACGGCTATGCGTATCCGTGAATTAGACGTCATAGCTGAGAAAGTATCTTGTTATTGCACAAGTGATGGCTGCGATAGACATCGCCTCAAACATATATGCGTCGCGTATGAGTCTCTGAAATATCTCGTTATTTATGATATTTCACATTACCAATGTTTAACAACTCTGGCACAGTAATACGCACTCGTGCACCGAGTTGAGTTGTCCAGCAATCGATTTTGGAAATGTGTTTGATGTGATGGTTTGAAATGGATGCCAAATGACCACGAACGTTACCAATTGTCATGACAGTTGATTGTTGATTCAAAACGTTGTTTGTTTGGTACTAATGGTTAGAGTGTCACTCATTGACCTGTCAGATCAGCAAGTGTTATTTCGGTGAGTTTCGTGTTTATTGTAGTCACATCAACATCAGCAGGTTGGACTACGGATTTGCTTGACAGAGTTGCAGATCCAGTTGGATTGATAGGCGAGCAACTGTGCAAACAACTGTGCGAGTTGCAGGATGTTTGAGATCCAACAAAACACTGCTTGCACACAAGTTCACGAATGCAGATTGTCAGACTTGACCATCAACTCGCAGTATAAATTGCGTGTACGACAGTTTACACGCTTACCCATCAACAATAAACCCACATAACCAGCAAACCGTCAACGAGCAGCCAGCTCAGTGGTCGGGTTGATGTTTTTTGTTGGAGTTTCTGGGTCAAACTTGACCTGATTTGTACCGAGTTGGGTCATGACTACAAGTTTGACAGCAATAGATTGATCTACTAATAATCTGATCGTGTTGTTGATTGTATGGATGTTGGTAATCCATTGCAGATTGATACGGAATGTGACCAGAATACCACAAAGTTTATTGAGTGTGCACATTGCATTCGATGCAAAACGCAATAAACAAATGCGAGTTGCAGCATTCATTCAAGGTTCGACACCAGTCGATACAGCATTGACCACAATGGCATTTATGTCAACAATTGCACGACTACGGAATAAGTCGATTGTTGCTTGACATTCCGTATCGACAGTCTGCGTGTGTGTGCAACGTGCTGTTGTCGCATATGAACAACTTGGATTGACTTTGTGGGCAAAACACAGTCACTGTTGCGGTGATGTTCACAGTCGTGGAAATGGTTTCGAATACCACAACTGGTATAACAACTGCATGTGTTGGTGAGCAACCAGAGTCCAGTTTGACCAAGATCTGTCCCAGTAATGATCGAATGACATTGTCGTGTTTGGTCATCATGACAACAATGTCATTGGTTTGGCTCTGCAACTGACCAAATGCGCTAGTCACAGCGTCCATATCAGTTTTCAGGAATACAACTTGCATGGTGAGGTATTTGACTGTTTGTAGCATTTCGTCCATCAATGTGAAAAAGTCAACGTTTCCAATCGAGTTCATATTACCTCGAGTTGCCCTGCCAGTAGTTTGGATTGGACTGATACCACACAAATTGTTGGTCTGCGTGTACACTGACAAATCGCTGTTGATCAATCGCATGCCCACAGATCCAACTACATATACCAGTCGAGTTGCATCAGACGCAGATGCACTGTCTGGATCAATCGAAAGCACCTTACATTTGTCACGGATGCATTGGGTGGTCGAGTAAACAGTACTGGTTGATTGATGCGGTGATCTTGCCATGTTTTCAGCAATCATGAGTTTGGTCCAGTCACCACTGCAGAGACTGCAAACACTGAACAGGATCTGGTTGAGCACCGTGATTGGGTCTTATTTTTGACTGTAATGGATGTTTTGTTATCAACGATTGTTGAACCAGAAACTTGTAACTCGCGCACATACTCACAGACACTGATGGAATCACTCAGTCATGACATGAGCTGCCACATTCTCAATCTATCAACCTCACCGGGAAGCTTACTGCTTGTGTACATCATCTGGTCAGCCTGTCAAATATAAATAGTTGACACATACCAATAAATAAAACATTAGTCAACCATAACTATACAATTGTATCAATCCAGCACAGCTTGTGCAATTTCAAAGCTAAACTCAAGATTTATACTAATACAACCAACTTACTTTATACCGAGTTTCAAAAGGCGGTTTGTCACACGCCAAAACCCGTTTAGCATAGCTGTATGACAGCATAGATGCTTGAGCATCGGTATAATGCTCAACGGGTCCTGATGAATGGCCAGTCACTGCTGAATCTGGTGCAATGGACTCTGCAGTATATATGGTTGATACTGTAGAGTCGCATTGCTTTCCAGACTGCAGTATCCTAACTGCCTCAATCAGGGACGAGACTATAATGTAAATGTTTTAAAACAATCCATCAGTCAATATAATCAGTATAGTTACCATCAACACACTACAGCCTAAACAATCCACAATACATGCATTCACATGCATGTACATCCAAAACTCGTGAGAAATTGATACAAAAATCACACACTTACTTGGTGAAGTAGGGATTCTTGAATCATTGATTGCACTGATTGGACTGATTGCACTGAATGTATACATATCAGTATATATGTTTTCCTGATTTGAACTAGTCAATCACAACATTACAAAATTATGCACAAACAACAGTAAAAGTTTAAAGTAGCATTCAACCCATTGTCTCATAAATCAAATTATGCATCAACCAATTCAATCCCAAATAATAATCAACCAGCACATCATACCAACCAACACAAATCACAATTGATACACATCGAATGACGTTCAATGACATTAGATAGCATCAAAAACAGTCAAAATCATTACCATCAAAGTCGCGTAGTCGGAGTCGAATCAACAAAATTAAATTCGGCAACGTTTCGAGTCCATCCCAAAATACCGTAAATGCAATCATCAAATCGTAAATAATACACATGCAAGTAAACAGTCATGTTAGCAATGTGTTGTGTAACCAAAATACAATATTCAGATGCACAACTATAATACAAATACTGTACTGCATACCTTTCTGGATTCATGCTTGCTTCGGCAAGGTGTGGTGCATTTTCACAAGCATTGGTTGGTTGGGGAATAGTGTTTTGCACACTACGGCAAGACTGTTTTGGAGAAAGAGCCGATAGGATGTTGAGACGGGACCACAGTGAACTCATTATTGGTGTTGTAGGGTGTCACGAAATGAATGGAAATGGAAATGTAAAACGAGTTGACCTCGAAACTTGATAACAATAATATGGGTAGCAGTTGTAATAGTTGCAATAGTTGCTGCAAACTAATACGTTCAAACAAGTAGTGTGTATGACTGTTTAACAAAATACACAAGGGAAACAATCAGATCTGAGATTTGGATCAATAGGTAGGTAAACAAGCGAGTTTTGGATCAATAGGTAGATAGGCAAGTAAGATCTTGATCAACAACTAATAATGGTGTCGGATCTGGACAAACGATGCACTATTTAACTGAAACAATTGACATGCGAATCCCCGACAAGCCAAACTCTCAGCACGTAATAATCAAATACATTGCAAAAACGTCCCGTAATAATCAAACCATCATCAATTAATTCGTTATTTTACCTTGAATCCCAGACTCCGCACGCATCGACCTCGTGGAATCGAGTAACACAAACTAGCTGCATTAATGCATCAACACATAATATTTTGAGTTGATTGGACCATATCATCATCATCCCTCCGACTCTGACGGATCGGGGATCTATGTGCCAGCTTGAAGTGTGTGGGGTGGCTGGGTAGTGCGGTGAACGTTCCCAATAGTCAATCCATGTACGATGGACAATGCGTAATGCTGTGCTGCTGACAACTCCTGCAGCGGTCATGGCTGATGATATTAGATTCGTTTGTACTGCAGTTGATACTGCACAACCATCTCATACAACTATGCCAACCGTATGCTGTAATGTGGTCATGTATTGTGTCTGACTGTCTGACTGTATATGTGATAGGCAGATCTACTCGATTGAATAGTGACCAAGATCCACTCGATTGAATAGTAACCAAACGCACTGCATGTTCATACTTGTAGACGTCTAGTACGACTGTAGTGGTTGATGGTTGTGTATGACTGTAGTGACGAGTCTGTTCACACGATTATTGCATGATACTCCAACTGCATCGAATACAAACTGCTCAAGTAGTCTTGAACGCAGTGACACCCGGTTCAGCTAGTTTACATGAGCAAGTATATCCACACATCTTCCGTATAATCTGTGCAGCACATTGATGGTATACACAGATCCAGTCGGTCAATCTACACAAATCTGCACATTTTTACGCGTCTGAACTGCAACTCTTCACTACTACCTAAAATACATTGGTAATGCATACCAGACAAACAAGGTTTCATGCATTGCTAAAATCAAAATAGTACTACTGGATCTAATCAATACACTAGGTTAGTAAATACAACCCACGTAAATGTCTGTTTGGTATTCATTGCATGGATCAAATATACTGAAAATACAAATGTCTGTTATTCTGTTTGACTGGAAAATCAAGCACGCTAATATCAAAATACTCTCTTCATCTGATATACCCATAGCATATATGTCATCAACTCAACACTGGTGATATTATGACATTGGTAGAAACCTGTCCTTTCAACTTACTGCTGATGGATTATCAAATCATTGAATTTTGAACAAATCGTTGGATTTGGTTCAATAGCAAGTCATAGTATACGAGCAACCGATGTGTGCATTGTCGACAGTTGAATTGGATATGGAAACGGACCTAGTCACTGTTTTTCTGATAGCTTTGAAAGGCTGGCAACATCAACACTCACCACTGACCAACCTCATGTGCTCCAACTCACTATAAAATGTAGATCTACATATCAAAGAGTATAGTCGACCATGCTTCATTCCAAATACACAACAGTTCAAAGTAGTTTGATGATAGCCAAGTAAAATACAACCCCATATGAACAAGACAGCTTTGTTGGACAGTTACCATTGCCAAGATGATGCAAGACCATAATATTGCCATTTACACTTCTTTAGCCACAACTTGCTGAATTTGGCAACTCGTGCAACCCGCGCAATTTCAAAATCAGATCATTGGATTAAATTGGATTGTATTAAATTAAATCGGATTGTATTAAATTGGATTCAACCCAGTATTGGCTTGTTGGGTAGGCTGTTGTATCATTAAAATGTAACTTGACAGTCTCAGAATTCAGTATTGGCCAATTCATACAAACCTGCTCATCATTTACCCAAACAAGTCGATACTAATGATTTTAGATTCATCATGGTCGCAGGCTATTCATAATGCATCACACGTGAAGTTCCATAAATTGATTTAAAAGCTAGTTTAGATGCATCAACCCATTTTAAACATTAATCAATGTCATTTCAAACATATCCTAAAATGAATGGTGCTGATGCAGAGCCATGTCACAGTTGAATGTGCTCCTACCATACCATTTCCTGTAAAACGAGTGTCTGTGTATAGACATGATCAGTGGCCATGTATTACACCCATTCCAGCATCAACTATTGAGTCATTGACACCATTGACACGATTATCTAGTACCACATCATTGTAAACATATTGTGCAGTACCTAGTCGTACACATGGAACATCAAATGCAATCCCAGTTCATTCTGACATACTCGTATTCAAAGTTGGCAGCAAACAAGTCATTATATACATACTGTCAAACAGCAAATACCTTGGTTTGAATTGTCGAGGGCACTACATTATCGCGACATCAGTGACATCAGTGACTTGAACCAGATCTCATCCAGCGCGTCGATGGATGCATTTGGTATTGATGGTATGGAGGTGTTTGAATCTGGCAATGATTTAACAACTCAACCCATACATTATTCGTTGCGCTAATGTTATGACGTATCCAGCTAGGACATGCATAGTGTGTCAAACAAGATCAATGTTCCGTATGGGGATCCGAGGCAACGTTTTCCACCCATGACCAGTTCAAAGATCTGGATGGTTCAACATACACTAACATGGAGTGTCGAGTTTGGACAATATGTAGACTCAAGTACGATCGGAGCTGCGTTGACGTGACAAGGTAGACAATCTGATGAATGATGGAATGTATAATATCGAGGTTTCACAAATCCAAAATTGGAGAGATGGTGAAACACGTCTGATTGTATCACTCGGATGCCATGTTTAGTATTCAACATGAGATTTTGACTAAACTGCGCTCAGATGTAGCACGTTCAAACCAGCACTTGCATCCAGCACAACAATTCAATATTATGCAACGCATTCAACACAGATCGGTATGATCAAGAGCATGTCAGTGATGAATGAGTGAATGATAGTGATGAATACCAACGTGTATCAACTTACAACCATGATGTGGCATCACAATAACTCGACAGTGCGTATCCCAGACACTACTGGACAAAATGCATTGAAAACACCCCAAATATTGCAATCTACCTACACAGCGTTGGTGGATTATCTGTCACTGAATTTGGAGCATAAACTGGCAACTATACATGCAAATATGCATAGACTCTGATAGTCCTGCAACCAAGTTCCAGATGCCAATTCAAATATGTACTTGGATAGTCAGGGGTTGTAACACGATCATTTATTCAAATCGCATATATACACACATGTTATTGTTGAATGGCAGCAATATATAATGTCTCACAATAACGGGATATTGCTGGCATTGGATACCGTACCACAGTCGCTGTCTCGTGTGGTCAAACCGTGTATAAGCTCCATGTATATATCATCACATAGATTGAATACAAACCATGATAATCTGGAATTACAAACTGTTTCACTCAACTCGATCCGACTCGGGTTGACTCGGATTGACTCGAACTCAAAAGCCATTTGATTATTGCATGACATTAAATCAATTGCAATGGAGGCTGCAACGTATGGATCAGTCACGTCACCAACAGAAACATCAAAAGCAAATCAAATGGCCAAACAATGATACAATATATACAGATATTCATAATGTGAATAAGCAAACATCGTGTAGTAACAAATTATGGACTGAATATATATAGTAACAAAACTGGTTATTTATGCGATAAAATATATCACTGATCATATTATAGTCGATATGGTGTATGTCGTTTTACATCATATAGCTTTTATACTAATGATAATGGTTGTCACAATGGTGTCAACACTATGCTTGAAACACTAAAACTCTCAATTCCAACAGTATTGTGCTGTCTGACTGCATTTATGGTGTCGATCAATGTCAATCAGTAATGCATTTGTATTGATCATGACTTGTGTGCAGTGATCTGGCAATATCGTGATGTATGGTATCATGATCAATGTAAAACCATTACTTGATCAAACACGGCAATTGTGACTGATTACAATCTATAATTGGATGTGGAATACAATCACAATCACAATTGGCAGGATATTGAGTGACTATGTGTACAATAGCCATTATTGGTAGTTCAATCAGGATATTCCAACAAGAACAACCAATTGTTGCATAGTTGTCAATATGTGCATAGACTGTATTTGAATTTGTATGATAGCAAGTCATTGAATAACCTGATTTATATACAGATTGACCAATAAAGGACAAATGGGATCAATTTAAACTGCACAAAATATGACCAACCAAACAATCAGTCAAGTATTTGGTATACAGTGACAGTATATGTTGTAGTAATGGATTGTATATGTGATGATAACTATCCATAATCAAGGTAATGGTCTGACACTATCTGATTACTGGATACATGACCGCAGTTGAAAAGATCATTCCAGAATATTACCGAGGTTGATTTTCCACCAACAGCGATGTTTGTTATTGATCGACTATATGGTGTATTTGGCGTTTTCTGAATATCCATTTCAAAAGTGCTGATTGTCACCCTTGAAGCTGCCGTCGTTATAAAATAACAGTCATGTATCAGATTCAACCCATTTTCATCAAACTGATCGATACGATGCATTGCAACATTGACAAGCTATGCGATCGTGTTTTTGATTATTTTGTGATTCAATAGTGCCAATATCCAATCACTTACAATTCTGATTGTGGTGGAATGATTGACTCTACATGTTGAACCCTTTCCATTGTCCTGGTGTTTGGAATGACGATCGGTCATCATGTGTTGTCGTTTAAGCCAGACTATTGGCTGGTTATTACTTTGAACATGTCAGAATTGACAAATGTTACACTGGTAGCATCTACTTTTGCCTGTAAAAATACAAATCACTTGTTGCGGAACATGTTTGGATCTTGGCAACTATGTCTGTTGTTGAATGGAGTGAATGCATTCATGCATCTGTCTTGCTATCTTCAGTATTTCCAAGTTTAGCATCAATTCAGTTTTGTGCAAACCCATCAATATACACAAATGGAGTTGTGTATGCAATGCAATGCAAGAATATTTATAATGACGACTGGATTCATATGTTTTGGAACAAGTTTTATTTGCAATTACGAATCATGATGATAAAATTGATCATTGAGCTCATATTCAAGGTTCCGTGTTTGGTGTTGGTTGCATATGACTAATCAAAGTTATTTTTGATTTTGAAAATCCAATCTGTATATCAATCTCATCTTGAAACTTTATTGAAGGTTATTTCTAATTAAATTCAAAAAATCCCAAACACTCTTGCCAATCTCATCAAAAAACTGAGGCGAGTTTTGACTATTGATGATTCTCATATCTTGAACATCAACGGGGTTCTTTTCAGCAGTATGAATAACCAGAGTCTGTTGCAATGAGTAGCCTGATTTGTGTAGTTTCAACAAAGTGCTAAGAAGGTAGGTTCGTTCTTTTTCAAACCCTTTCAACACTTCAAGTTTTTTCGACACTCCACCGCCATTACGTTTGCAATAAAAGCGTTCAGGATCTGTAGTATTGTAAGCGTTTGCAGCTTGTTGTTTTGACATTCTCTTGACAAATTTGACTTGGACAATGTATACAGTCTTTGTATTGGCACACTTGTAGATGATATCTGGTCCACACATATGATCGGGAAAGCATACTTGACTTGAATCATCACATTGTAAATAGCTGGATGCAGAAGCTTGGGATGCCTTGATACTATTGGCAGCATCAGGACCAGAATAGTTGGCTACTAAAGCAAACGCAACCAAGTATTCCATCAAATAGCCAACCATTTGAGGGTTAAAAGACGAGTCAATTCTTTGGTATAAATTTTTGACAATGGGCGCAAAGGGGAAAAAGTAGCGAAGACATTCGATTACGGCCAACTCTTGAATTTCAATGGAAGGGTTAGCTTTAGCAATATCTCGACCAAAGCCCAAACCGTAACGTATTGCATTAGCACCGTCATTTCCAGTTACATTAAGTTGCATTTCTCCCTTCCAGATGGCATCAAGAAATGCGTCGCGAATGATTCTCGACAGGGTATCACCATCAATGACTCTGTCAAATGAACGAATGCCTCCATCAAGGTCATCTTTCAAGAATCTAAGCGGGAAAATCTGGCCATCAACATCGGATATTCCAGTGATAAATTTGCCAATCGCAGCGTCAATATCATTTGATTTCATATATGCATCCAGAATATACGATACGAAACGTGGTCTTCCATGACATAATTCAAAGTCTGAAATTCTTGATACAATAGCATCCAGTTGATTGACTTGATGGTCTTGTAAAAATTGTCTAACATACTGTTCGACCTCGAGCTTTGTCAGAGGATGGAAATCTGATACAACTACACAATCTGTGACTTGATCATCCTTCATAGCACTGAACTCCACTAGCTCTTTGATGAGTTCAAAGTCAATACTGGTGGCAGACAGTAGGCAATGAGGAAATATTCCCATCATTTTGGAATGGTATACAAATGGAGTGAAAAAGGGACGAAAGTTTCTACTTTCTGGTTGAAAATGAAAACAACGACCTCGTGCAAGATTTCGGACTCCATCAATGGCAGTAAAAGGAAACGGGTTTGTAATAGCAGTTGGGGAAAGTCCAGGTTCTTTTACAAGGATTGTAAAAAGACGCTCAAACAAGTCAACTCCAAAGAATGCGATAGGATGGAGTTGAGCCAAAATAATTTGTCAAGGTTCCTTGAATCCCTTGCTTATCAAGTAGTTGCAAACAGAAACCCGAACGAAACACAACAGTTGGATAGCATGTTGAGTGAGTTTAGCGAGTTTAGGTTTACTGTCGCAATACATCCGGCATTGATACATGTCTTTAGAACCAAAGTCATCTTGAGAGCTCTTGGAAGTGAAGTAGTACCCAAAGTTTGAATAAAGCAACTCTAGAAGCATCCTTGTTTTTCCTGCACCAGAAACAGCAAGAAACAGTTTGACATTATTGACATCGTCAATCGCATAGCTAGTGCTCCTCCTATCAAGACGATGCTCCAAGCAATTGTCGTGAAATACGGCGTTATTTGGAAACCTTGTGACATTGACAATCTTTTCCAGATGATATATCAAATACTTGAAAGCGTCATTTGGGGTTTGCAATTTCAAATTATTGGCGTCGACGAATTCTTGGTCACTTTTACTCCGTACAAAATTACTCTTGGATTTAATGACAAGTGGTTGGTCGTAGGAACCAACTGGATGTTGAATGGATTTCAGAAGCACATTTCCAGCAATGACTGGACCATCCACCACATAATGGATGGTGAGCTCGTCAGGGTCTATATCACCAAGTTTTGATGGAAGTGCTTGTTTGACTGCTGCAATCAGGTCAGCAACACTATCAAGGGGGAAAGGCCGCAAAGCGGTCCTTTCACTATTGATATGGGTATCAACCTTTACAGGTTGGTTTGTAAGATATTGAACAAAGAATGCTTTGTTCTTCATTAGAGTTTATAAAAGAATAGAAATAGAATATATAATATAGAATAGAATAAAGTGAAACAATGAAATGACAAAAAAAGATCAAAACGTGAATTTGTCTCACATTCAAAACTCAATATCACGTGAACAATGTGAGACAAATTCACACTTTGAATAGTGTTTAAACATTTGTCATGTGTTTATTTGTATTGTTTAATAAAGTGTCAATTCAACTCAACAATTGATTACGTCATTCATATAATGACTCGAGTCTTTTATTCAACATTTTAATATTCAATTATTGTTAATCAGTCAATTGTTGGATTAGTAAATGTGTTACAAAACATGCATTTACATGCTGAATCTGACAAGTGGATAATGATTGTTCCAATCAACAATTGGATTGAATTGACTGCAACATTATCATTGATTGCAGTCACTGTTGACCAATATATTGTAATACATTGACAGTTTTGACATCAACATTGTCATTCATGTCAAGTTGTGTATAGTTGCCAACATCACACCACAGCAATACTGTTGCTCTTGGACGTATGACAACATATTAATGTAGTATAGTTTTGGAGGAATATCACAAAAGTAAAAGATGAGAATGAAGGAATGAACCAATGAGTTAATTGTGTTGTTTATTGATAAAAGAAAACATTGATCATTTTATAAAGATGTGGATAACGGTTATGCGTATCCGTGAATTAGACGTCATAGCTGAGAAAGTATCTTGTTATTGCACAAGTGATGGCTGCGATAGACATCGCCTCAAACATATATGCGTCGCGTATGAGTCTCTGAAATATCTCGTTATTTATGATATTTCACATTACCAATGTTTAACAACTCTGGCACAGTAATACGGACTCGTGCACCGAGTTGAGTTGTCCAGCAATCGATTTTGGAAATGTGTTTGATGTGATGGTTTGAGATGGATGCCAAATGACCACGAACGTTACCAATTGTCATGACAGTTGATTGTTGATTCAAAACGTTGTTTGTTTGGTACTAATGGTTAGAGTGTCACTCATTGACCTGTCAGATCAGCAAGTGTTATTTCGGTGAGTTTCGTGTTTATTGTAGTCACATCAACATCAGCAGGTTGGACTACGGATTTGCTTGACAGAGTTGCAGATCCAGTTGGATTGATAGGCGAGCAACTGTGCAAACAACTGTGCGAGTTGCAGGATGTTTGAGATCCAACAAAACACTGCTTGCACACAAGTTCACGAATGCAGATTGTCAGACTTGACCATCAACTCGCAGTATAAATTGCGTGTACGACAGTTTACACGCTTACCCATCAACAATAAACCCACATAACCAGCAAACCGTCAACGAGCAGCCAGCTCAGTGGTCGGGTTGATGTTTTTTGTTGGAGTTTCTGGATCAAACTTGACCTGATTTGTACCGAGTTGTGTCATGACTACAAGTTTGACAGCAATAGATTGATCTACTAATAATCTGATCGTGTTGTTGATTGTATGGATGTTGGTAATCCATTGCAGATTGATACGGAATGTGACCAGAATACCACAAAGTTTATTGAGTGTGCACATTGCATTCGATGCAAAACGCAATAAACAAATGCGAGTTGCAGCATTCATTCAAGGTTCGACACCAGTCGATACAGCATTGACCACAATGGCATTTATGTCAACAATTGCACGACTACGGAATAAGTCGATTGTTGCTTGACATTCCGTATCGACAGTCTGCGTGTGTGTGCAACGTGCTGTTGTCGCATATGAACAACTTGGATTGACTTTGTGGGCAAAACACAGTCACTGTTGCGGTGATGTTCACAGTCGTGGAAATGGTTTCGAATACCACAACTGGTATAACAACTGCATGTGTTGGTGAGCAACCAGAGTCCAGTTTGACCAAGATCTGTCCCAGTAATGATCGAATGACACTGTCGTGTTTGGTCATCATGACAACAATGTCATTGGTTTGGCTCTGCAACTGACCAAATGCGCTAGTCACAGCGTCCATATCAGTTTTCAGGAATACAACTTGCATGGTGAGGTATTTGACTGTTTGTAGCATTTCGTCCATCAATGTGAAAAAGTCAACGTTTCCAATCGAGTTCATATTACCTCGAATTGCCCTGCCAGTAGTTTGGATTGGACTGATACCACACAAATTGTTGGTCTGCGTGTACACTGACAAATCGCTGTTGATCAATCGCATGCCCACAGATCCAACTACATATACCAGTCGAGTTGCATCAGACACAGATGCACTGTCTGGATCAATCGAAAGCACCTTACATTTGTCACGGATGCATTGGGTGGTCGAGTAAACGGTACTGGTTGATTGATGCGGTGATCTTGCCATGTTTTCAGCAATCATGAGTTTGGTCCAGTCACCACTGCAGAGACTGCAAACACTGAACAGGATCTGGTTGAGCACCGTGATTGGGTCTTATTTTTGACTGTAATGGATGTTTTGTTATCAACGATTGTTGAACCAGAAACTTGTAACTCGCGCACATACTCACAGACACTGATGGAATCACTCAGTCATGACATGGGCTGCCACATTCTCAATCTATCAACCTCACCGGGAAGCTTACTGCTTGTGTACATCATCTGGTCAGCCTGTCAAATATAAATGGTTGACACATACCAATAAATAAAACATTAGTCAACCATAACTATACAGTTGTATCAATCCAGCACAGCTTGTGCAATTTCAAGGCTAAACCCAAGATTTATACTAATACAACCAACTTACTTTATACCGAGTTTCAAAAGGCGGTTTGTCACACGCCAAAACCCGTTTAGCATAGCTGTATGACAGCATAGATGCTTGAGCATCGGTATAATGCTCAACGGGTCCTGATGAATGGCCAGCCACTGCTGAATCTGGTGCAATGGACTCTGCAGTATATATGGTTGATACTGTAGAGTCGCATTGCTTTCCAGACTGCAGTATCATAGCTGCCTCAATCAGGGACGAGACTATAATGTAAATGTTTTAAAACAATCCATCAGTCAATATAATCAGTATAGTTACCATCAACACACTACAGCCTAAACAATCCACAATACATGCATTCACATGCATGTACATCCAAAACTCGTGAGAAATTGATACAAAAATCACACACTTACTTGGTGAAGTAGGGATTCTTGAATCATTGATTGGACTGATTGCACTGATTGAACTGAATGTATACATATCAGTATATATGTTTTCCTGATTTGAACTAGTCAATCACAACATTACAAAATTATGCACAAACAACAGTAAAAGTTTAAAGTAGCATTCAACCCATTGTCTCATAAATCAAATTAGGCATCAACCAATTCAATCCCAAATAATAATCAACCAGCACATCATACCAACCAACACAAATCACAATTGATACACATCGAATGACGTTCAATGACATTAGATAGCATCAAAAACAGTCAAAATCATTACCATCAAAGTCGCGTAGTCGGAGTCGAATCAACAAAATTAAATTCGGCAACGTTTCGAGTCCATCCCAAAATACCGTAAATGCAATCATCAAATCGTAAATAATACACATGCAAGTAAACAGTCATGTTAGCAATGTGTTGTGTAACCAAAATACAATATTCAGATGCACAACTATAATACAAATACTGTACTGCATACCTTTCTGGATTCATGCTTGCTTCGGCAAGGTGTGGTGCATTTTCACAAGCATTGGTTGGTTGGGGAATAGTGTTTTGCACACTACGGCAAGACTGTTTTGGAGAAAGAGCCGATAGGATGTTGAGACGGGACCACAGTGAATTCATTATTGGTGTTGTAGGGTGTCACCAAATGAATGGAAATGGAAATGTAAAACGAGTTGATCTCGAAACTTGATAACAATAATATGGGTAGCAGTTGTAATAGTTGCAATAGTTGCTGCAAACTAATACGTTCAAACAAGTAGTGTGTATGACTGTTTAACAAAATACACAAGGGAAACAATCAGATCTGAGTTTTGGATCAATAAGTAGATGGACAAGTATCTCCAATACCAATCTAGTTTTAGCAACACAATAGTCGGCATCTTTAATGGGTTTGATAATCCAGTCGATTCGGTCCTTCCAGGAACAGTGAAATGATGAATGAGGCAAATACATGCCAGATTTTGACGTCATTTCCTGTATATAACCACGATAACAATCATTGATATCAGTCGAATCAATCAATTTGTGTAAAAATGAAACAAAAAGTCTTGGACGACCTTGAAGAGACTGTGAGATTTCTTGAAGGTCAATATTTTTTGACACATCAATAGTAGTTTGAAAATATCGGATGATTTCAAGTAGTTGAAGTCGGTGAATATCAACATATTATCTGGTTTGAGTCCAGCAGCAGAGTATGTCAAGTCCATAATGCAGATTCGCATTTGTGTTCCGCACCATATATTGTTGAAGTCATCTTGGATAATAGTTCTGGTCAAAAACGAAAACAACGACTGAGGAAAATCAAATTGTCCAGCAGTGTTGATGGATTGTTGTTGAACGATAGCCCGACTTTAAAAGACTTGGCATATGCTGCGATTCGTCAAATATAACACGACCGTCTTTTAGGAACCATGATTTCAATTGTTGATAGACTTTATCAAACGCAGACCAAGGAAGCTTAGATAGATGTTTGAATATTTTACAAAAGAGTACACCAGTTTGTATACTTGTTTGAATGCATAGCCATGTAAAAGGCTTGAGATCGGGATTTGTTTCACAGAGTGTTTTCAGAACAAAAATACGAGCAGAAATCAAACACTGGATCAGTCTTTTAGATTGGTATTCAAAGACTGCTTGATTCTTGTCCGTCTTTTTGGCAGGTGCCAACTGTGCCAACTTGTCAATCATTGCACTGAAATCAGGTCGATAAAACAGTCAAATACACAATATCGACACAAACCATGGCAGGTTGTTGTTCACATCCACTGACACCGATCATGACAATATTGTGTAGTTGTCAGTCTGTCGATTGGCATTTCTATTCCGATTTGTATGTTGCCAGAATAGACTTTTGAATACAAAACATTAGGGATTGTGTCAATGTCTTTGATGTCGATGTTCATGATGGTTTGATCCAGATGAATGGTTTTAATTGAATGTTGGACACACAACAGTTGTGTTCATCATACAAGTGTATCGACTGGACAAGGTTCACAAGAGTGGTTTGTAAAGTGAGTTCATGTCCATTACAGTGTCTAGTGTTGATGATACAGAGTTTGACCAAGCATAATGTATTGGATTTGATGAGTGGATCAGTTCCAGTGGTTTGATCTAGTCCAAGAACAGCAAGACAATACCATGAATTGCAAGTTATTTCCACTCCATCAACAACAAAGTGGAAAGTAAGGAGTTGATGGTCGACTGGAATACCAACAAGCCTTTTAGTTGTCTCAATGATGGTGGTTGCGACCAAGTCAACAACAGGCTGTTGTTCAGCAATAGAACCTGTTGGCTTGGTCGCAGATTACAAGACAGGATCACTTTTGGTCGATACACTAACTGAATATCCACTCTGTGATGGATCAAGTCGAGACCAACTACAACGCATGGGACTCGCTTGCTGCACTTGTAACAAATGGGACTGTTGGATCCAGTCCACTCATCATCAAATCCAAGAATGATGTTGGCTCAAACCCAACAATCACTGGTTCATCCAATCCTTTCAAGAAAACTATCCAGATCAATGGTATCAATGTTTCTACAAATCATCTCAAAAGACCTGATCAACTTGACAAACTCACATACTTGGTTTGAGTATCGGTTTGTCATATTGACTTGTTCATCTGATTCTGCAAAACCTATATTCATTAATATGTATCAACATAGTCTCAAACAAATGTCATTTGGATTTGTTTCTTGGACAAGATTGCACGACACTTTTGTTGGAAATGCATTGATTGTTCCAAACAACAACGGATAGAATTGGAAAAAGTAAAACTGTTGTTTCTTGATGATGCTCAACAGTAATTACAAGATACAAGTTTATGGAGACTTTTAATCAAAGCATCGCTGAGTTGGTTGTCATTAAGCATGCGATTTATCATTGCATCAAACCATCTTTTTGTTGGAGGAATTTCAAGTCCTGTTGAACTCGGTAGTCTTTCAGGTCTTGAAAAGTGACTTTCTACTTATTCCAGCCAAACTCTGTGAATTTCATGAATTTCTGGATTTACTCGTTATTGGGTTGCCAAACAACATGAACAATGAGACCTTGAAACATGTTCTTGTAACGGAATGTGATGGTCTTGTTGGTGCGCTGTGTGTGTCGATTGATGATCTAAAAACACAATGTCTAAACAACATTGAATCCACTCGAGCAGATCTACTACAATACTGTCTATCAAACAATTCCATGTCGGGTATGACTCGTTGTTTTGGAAGCGACCATTCAGATCTGATTAGAAATGGTTTTAAACTATTACTCAAGAAATGCCTGACAAAAATCATCGATTGGACAACTTGGAAACTCAACAAAATATGGAATCTTATTCATCACTCAAAAGGCTGGAATATTGATGGAGTCGTCCGATCTTGAACTTGCTTTTACTTTGCTGTTGGTCAAAAAATACTATTCAAATGGACATTCACAAACTGCTTTCCATCACAACATTTGTCTCTTCAAAAACTCATACGCAATGTTGTCTCATCAATATCGACCAATGTATTGGAATCTGTTTCGTCATGCGGTTTTCCAAATGAAACAACTTCACAGCACATGTTTATGGAGATATTGGTTTACTTGACTAAACCAGACTGTTCAATCTAACCAAAACTATCAAAAGTATTTCCCAACAACTCGAATGTGACGGACACTATTGCTGGTGGAATTGATTCTTATTTGATCAATGAACTAGGAATCAATCAACACATTGACAGATTTGTCATTCCAAATGAAAACAATGACAATCCAGTTGTAATCCATATTGAGCCTTGAATTCAAACAGTCGTGAATCAAATCATTAATAAACTACAAAAACAGTCCAATATGCCAACTCGCATTTATCCACAACTCGATATGTGATGTTCAAATGTCTAATATTCAGACTGTGCTGATTGCAATTGTGGTTACAATTGTGGTTGTGTGTAAATATCAATCCAATACTCGATTCAATACTTGATTCAACTTGAGCATGTCCAGTTTTGTAGTAATCCATTTGATCACATTGACAGAATCAAGCAATGATCTGATTCAACAACACCGAATGATGCATCCATATCACTTGTATCAATCAATTGTACACAATCAGTCAATATAATCAACAATCATTGTCATGATTGACATGATTGATTCAATTCATTCAATTTATTCGATCCATTTAATTGCATAGATATGACTGGCATTGCAACTCATTGTTGTATAAATCACAACCTCACAATCCACCATCAAAGATCAATCACCCGCTCATATATGTATTCGTTGTATACCGCTGTGATTTGAGTTCGGTCACTTGTCAATTCATCTCGATAGTGTTTGGCTTCAGTTGGTGATTGAACACCTTGAATATACTGCGTGATATCATTCCACAGTTCAGGCGGTACGTGTGCCTTGTCAAGACTCGAGTTGTACCATTGTGGTTGTTGTGGAGCCACATGTGCAGTCGAAACAATCCGACATGCTGGATTCACTACAAAAAATGTCAGAATCTTGCAATGTCCTGGTTGAGTTGGATCTGCAAGTTCAAATGATTGTTCTTTGTGTTGGTATCGATTGGGATAAACTACACATCGACCATTTGGTAATTCAAGCGATCCTATATACTGATTGCGTGGTGATTCTTGATCAATGTCACACACATCTTTCCAATACATATCAGATGCTCCTTGATAATCAAAACAATCAACAGCCTCGCGGAAATCGAGTTTGGGTGTGGTGATATTTTCCACGTCATAGTAATACAGTCCAGTTGCAACAATCGATTCGTTAGTTGGACCTTCAATGTGCCAGTTTCCCTCGTTGTATTTAGGTTTGGATGGTGTCAGTTGAATGTTGGTGAGTTTGACAATGACTTGCAGATTACGACCACGCAGTGACACTGGCTTTGCTAATTCATATTTGGATTCAAAATGTTCCGGAAGTGTTGGTACATACACGGGACGAATGACTCGAGTGTCTGGCTGCATATCATCATGATCTGACTGGCTTGGTGGTTCATATCCCTTTGTGCGATTGCAAATATCAATATACTTGAACATTGGATCCATCGTTCTGAACAGACTTTCAAACATTGGGACAAAACATTTGAATATTTTGGCAATGCATTTGTACATGTCTCGATGCCATATCGGATTCAGATTGTTGATGTATGAGTTGATGGTCACACTGCCATCCTGTTCGACACGGAATTCACTCGGAAGCCATTGGAACTTGCATGATATAAACTTGGGATTGCCTTCAATGATAGGCGTATCTGAAACAAGTCGAGTCGATAACAATATATCGCATGGTACCATTTTGGTGTATTTGAGTCGTATATCCAGTGGTGCAATCATCGTTTGTCCATATACAACACTGTACATTGATGCATCAATCAGATTGTGCACCATTTGACCAGTGTTGTGATTTGATCCATGTTCAATATCCGATACATTTGTCATCAATCGCGTGTATACATTGTCAGGTATGCCATTGTCCAGTATATACGTCAGTTCAACAGGTCCTGGTACAATCGTGCCCAATCCATCACTGCTACTACAAACAAGCTGTTTGACAAAAACCCCGAGTTGTTCCAATGCAAGATTAAATGTTGATGGTGATATATTTTGATCGAGTAAGTCAGCCCTCCATTGCTCCACAATATGCTGGTTTGTGATATCGATCCACCACATGGGTTTGCAGAGTATAGATTGCAGATATTGGATATACTGCATCTCGACAAGTGTGCGTGCCTGTCCATGTTTATATCCGGCCATTCCAGATTTCATATCAATTTTGGCATTGTCGTCGTATGGCTGAATGTCTGAATTAGCAACATTAACCCGATGCTGGAAATACATTTCAATGATCTGGCCAGCAGCCCTTTTGTTCATGTAGTCAGTATCATCCGATTTTACAATAGCCGTTAGATTTTCAAACATCCCGCCTTGCTCAAGCTCGGTACGTATTGAACTGTCGGGATGATTGTCGGCAAAATCAGCAAGTGTTTTGAGTAGTTTTACAATATCAGGAACAGGACTGTTACACAAACGTATATCTCTGCGTGAAAGAATAGTGTTGAGTTGGTTCACAATTCCATATTCTTGAAACACCTTGATCATCTCGGCCTTGTTTGTAGATTTCTCAATCATGTCGTTGACATGATCAAACAGGCGCAAACAGTCATAGATATTGAGATTGCACATCGATATCGTCAATTGCTCAAAAACCAACGATCGTACAAGCGATACAGGAAATTCGCGCATTTTGGATGCAATTGTTCCTGCTATCTTGATTATGCGTTTTTTTAGTTCAAAGTTGTCGCTGTATCTGATACACAAGTCGTTCAGTGTTTGAATCAAACCCGATCTTATCAACTCGGCTGAAGTCACTTCACAATTTACATAGCTGGAAAAATTATGGATAATTTCAATACTTTGATCAACCACTGCTTGATCGACACTCCTGTATTCATGTCATGTCAATCCAAACATGTCAAATTTACCAATTGTGATGACTGGACACACATTCATGCATAACACCACATACCTGAGCATATTGACTATTGTTGGAATGATGCCACATCCTGCTGCTTTTACTGGGTTATCACGATGAATACTCCGATACATGGTTTGAAGATTTCTGATGAAACCAACAGCAACTAGACCATTGGATGATTCCAGTCGTGAAACAAGTCTTGATACCACGATGCCAAACTAATGATATTGTTCAATGTCAAGTATACAATCAAATCAACATGACATGACATGACGCTGTCCAAACTGATCCAATATTGTATCATTGTAAACATACATTTTCATCGTCAATATCATGACAAACTTTCAAAAACAGGTTAATCGCCAATCTGAGCATTTCTTGATCAGACTCTTGAACAATAATCTCGACCATTGGCTTGATGTCAAATTTACACTCCTCACTCCAGCATTTATATTTGTACAGCTTTTTACATGTTTTTATCGCCTATATGCATATTGACACTAGATGAGTTGAATGTCAATCATTTGATCAATATCAATCATGACTTGCCGCCATTTTGACTTGACGGTTTGGTGATTGCATGAGCTGTACAATTTGGTTGCTTAGTCGTTGAGATACTTTGAACTGATCATCACTGTACGTCATTCTCAAAAACACTACAGTAAACTCCATTACTTTGATCTACGCAACACATGTTGATTAGTTTAGTCATGAACAATCCATTATTGTTACAATATATGAATACCTGTAAACTGGGTCGATTATACTCCAAATACTTGACTGTGATATCTTGCAGTTCAATACTCTGTAAGCGCTGCACTACATCTGTATATCATGCCACTTCAAACCAACACAAAATCAGCAACAGTTTGAATTCATCAATAACACAATGACTATTAAACTTACTGTAACTATGATTGTACAATTCCTGTATCAAGTCAAGCAGTCTGTCCCATATTTCATCAGCCTTGTATACTTGAGCATCCGCTGTTAATAGTTTCAAATCTTCCAGGTGTTGAATCAACTCTTTCATGATATCATCCAACTGCATGTTTGATAAAATTAGTAAAGTTGAATTTTGATTTGACAATTTCATTCATGCGAATGTCCAACAATTTCCAACAATTGTTTATGTTTGGATTGTTGTAAAACACACAAACGAGTTGTTCCATTTTAGTATTGTTTTGATCAGTTTTTTGTAACAAAATTGGATTGTTATCAAACATGCATTTAGAAATACTGTAAATTAATATTCTGAATGTGATTGTTGTGGATTTGGTTGAATAAACAAACTAGTTTACTACAACACATGGTAATGGATTACTAAACATCATCATAAATCGGATGTGATCAAATGGACTAGAATGAGATCAATGACAATCGCATTACAAACAGTGTGGTGATTAAACCATCGAGTATTTCCAAATACAAACTTGAATGAAAAGTCTTGCCACAATACTGATCAACTGTATTACTGTTTACACTGTGGTATTATTGATGTATTGGAATATTTGGTGATCAGATACATAATGATAATGGTAGTGCAACTCATGGCAGTTGTACAAACCAAATGTGATTAAAGCCAATAATAATGTCAGACAAGATTGGATAATGAATTAGCGTGTAAATCATCAACATTGACCAAGATTGATTGAAATGGTGAGATTGGATTGGATGGTGATGAACAGTCAGTGTCATGAACACTGTTATTCAGTGGCCCATTTGACGTCAATACACCACTACCAATACCATGCTGCGTAATACCACACCGCATATATTACATTACAAACTGACACAATACTAATTGACCAATATCAAACCAGTTAATGACGCAATCTACATCCGACCTTGAGCAAGTGTATTGCTCCGTTTGTTGTACGATGCACGATATGGTCAGTTGGTGATATCATGCAAGTGCGATTGGTAGTTACAATCAGCACTGGTTGCTATCATGTCATTGATGTATATGGAACAAACCATGCCAATGTATCAATCAGCAACCCAGTAACTATTGATGTAATACACAAACATGCAGTACACAATCAATGATATAATTGTTGACCCATTCACAATACTCGACAAATACCAACATCAGAAAGTTTAAATTTATTCAAAACCAAAATCATCACATCATCAGTCCAAATTCGACTCTTGAAATTCCAAACCATGCTTTGTCATAAACTTTTTTAGCTTTTCTTTGATCTTGTCTACTTCATCTCCTAATTCTTCAGTCCTTGTTTTGAATTGCTTTTCAACTTCTAGGCTGTGTTTAAAAGTTGTTACATCTTTGCCTTGTCTTAACCTTCTCTGCTTTTTTAATCCAATAGATACATAATCATAATAGTTTTGGGTCATGCTCCTTTCCATTTTTTCAAGCAACTCAAGTCTTTTCTTCATACGATTAAGGACTTTCTGTTTTTTTTTGCTTAATCCAGTCACTTGATTTGGAACAGTATTACTCGACTCGCCTTGGCTCACTGGTTGTTGCTGATCTTGACTGGAAGTGCTTGGACCGGGTTGATTCATTGATTGTTTCCGACCTCGTTTGGGAGCACTTGGACCAGGCTCGTTGGTTGGGCTAGACACTTGACTAGAAGTACTTGATGCCTGGACTGAACCATTGCCGTTATCTGAAACCAGTATTGCATTAGCGGTTGCCGCCGCGCTCAGTACGAATAAAATGTCAATGAACTTCATTAGATTGCTGGATGGGTTTAAAAGATTGTTAGATGGGCAGATTTTCAAGATCGATGTTGATTATAAAACTGGACATATTTCATCGTATTTATATTTTTGTATAGTAAACCAACCCTAACCCTTTTAGGTTAACCAGCAACACAGGGCTACTTGGTTGTTTGTGGTAGGCTACCATCATACTAGACAGTATACTGCTCCCTATTCATAGTACCGTATTATGCTTTTACGACCCTTTTATCAAGTATTTTGAAAAATACACCCCTTGAGTGTTGTGTAGTCTTGTAAACGCACCCTTTTACAACCATATTCGTGTAAAATGGATCATTTTGATATTCGTCCCGCAATAACTGTGTTTTGAATTGCAATATACAATAGCTACTACACATTGACTGCATTGTGTGTTTGATGAACACAACTGAGGATCGTGAGCATATGATGGCATATCGATAGTTGTCATTATTGGAAAGTATATCACAGTAAATCAAAGACATGAAGGAATGAATCAATATTTGATTGCGTCATCTATTAAAGAACAGGAAGAGTGTTTACAAGATGAGAGAACAGTGAAAGAAAACTGTGTGAATCCCAGTTTAAACATCATTGTTGATGGTTTCTGGTTACTGCAAACCATTCAGAATGTCTACTGTCAGTCCAAACATACACATCCCAACACTCTCACATTAGTGTCTAATGGTGATGACTGATCATGTCAAATTCAATGCAAAATATCACAAAGCCACATGTTTGAACTATGCCAATCAATTAAGCCATTTGAAAAAGCATAAACATCACAGCAAACATTGATGGTCATCTAGCGACTGAATATCAAAGCCATCTTATATAGGCTATGCAGAATTATTTGAACCTATGTTTATATTCCTATATTTTAGCACACTAACCCTTTTTAGGGTGGAAAAAGAATATATTGCATAACAAACTAACCATACAATGCTCGAATGCATAGCCGAGCATACAATAGTATAACCAAGATTGCGGAACATTATATAAAATAATATCTTTTTTGGATTACCTCAAAATCGATAGTAATAAATCAATACCAACCCTTAGGGTGGTCACTCGGGAACACGCTTTCAATACTGTCCATCGATAACAAATATAAATATGATCCAAACCCGACGTGTTGAATATCAATCATATACAGCTTGCTCATAACCAAACCAATATAATGAAATTCCTAATTGCTCTGTCATCAATCCTGTTTACTTGCTCGGTTACTACAGCCAGTCCAATTCTCCCCACTGTGACTACAGGTGCCGAATCTAGCTCGACAACTCTTTCTAGTTCGACTACAAGTACTTATTCTAGCTTTCCAGAAGTTCCTAATGCAACCAATATAGGCTCAGTCGATTTTAGTAAACTTTCAGATGATGCCATGAATTCGATCAAGGAATACTTGGAAACAAGTGGAAACTATCAAATTGCAATGGGAATATGCAACTCGACAGACTCTGAAAACCTTGATCAAAAAATACTAGTAAACCAGCTAGGTGAAGACTACAAGAAGTTGAAACTTGAATATCAAAGTAGCAAGAATGTTTTAAAGTATGGAGTTAAACTCGAGAAAGCTAAACGGATATTCAAAAAACAAAAGGAAATTCTTTCCACGCTTACAAAAAGATATCTGGGTGCTTGCCTCGAGTATTCTCAGCTTGGTTTGAAATTGGATATCCTTGGAATAAAAGTCATAAGACACCTGTTTGGAGGACATCTAGATATATTATCGCTTTATTATTACCTGGGACGTCTGGAATTAGATCCCGATTTTATGAAACTCGTCAATGCATCTCGCAATTACGTACTAAGCCAAGAGTCAAAATCCGATCAAGCCTCTACTAGTTAAACCCACAATCCATGACATCAAGCATTACAATATTATGAAATCCTGTCTCCATCAAATGAAACGCCTACAGTTCAATGCACTCGAACATCTTCCAGTTTTAGGGAATAGGATCTAATCACTTTTGAATCAATTCAGATGACGACTCATTTGATTGATCCAATTGATTTGGCTGCTAATCTGGACTGGTTTCAGCTGTGCTCACTGTATTTTTGCTTGAATAAAATATAATAAAATTGATATTTGATATTGGATCTACATGCATTATATCTAATCATTCCACAGTTTTAGTTGGCATGATAACATATTGTGCATCGACACTTGTATTTCCAATACAATACAGCTTGCTTGACATGTCGTATTGACACATGCAACACCAATACCAACAATAGTCATGTGTGTTGATATCAGATCCGACCAACTCGACTGGTTTGACTCGTTGATTGTGGTGTCAAAATGGTTGCATCAATAGCCTGACTGATCACACACATCAGTTGCAGTATCAACTTTGTAGTGTGTTAAATATCACATGTTGAATATACAATGCCAACAATATGGCCATTATGCACATGTTGATGTATGCAGTGATCGTATACTGGTCGATTGGTGCAATATGATCACACTAATGAAATGTGATAATCATGGTATTTGCAGCAGTATACCATATTGCACTGTTGATATTGCGCATCTAGTGTCAATGCAATGTATCAACACACTTGATAGGGTTGGTATCGATCGTTGCAGTTGTCGAGTGCTGTCATTGGTCATACATTACCAGTTGTGTGTGATTGACATTGACCATCATGACATGTATTCAAATGCAACATGCATTGTGGTGTGTGTAATTGATTATAACTGGTGTGGATTACAATCGATTGTGCACAATAGTTTGATATCGATCGCAGTTGTTGATCGATACTTGACATGACTGGCCATATATGGTTTGCACAACAGTCTGGATTGTACAATGATCACTGTCCAGATGTACATGTCAAGTGCGTGTATAATCAGGTTGACGATATTGACCAGTTGACGCATGCTGATCAACGCAACTGGTGTGTATTGTATGTATTGTGTGCATATACATGTATGGCTTGATCACTCGGATGTACATACTCGACATATATACCAACATGACAATCACCATCACAATCAGATTGTATGTGGGTCATGCTGTGATGTTGAGTGACTGGATCCAATTGCAGTGTATATACAAGCATTGTGTTCAAGTGATGGAATGAGTGCATTAATCCAGAATACAAGTCAACCATGACATATGATCATGATGTGTGGTTGATACAACTATATAGTGACAATCGAGATTGATATATCTACAACATGCAATGCCAACACAACTGTCGAGACACTGATCATGTCAAATTGAATGCAAAATATCACAAAGCGGCATATTTGAACTATGCCAATCAATTAAGTCATTTGAAAAAGCATAAACATCACAGCAAACATTGATGGTCATCTAGCGACTGAATATCAAAGCCATCTTATATAGGCTATGCAGAATTATTTGAACCTATGTTTACCTTCCTATATTTTAGCACACTAACCCTTTTTAGGGTTTTAAAGGGTGGGAAACTACACAATCAACCGACCATACAATACACAAATGCATAGCCGAGCAGACAATAGTACAACCAAGATTGCGGAACGCCATACGAAGGGTTTCCTTGGAGCTACTAACCCTGAAAATAAGGTTAGTTCCTTAGGATGATCATTCAGGAACATGCTTTTAATGCTGTCCATCGATAACAAATATAAATATGATCCGAAATTCACTTGTCAAACGACAATCATATACAACTTGCTCATAACCAAACCAATATAATGAAATTCTTAATTGTATTGACATCAATCCTGTTTACTTGCTCGGTTACTACAGCCAATTCAGTTCTCCCCACTGCAACTACAGCTACTTATTCTAGCTCTTCAACAATCTCCAACGCAAAAGTCACAAACTCGGCTGGTCTTAGTGAAGTACCCGAGAATACTATTAATTCGATCGAGGATTACCTACAGATGAAGGAAGCCTATGAGAAAGCAGAGAAAACATATAGCTTGCTAAAATTTGAAAAACTTTGTCAAGAAAAACTGATAGAATGGCTACTTGAAGAATATCGGCATTTAAGCAAAAAATCTTGGAAACGCAAGAATTCCAAACATAAGAAAGAGCTTAAGGACCTCGAACTTGAACTCGAAGCCCAAAATCTCATTCTTTTCGACCTCGAAAAAAAGTGTTCAGAGTCTTATTTAAATAGCACTCAGCTTCGTTGGAGATTTGGCGGAGTCAAAATACTACTCGCAGAGAGTCTGCTCGAGAAAAGCTCGGGTCTGAAAACAACTGATTATCACACGAAACTTGACGCACCTCACAGTCCCGTACTAAGTCAAGAGTCAGAATCCGAATCCGATCAAGCCTCTACTAGTGGAACCCATAGTCCATCACATCAAGCATTAAAACATCATGAAAGTCCATCCCCATCAACAAATGAAACGCCTGCAGTCCAACGCACTCGAACATCCTCGAGTACACAAACATCTTCCAGTACACAAAAAGCTTCCAAACGTTCTCGTGCACGTAAAATTTCTTCTAAAATTGTAAAAAAAGTTGGATTCCTCTTGGATCAATTCAGAGATGACGATTCATCTTATTCATCTGATTCATCTTATTCATCCGATTCATCCAATTGATTTGGTTGCTAATCTGGACTGATTTCAACTGTATTTACTGTATTTTTGCTTGTAATAAAATTGCAATTGTCATTTGTCATTTAAAACTGATTTTATATGCATTCTTGACTGGCATGGTATCACATTGTACATCGACACTTGTATTTCCAATACACAATACAGCTTGCTTGACATGTCGTATTGACACATGGCATGCAACACCAATACAACAATAGTCATGTGTGTTGATACCTGATCAGACCAGATTGGACCAATCTGAGTTGTTTAAAAATGACAGTCATTGTGATACTTGCAGCAGTATACCATATTACACTGTTGATATCGCGCATCTAGTATCGACATGATCATCCAAATATACAGTGATGGATTCCAACAATGCATACCATGACTGAGCTACGTGATCATTGTGTATCAAACAACTACGATTCACACTGGATTGATCCAATACATGCACGACTTGAACACACCATATTAAAAATACATATAGTAGCAGTTTGTCACTAATGAATTGTATTCAGTCGAGTTTATTGAGAGTCTTTTTGCGACTTTTGACAGTGTGGTGAGTGTTTTCAGGTACAACTACTTGATCAGTTGTAGTTATTGGTTTTCTTCTGCGAATAAATGCACCATCTGAACCTGAAGTACTTGGTTGTTCAGGCAATCTAACACTATGCATCAAATTCATGATCAGTATTAATCGATACACCCACACATCAATATCAAACAACTTACTGTGATAATGGCCAGAGCACCTGATCATTGTTTGAAATAATAGGATATCCATCAGTCGCGACTTCACATCCACATCCAGGACCAAACCCAATGCGTTTATGTGCTCGATCAAATGTCAATCCAAGTCGAGTCATAAATGGAATACCAAGAACTGCATAATAATCTGAACCAGCTTGTACAGCAAACAGGACTATAGTTCAACATGTATATTAGTCAGGTTAATCAAACAACACATTGCATACAATTGTCAAATATTTACAATTTTCAGAATCAACTCTGCATATAGTCTCTAGGACCCAGTGTGATCTCTACAACGGAGTTGCGATTTTCATCAGTTACGGGGTTTTGAGCAAACATTACGATTGAAACCGTTGGCATGTTACTTCAAACAATATTAAAAATAGCTTTGTTGAGCAATTTCAGACACCAAACAATTGAAATCTCCCATTAAAGTAATCAATATCTAGTAAAGAGTACAAAAATATTGGACCATTGTTTATTCTTACTGTTTGTTATAAATGCTCAAATGCTAATGTCTAGTAGTGTTACGAATATGTAATTTTTGAGTGTCAACTCATACATGGGCTTGTGGCGCAATGGATAGCGCGTCTGACTACGAATCAGGAGGTTGCAGGTTCGACCCCTGCTAAGCTCGTTTTTTTAGTTGTATTCATCCTGCAATAATTATTTGGTTTGGGAATAAACAGTGGTTGAATATTCTATGCATCTTCTACTAAAAATTGACATTTCAATCTTTTGTTTAGAATTGCTCGACAAACAAATCTATTTCTTATTGATTTCAGCAGGGTTTAACCAATGAATCTGTGGTTTGTAAAATGGGATGCTATCTAAAATAAGATATGCTTCATGACATTGTTTAAAAAGTCTTGTAATATTCTCATCGAGTGTTGATTTGGTTTTTATATTTTTCAGTTTCTTTACACATCAGCATGTCAACCTCGAACATCAACGACAACTCTGATCTCTACAATGTAGCATTCTTATCGACTTGACATTTTTGATTGTATCCAAAACTACTTGAAAGGATACTTTAATGAACCTTGTAGACAGGACAGATAAAGGACGACAATTGGAAAGAATCAAGTCTTGCATACATTTGCGCTCTAGATCAAGAAAACAAGATTGCATATTCGAATAATGCAACAATTGTTTCCATCTAATCACTAAAAATCATTCAGCTTTGTTGAATATTAAAAGATTCTAACAGGAAATAGAAAGTTAATAATGAATAATTGAAAAATATTGGATTGTCAGTGTACATTTCATTATAAATCGATCCACAATGTCGAGTTCAATTCAGTTTATTGGAGTTTCCTGTACAATAATAAACCATATTCAATGTTTTTTCAACGATATCGTTTCAAACTGCCTGTAAACACTCTTGCTTTGTCTAACCCTGGGCCATACTCATTCATCCGCACACCTCCCATAGTCTATACAAGGATCGATTCAGTCAATGTATCTACCACTAGTAAACCTACAACAGAATCACTTCTCCAGAAATACCAACTCTTTGGTACCCCTTCTAATATTGGCAAAATGGTGACCAGCGTCAGCAACAATGGGTTTGTTTGCAAGGACCTAAAAGTTGTTGGTCCTGGACTAATTATCAACAACACAGTGCTATTATGGGATGTCCCGCAGTATGGACTGGGTGGTCCTGAAGGAGAGTTTGATGCACAAGGCAATTCCACTGCAGAAAAGCATGTGGGTGAGGATCAGACCTCGCCTATATTTTATGGATGGTCGACAGATATGCTCAAGATTTTCAAAGTTGTTGATCCTACTCCAGGTAAAAAGTTTGATGTCATGATGGATTGAATAGTTAAACTCAACGTCACTGGAATGCTTCATTTTTAGACATATTAGTGATTGGAACCGGTGCCAAAATGGAACGTCTGCCTTTGTTATTGCGAGACTATCTTGTATCTCTTGGAATTCAAATAGAAGTTCTTACATCAGTAAGTTTCATGATCAATTGTAGGGCTGTAGTTTGATGCAGAGTGTAGTCTCGTCTAGATTCTACACTTTTCTAGCTAGTTATTGGCATACGCTACTAATTTATGGATCATGCTTTTAGACACAGGCTGCATCGACGTATAATGTACTGCTGCAGGAAGGTCGAAGACCAGCCGTTGCATTATTGCCTGCTATTCCCACAAGTGCTAGAACAGGCAAGGCACTTGTAAATCTACTCAAAAAAGAAGAGCTGGATGGTTTGATGCCTCCAATGTAAACCCAAGTGCATTGACCATGTTGGTTTGATGAGTTTATACAACTTTAATAAATGATTTCAAAACATGTAGTTTGATTTTATTGCTTATTTTTAAAAAAACAAGTCAGTTAAACCTTTCTGCAGCAGGTGGTAGCGAGATATCACTTAGAGTGGTTGGATACTGCAGCAGATTGTCATTGGATCCGACTTGTTTAGTTTGACCTGGAGTAGACAGGGTCGGTATACGAGTTGCAGAAGCGTCTGGTACACTATTGATGGGAAGTTTAATCCAATTTCTAATCCGATTATAGCCCATATATAAATTCCTTCTCCAGGCCGTCCACCGAATGGAAACCACCACAGCAACATAAACCCAAATAATAGGAACAATCAGTATACACCAAATAATCAATATAATCCACGGTTTGGGAGTCAAGACATCCATGAGATTCAAGGTTTGTTCCTGAGTAGATTCAAGCGTACTCGTATTGTCGATAACATAATCGGCCAAACTCTTTTTACGATCGATTGGCATCTGACTATCAATACGTTGCTGAGCTTGAATGACTGTAATTTTATCTCTTCTCATAAGTCGCTCTCTTTGTAGATCGTCAGAACTACAATTGTCAAACAAAACAGTGACAGCATTAGAAACTGGATTCCAAAATGCAATCAAAATGACCAAATCACCAATATGCCCAGAATCGAATCTAAATGCAAACATTTTTCAACATACCAATAGACAACAACAACGGTGTGCACCCATCGATGTAGCTTGGCTTCAAACAGTAAAGGAGTGTCCAGTACACACAATGTTTCACCTGTGATAAAATGCCATATGACTTGACGGAGCATTTCCAGACGAATATAAGGATGAGTGATATGATTGAGTTTTTCACGCAGTTCAGAGTTGGAAAATATTAGAGCACCAAGATCTGTGCGGTTGATGGTCTTGTCAGGGTTGAGAATGGTTGAACCAAATGTAGAGATGATGGAATGGTAAGCTGGGGTGTCTGGAAGGACAACCTGACGGGCAATGAGGTCAGCATCGACTACAGGGATCTTTTGGACTGTAAGAAAGGAAGATACTGTTGATTTACCAGTAGCGATACCGCCTGTCAAACCTACTATTCGCATAATATACTTGTTTGGCTGTTGATCTGATTGTCAAAGTGACCAACTTTGACAATCTGTAATTTCAAACCATTCCAACTCGGATAAAATCACCCATTACAATCGTATTCATATAAAGTACATCTTGCATTGTAATCATCAAACACTCAGTGTGCTTTCCTATTAGAAATTGGAATTGCTAATTATTCATTACATGATGCTCACCATCTGCTGTGTCCTAAAATCTCTGATACAGTCTAGTTTAAGATTGCAAGAACGCAACCATTGTTTTCATGTCCATCACTAAAAGAAATACCAGTCAACCAAAAGGTTTAAAGATAATTGTGATTTTATTCAAACAGTCCAATAAACATGCTTGATATATGGAAACTCCAGAATCTTACTCAAGAAATAAGCCCGGCATTGTAATGTTAAACAAGTTTTTCAGTTACACCAGTAGATCCAAATCCACCTTGGCCACGATCAGTAGCATCCAGATCCTAAAAGAACAAGAACAAGAACAAGAGAATGAATTGTATAAGTATAGAATAGACTGCATGAAACAAGTAAAATTGAATGTCCGATTAAAAACAAACCTCGACTTCAGTAACTTCTGGCATGGCAATACGCTCAACAATCAACTGAGCAATGCGATCACCTCGCTTGACTAATTCATCAGATACATGAGCTTCAATTCAACTTATAGATGCAGCAATAAACAGGACCTGCTGTATAAATACCTTGGAAATCAACATCGCTAAAGTTGAACAAAACAATACCCAAAGGACCTCGATAATCTCTATCAACAACACCAGCACCCACATCAATGAAGTTTTTGACTGCTAGTCCGCTACGAGGAGCAACACGACCATAAGTAAAGGGAGGTAAAGCAATGGACAGATCAGTAGGAACAACTGTTTTGCCCTTGGCAGGTATTACAGCGTCGTGTGCACTATTTGAAAGATCAGCCATAAAGAATGAGAATACAATTGGACAAGACTGCTGGTTCAATGATTGAAGTCATTCAATTGCAAATATGGAATAGTTTACCTGCATAGATCATAGCCAGCAGCATCCACAGATCCACGTTTGGGAAGTTGTGCGAATTCGGACAAACGCTTGACCAACAACAGTTCTTTTGAGGAATCATTCATACTCGTATCAACATACGAATCCAGCTTTATTTTTTTAGATGAAACCAGAGTTTTGTCTAGAGAAGTTGTGTCGGACGAGTTGGTTGACGTAAGCATTTCAAGTATTTTGCAATAACAAAAACTGGATAAAAACAAGTTTTGACATTTTAATTTGTATTCACCCAAAATCATGCATCGCAGACCATTCACTGTTACTGTTGCTGGCAGTTCAACAAAACATATTCAATGCACTTGCAATAGACAACGTAATTCAAAAACAAATTCATTCAAGATTCTCTCCAACATCACTCATGTTTCCATTCAGCATTCATATTCTACAAGATCAACTCGAACCAATCCAGTCGCTGGAAATCCTACTCACTCTGGAATGGGTGGTATCTTCTCCAAAGTCTCTGATGGTATGAATCCCTCTGATTTTAATTCACCTTTGGAAACTCATAGTATACCAATGGATTTGTCTGATGGAGTCGAGCACGATCTAAAAACATTAAAGGTGTCATGTAAGTTACAACCAGTCATCTTGTATTGGACCAATTGCTGATGTCATCTACTATTGACAAATCATACCAGTCTAATCTTTTTATTAAGCAATCTTACCAAATGATTACTTTCTATCTGGAATGTTCAAAAAGGGTCGTTTTAATCTGCAACCCAAAAAACTACGGCAACTCACACAACTGATCATCGATGAGTGCAGTAAACGCTCTCCAGAGGATTTATCAACCATGATTACGGAAAAATGTACATGCCAATTATGTTTCATATCAATGTTTTGGTTTAAACAAGAGCTACGCTAATCTTGCATTGTGTTTGCTTAATGATGGATTAGTTCCTGATGCTCAACCCAAAGATCTATATGTCTTGATTGGTGTCTTGCAAAAACACAGTACGCCTGGCGAAAAATTGGCATTTGCACTGTCCAAAGTATGTATGCATCGTGGTGATATGGATGCAGAACTCAAGTATGCAGCTATGCTCATGACAGGTAATCTCGATTTGATCAATACATGACAATGTGTATGGATTTGATTACTCATGTCAGTAATAAATAGGAGTGTATGGGGTAAAGCGCGATCAAGAGCTTGGCATGAAGCATTTAAGATCACTGGCTGATCGCAAACATGGTCCGGCATTATACATGCTTGCAATGCGAGCTATTCAAGCACAACACAAAACAGAGGCTACAGGTTTAATGACCCTGTCTGCTAATAATGGATATGCAATGGCTCAGTTTCAGCTAGGTCGGATATCAAACTAGAAGTTTATTTTTGACAATATGGCTAATGATTTCATACTGACTTGCAAGTAATAGGGTATTGGCTGAGTACATCAAGCGCATTTGTGGTGCAAGATTTACCACGCGCATTAAAGTACCTGACGTTGGCGCATGAGCAAGGAACAGTCGAGGCAACCTATTTGCTTGGATCCATGTATCTCAAAGGCCGAGGCACATTTGACAAACGGCCCGATGTTCAAAAGGCACACACTTTGTACTTGGAAGCAGCCGGAAAAGGTGGGTTGAGCGTCTATTCAAATATTTGTATAACATCTATTTACTGACATATTGAGTAGGTCTTGCTATTGCACAGCATGATCTAGCATCCATGTACTACGAGGGCACATCGGGTATTGATCGCAATGTGCCGTTGGGATTAGAATACTGGACAATGGCAGCCGAAGGAGGGTTTGCACTATCACAAATGAACATTGCCAAAGCGCGTATCACAGGATTAGAAATTGCAGGACCAGGAGGAGGCAACTATGAAAAGGATTGGGTGTTGGCAAGAGAGATGCTAGAACGAGCACTTGAAAGCAGTGACAAGGTCAATCCAGCATTGGCACAGGATGTAAAGCAACTGATTGAGGATTTGGACGAATTAGAAAAACAAAATCCAGAAGAAGCTAAAAAGTATAAACAAAAAGCAACCAAACGCAAATCTGAAATGTGTTTGATTTTATAACCAATTGAATGATACAAGTCAAGGATTCTATCATTGGCAGTGCAAAAGGACTTTAAATAGTCGATCTTGTTGAATGCATGATTTAATAAAGCAATTGCTTTATTTTATTATAACCGTGTTCATGTAAAATACAACATCTATCAAAAGAACGCAAATATTTAGCCATTGTATATTCCAATACAAGATAAAGTGTTTAATTCTTGTAAATATGGCTCATGATAAAACTTTGGTTATTAAATACTCGAGTCTTTTGGTAAACTGTTTTAAAATATCTGGTACAATTACTTGATAGTTGGAGATGAAGGGAATCAGTGACAGACCAAAAGCTGATTTTAATCACAAATGCGTTCAGATCTTATTAGCCAAAATCATTTCTGGAACCCTATGTCTTGGTAATCCAAATATTGTCAAATTTGTTTTTTATATGCAACTCAAAACCTTGTAAAAGTGACTAATGTTTTTCTCCTTGCTTTACATAGCATATGAATTGTAGCAAGTTTAAAATTGTTTTTGAATCAATAAAACGGTATATGGATTAATTTCATGTAGCAATAAAATAGTGTTTCCAGCCCATTCCAATCAACCTTGCGTGAGGATAACACCCAACTAAACTAGGCGAATTGTTCATCAATGCATCTACAAGCAATATGGGTGAAAGGATTTGCTCTTCCTCTAATTTTTCGGCAGGAGACCGGACATCAATCAACCGCGACCAAATAGATTTGGGTTTGGGTTTTCGTGGAAACACTCCGTTGGCTTGATATACTTTACCGCTTTTTCCTAAAGCAATAGCTGAGAGTGGTGATGCAGTCATGGCGGTGATTGGCTCAGTGAAAGTCGCAAGAGTCATTTTCATATCATCCAAAGCAGTGAACATGGGAATAGCATGAACCAGTCCTGATTCTGTAATTGACATGTTGAAAATATGTTGAATGGTAGGATTAGTTTTGGCAATAAACCCCAGTTTATCAAAATGCAAAGCCATCAAATGCACCTCTTAGTACAACAATCTGATTATTCATGATAAACATTTGTCGTAATTGATTGTCCAAAGTCAGTGGGTCTTGGATAATTTGTAATAGCTTCAAGGGTGCAAATTTATCATTCTTTAGCGGCACGTTCTCTAGCATGGCATAGTATGGAGTATCTGTTGGTTCTAGATCTACGACGCGAGCAGTTGGATGCGATCCATATATCAAATACGTCGTGCGTCCATTTTTTGTACCTTGAACAACAACCAAATGATGTGATGCCTCGACCAAAGAAACAGAATCCAAGCAATCTTGGAGATCAATTTCAACAGGAATGGTAGATTTTACCCTGATTACGGATTGTGTTGAATCGGATTCAACCATGTTTGTAATCTGGGAATCGTAATGGCCCCAAATAAAAACTTTTGTAGCCGACTCCTGTGAGCTAGATGATGCTGTAGCAAACGAAAGACCCATGCGTGCATTCACGCTTTTTATATGCAAACCATCAACACCTTCAAATCGCTTAATAACATGCGGACGGGATTCAAAGTACTCGTTATCATGACCAAGTAATCCTGCACCCCTGAATAAAAAAAAGGTTAAAACTTGAGATACATCCATTTCAAAACAATACGCAGCAATCCCATTCTTTCAGCGTGTATTACCAGGTCAGTACTTTGCCCGTTTCCGTCAAAACAATTGTGTGGAAATCACCACATGAAAGTGAAACGACATTTTCATTTTGCAAGCTCTCTTGTAGCCATCGTGGTTCCCAAATAACCTCCTCGTCGTCAGATGAAAACAGGGCACTTTGAAGCTCAGGAAAGTAGCCTGCTTGTCCAAAGTAGTTTGATCCCCATACATGCACTTGACCTTGACCCTTCACGTCCACCAATGCTGCAGAGTGAAATACACCTCCCGTAATCATTTTGACTAAAATCAAACTTGGAGATTTAGTACACCATGATAAAGCGATCCATAATATGAAATTCATAAGCCTACTTTGTTTTTCTTGCATTCCCAAAACAGGTGTAGGAACGATTTGTTGGCTCACATGATGCAACCCAAGCTGTCCTTCACTATACAGAATAGTCGAGTATAGAATGTAAATTGACATGTTTATCGATAAAATTAAAAATGACATTGGTTTACAGCTGTATTCACATAAAATAGAGCACTAGATAAGGGGGTTACAATACATAGTTTCATGAAATAGTTGGCATTAAAAAATGCAGTTTTTGGGTTTAAACTAGAGCACAGACATACGAAATTTTAGAATACAACAAAAGGCACAGATCCTGGTTTAAAACTATAGTTTGATTGTGTGCGTCATACAAAGAATGCTGTATCTGAAGGATTCACCATGTCGATCAAGTAAAAAATTAAATTCGAGTAGGAAAGCACAATAAATATTCAATGATTGCAAATTCCATTTTATATGAATACAGCTGTAAAATCAAGTAAAGCAATATTGAATAAATTGAGATTGTCACCTACTTTCCAATACCCCAACATAACAATGCCGATTCATGGTTTGACTGTTGATCCATCTGTGTTGTACTTGCTGTAGATAAACTGCGATTGATTTGGAATCGACAGAATGAGATGGTAAAATGACGTGTGATATGATTATGATAAACCAATTGATTTAGCCCAAGAGCTTTCCTTGCCAACATTTGCAACAAATATTATGTTTAAATACAATTTAAATTGATGAAAACTTCAGTTTAAAGTGAATCCTGCAGCAGCAATCAAATATTTATTTTTAATGATATAATCCTGAGGATGTGCAATAAAGTGCTGTTGGATTTGTGCCGAAACTTGACATTATGCAACAGGACAAGATCTTGCTGTTGGGCGACTCGCTAACACAGGTAACAATCGTTTTTCAATTGAATAGCACAATACTATTTAGTTTGGTTTCTAGCTTTCAAACATGACTATTAAATCAAATCTAATTTGCGATTGAATTAGAGAGCTTTTGTTCCTCAGCAGCTTGGATGGGGTGCTCAGTTGGCCAACACTTATATTCGCAAACTGGATGTCATAAATAGAGGGTTTTCAGGCTATACTACTGCATGGTACAAGGATATTCTCCCATCTATCCTTGCAGCCGAGACCAGTGTGATCGCAGTCCATTCAACAAATACATCAATTCAAAAGAGTTCTTCAAACATTCAACTAGCAACAGTTCTGCTAGGATCTAATGATGCCAGTTGTCCAAACTTATGTCCTACCCAGCATGTACCTCTTGAAACCTACAAAGCCAATTTGGATGCAATTCTTACTACAATCCAAGAAACCACTCCTTGCACTCGTATTGTACTAATGACTCCACCACCCGTACATGACAGCAAGTGGAAGGCTGAAAGACAGGCAAGAGCAATGCATCAAGATCGCTCTTTAATAGCTGTACGACCCTATCGGAATGCATGTATCGAACTGGCTAAAAAACATCCTCGTGTTGCATTACTAGATTTATGGACAGTGTTTTTAGGTCACGATGCTGGCAAGCTTGTGGATCAGATCTTGCTTCACTCATCTAATCCTAAACATCATTCTGACAGCAATGAAACCTCTAGTTTGTCTGATTGTCTGTTGGGACCGCTGTTTGATGATGGGCTGCATTTTGACACTCTAGGCAACTGTAAAGTGTATGACGCTCTTTTAGCGCTGGTGCTCTTGAAATGGCCTGAATTGGATCCATATACAATGCCACCTCTCTTGCCATTCTGGGATCAGATTAAAAAATCAGACTCTAAACCATTTGAAAAATGGATCAAGTAGATACAACCCAGCCCGACTTTACCCATCAAATAAAACCATAGGCTTGATTCAGTGTGATAATGACTACGGATAACATTTGCAGGTACACGTGCTGTCGAAAGAGCTGCATTTTTGGATTACTGAATAAAATGTTGTTGGCCCAACACGTTAATATTCAAGGACGCCAACTTTAACTTTAAATATATGAAAGTTTGACTGCATCTGACAAGAATATATTTGAACACTTTTCAAGCAAGTGTTGGTTTCAGAGTAAGTTGGAAGCAGTCACAAAGCTATAAAATGGATAGAGGCATTGGCGCAAGAGCAACAACACCAAACATTTCTGTCGTAACAGGTTAGCCAAACTACATCTGCTCAATACATAGTATTGTACCATCAGCTAAAATGATCACAAGTTGAAGCCATACAGAACATGTACGAATAGTCTAACTCATTTATATATGTAATGCATAAATGTAATGTTATGATGGCAGATACTGTAGCAAGACAGGCCCAGTTTAATACAAATACCATTAATCCAGCAATGAAACAACAGTCAAATTCACAAGCCAATACATCATTTACACCAGCATCCACATCAACATCCATGACGGCACTCACAACCGAGTCAAGTTCAATATCTTGTTCAGTTCCACACAGCATCAATGCAACCTCAACTGGAATTTCTGCTGCAGCATCTACGCCATTAATATTCATGTCTAGTGCTCGTGTTGTGGCGACAGATAAGCCTATAACACGGCTAAAAACCATGAATCCTGGTGGACGCGTACCTGCACTTGGGAATGTAGATATTTCAGGATCCAAAGACTTGAATGAAGATCAAAAAGAAACCATTCAACATATCCGTAGCGAGTCTCTAGCAGAACTGAACCAACTATACATCATGAAAGAAACGATTGGACAGTAAGTTGCATGCCATTACTCTTTTAAACTGAGTTTGAGTCGAATATACTTTATTTACTCTACCGCATCATAAACATGTAATTAGAGGAGCATTTGGAGTCGTCAAGATATGTGAGCATAGAGCAACCGGAAAGTTATATGCATGCAAGATTGTAAAAAAAAAGATTGGAAGTACAGCCAGCTACGAACAGCTGCAGCGTGAAGTCAGCATTATGAAAGCAGTTCATCATCCACACATTGTTCAGTTACAACAGGTTTTGGAATCACCAAAAAAAATGTGCATGTTTATGGAGTAGTGAGTTTTAATCATGTTTCTATTTAACGATTTGGATTTTGGAATCAGTGCTAATTTGCTCAATCCAACTTGATCCTGGATCCAAATATAGCTGCGAAGGAGGTGAATTGGTTCAAACAGTTCGAAAACGTGGCATGTGCACTGAAGACGAAACAAGAATGATTTTTGTTCAGTTGATTGACGCTGTTTGTAAGTTTCGAATGTCTTGACCAATATTTTAATAGTTTTGAAATACTTACTTTGTTTTACAGCATATTTGCACAAACATGGAGTAGTACATCGAGACATCAAGGTAACACTAAACGCTGTGCATTACTTTGATACACAATCTCTGGATGCTGCTGATGCATGGCTGGAATATACTCATAATGTTTTTTGAAACTGATGCAATGATTTAGCCTGAAAATATACTGCTCAAATCAAATCATCCATCCAAACTTTATAATATCAAGGTTGCAGATTTTGGACTCGCATGTTTTGCAGACAGCATGAATCGCGTCGAAAATGTAGCTGGCACTCCAATGTACATGGGTAAGTTGGTGGGATGGCTTGCTGGAAATAACTAAAACAGCCCATATACTGAATAAGGTGTCTACATTTGATTTGATCGGAAAAGCACCGGAAATCATTCATCATTTGGGATACAATCACTCGTGCGATATCTGGAGCATTGGTGTCATGTTTTATTTATTGTGAGTTATCAGGACAGATTGTGTGTAATACATTTTATAAATCATGAAAATGCAATGCACTGAAACGCCAATTGTTCTAGACTTTCACATTACCACAAGGATGCAGAATTACTCGTTCAAGATATGCTTAAAAACGGAAAGATAGAGTATCCAGATAAACTATGGGGTAAAATCAACCCATCAGGTAATTTTTTAAGCCAGGTCAAACCCAACTTTGCTATACTTTTATACGATTCATGAATAGGAGGGTTGACTGATCGCACAGTGATTTAATACATTTAGCCAAGAATTTAAGCGAGCTTATTCTGCGGTACGATCCTGCAAAGCGAATCAGCGCAGCAGAGATTCTACGACATCCATGGACACTTGTAAGTTAAAAATACATTGTAGTTTGATGATACTCGCCAACTGTTTTGATATTTGCAATATTAAAATACCACTGAATTTTTAGAATCAGTCAATGGAGTCTTCACAATTAAACGCCAATGTGCTGGACATGATGCGATCTTACAATGCCGAGCAAAGACTACGACGTGGAATAATTACTGTTGTTGCAGCACTTCGATTTCAAAAAAAGAATCAAGCCCACTTACCAACACAAGATACGCGCGTGCAGCCATATCACCATGCTGTAGAAAACAAGCCACGACTAGCCAAACCCAACGGTTTGATACTTGCATCACCAAATGCCTTGCTAACAACCAGTCAACGTATCATTAATCATGGTGAGTATGCAGCAAATAATTCTTTTGGATCAAATGCCACTGCAAAACTACATGGACATACAGAGTTTACATCAAGTCATTTGATTGCAGACAGCCACGCAATGAGTCGTTCAACAAAAGCGCCATATATGGCACCCTTGAGCGGATCAGGATCCGGATCAGGATCAAAGGATTTGGCGACATTAGAAACACACAACGAGATGGAATCAAGCAAAAAACTAAACGAGCCAACAGTACGCCCATTCTATCTCAAAGCAAGACAATCACATGGATCTATTATGCCAGTATCTGGATCAAGTGGAACCAGTCCTGTAGTAATAGGCAATTCAGTAGCTGCCATGTCTCGCGGTACACCAGTTAATCATCGAGGACATGAGGCAGGAGTACGAACAGAGCAGAATATGACACGAGAAACCGATAGTGTTGGAATTGGACGCTCCAAGAAAGGATGCGCAAAAACATTCAAGGACAGTAACAGGGATTCACCGCCAGAAGCTAAGCTAAAAAGAGCAGCAGTAAAACCCATAGGCGCAATACATGAGGATGATGCCTTGATAGCATCTGGATCCAAACAACTGTCCAATCCGTTTGGCTCAAGCATACCGGCTGTATCAAATATGAAAGTGACACTAACGCACATCAATACAGATCTAACGTCGATTGAACGAGCCAATCCAACTATTTCAGATATACCTCCACTTCCCAAAATCAAACCAATTTTTCCCAGCATCCATGATCAACCCACAACCAGTAACAATAATGATGATAGATTCAACAACCATAGAGCAAAACGGTAAAACACAAATAAAAAATAGATGAAATAGAAAGCAACGCCAACAAGTGCAGCAGGTCGCATGTTTATTACATGGGCCGCAATAAACATCCTTGTGACAACATTCAATTCGCTTACTGATCTATATTAGCATAACTGAATGATTAGAATCAACAATTATTTAATTACAGTTTATAGATCTGATCAGGGTAGCAACCATTCTATTGATAATACAAAGTCAACCTTGAAGCAAAGAGCTCAGACATGCAAAATATGATTCCGGATGCAAACTTTTCTTCATGAATTGTTCAGAAGAGGGAGTTAAAAGTCATCATTGCAGCTCTTGGTTGATATTGCAATCATAGTAACGAGAGCATAGAATCAAGTGCAGATTAGATCGTACACCAGATCGTTGCAGTATACAGCCCTGATCAAATCACATTTAGCAAGTGATTTACATACCAGAAAAATCAGGTTTCTTAACGGGTTTTAAAGTAGTCAAGGAGAACGCTGACAGCCTCAGAGTCCTCTCCAAAGTCACGGACAACGACGACGGAGCAGCCAACAACCTTGCGAGGATTACCCTCACGATCAATCTTGCAAAGACCAACCCATTCTCCAAGCTTCTTGGCATCAGAAACCTTGATCAAATTGATGTTGTGATCGGCGCAAAGAGCCTCGACAAGCTTGACATACTCGCCTTCAGTGCAGGTTTCAACCAATACACAGAGCTGAGCATCGCGACGATCGAGAGCCTTGACAGCCTCGCGAATACCACGAGAGAGACCGTCATTGATAAGAGCCTTTTTAAGAACCTCTTGCAAGGCTTCTTCGACGGTCATGGGACCCTTTGCGGGAGCATCTGCAGCAAGCTGGACTTGCTCGACGACTTCAGGAACTTCTCCTTCTGTTGACATGTTTGATGATAAATTCTTGTTTGGGGAAAAGCCAACAGACGTCCTCACTAGTAGATGACAAGTTAATACTTGGATGCATGCAATAATCGATGGATGGATGGATTCACTCACAGGTTTGAAAAGTAGTCAAACAACACTTTGCGGTTCAGTATTTGGTTTTATGGTCAAGTTCATCAATCACGTGAATAAATTCACAATCTCAAAAAGTCTAATCTTGTCAAGGAAACGCCAATATCATTGGTAAAGTTTATTCAGAGTTATGCTTCGTCTTCAACAGTCTTGTCATCATCCACCTCTGCTTTACGTTTCAAACCCTTCATTTTCCTAGTTTGCATCTGGCTCAGATCTTGCTTATCGATCCAAACACGGCCTGTTCTCTCTCCATATGCATTCTTGTTGACATTCTTTTCCTTCTTGGGCTAGTTATTCAAGAGTAAGTATTCACGCAGAATATACACATCATCACAAGGTGTCAATCTACAAACATCAAGACATGACATTACCTTGACTTCTTTAGGAATTTTGAGCGCATATTTCATCACGTCGGCATCGGCTACACGGGCTCTCCGCAACACAAAGTCAAAATGAGGTGCCATATCTTCCAACTCAACTCGAGGCAGCTTTACACCACTCTTCTTCAGCTGTGGAGCATACACTCTCATAAATATCTTTGACATGCCCTCTCCTTCGGGTCGCAAGGCAGTCAACGATATCACATGTCCAATGCCACGAAGATCGACTTGATCTGCCGTGCGATCTCCACTAAAAAAGTCAAAAAGAATGGACTTTGCAGTTTGTAATTCTGCCAAAGACTCCCATGCATCTCCGTTGAATAGAATGAGTGGACGGTATCCACTGGATATTGAAGTATTCTAATTTACAGCAATTTAAGAATAAAAATGGTGTTGATTAATCATTTCCAAACAGCATTGCTAGAATGGTTTGGTAATCAAAAATACCTTGATCTCTTCCATGTATGTCATGTTGGTCATACCAAGTTCAATCATGTCCAAAAGTTGGTGATTAAACATGCGAGCCAAAACCAAATTATGAGGACGTTTCTTGCTATGGTTGGCTAGCACAATGAATCCAGCATCATTCTTTTGGGATAAAAACTCGAGTGGTTTTGGATCATCAAATGGGTGAATGTCGTTACGTTTGGAGAATGAAACTGCATCTGGTTTTTTAAGCGAGTGCTGCAACACATGGTCAAGGTATACAAAGTTAGTTCATTCGATGCATTTTGACATTGAAATGAGTGGTCTACTCCATTCAGCATAAATAACTAAAAAGTGACACACCAGTTCTTTTAGTCCGTCAGATACAATTTGGCTTGTAGTAGTGCCTTTGAGGAATAGAGCTACTTTAGCACCCTCTTCGATGACTGGCTCTCGTTTTTTGAGTGCTCGTTTGCCCGAGGCAGTCTTTGCTTTTCTAATCAACCACATTAAACACAAATCAATCGTTATGACTTTATTTCGCATGTAAATTAACCTGATTGCACTCTATACTCACACTGTACGCAACATATCAATATAAAATATTTAATTGAATCAACTACAAAATCACCAATTTCAAAAAAAAAAAGAATTGGATTTTTTACTGAAAACGCGTTTCGACTTTCTGCTTGAACCTGACTGATGGCCACGCCTCAAAACTTCTCATAATGCACAACTATGAAAAATACGTTTATTTAAAAGTTTGATACTGATGGAGTCTAAGTAGATTGCGCTCCAGCATCGAAACAGTCACTTTACCGATCGAAGGCACAAAGATGGATGCTTTTTGTTTGATGGCTTCGAGATCAATGTTTTTAAAAGTGGAAAAGTTGATGGCAATCACACCATCTTTGAGAAGTGTAGTGTCCAGTTTGTACTTTTCAGTAGGAACTCCAGTAATGACTACATCTGTTTTTGACAAGGCTTCTGTCAAAGTGATCTTGGTCTCAAACACCTATACATTGGGTAATGTGTTGGTATGCGAACGAGTTCAACATACAGTAACAAATGATACTTACCTCGTGTTTAGAAAGCTTGATACCATCGCCGCGGTGAAATTCCATGATGCCAAACTCGTCAACAGAATACACTCTGGCACCGTCGTTCGCCAGCAAACAAGCAAGTGGACGACCAACCACCTCGCTACGGTTGATGATGGTAATGATACGACCGTGTAAACGGTTTCCATATGGAAGAATTGGATTGTATGCACCAATGTACTCTAGGATCTTAACAGCCGCAAGAGGAGTACAAGGAATAATACACTTTTGAGTTTCTTTCTTGTCAAGGAAGCGAATGTTGTGATACATGTTATACCGATACTTATGGCACAAGCCCTATACAACACATTACGATAAAAATCAGCAAGAGAATAGATACAAACTAGTAGATTAAATTTGGCTGAATACCTCGACATCCTTGGTATAGCTCACGGTATTCTGAATATATTGATCCTACAGCATTGATCAAGCAAAAACAGTTATAAAGGCTACAAGGAATTGAAATGTATTTTATTATATACAGTCCAATGAAATAGCACTTGTATTAACTGACTTACCTGAGCTCCACCAAACACGGGGTAGTAAACCATGATACCGTGCACATTTTCATCCTCGTTGGCTTCAACAATCTTGTCTTCCAGTTCAGTACGAGGACATTCACGTAGCTCAAACTCAATGCCAGTTTGTTTGCAGGTTTTGGCAGTCCATTGGGCATACATACGTGCAGCAGGATCTTCGTTGGCTAAAAATCCTACTAAAAGTGGCTTAATGTTGGATGAAACAATAGTTGCCTTGATCTCATTACTACAAATCAAATGAATCAATAGTTAAAATGGATGCAATCCAATGTGCAAGATACTGCGACAAGTTTAAATGTAAACAGTTCCATATTGGTTTACAGTCGTATTCATCTAGAATGAAACACTAAACGAGTGTCAATGTATAACAAACAATCTCATAAACTGGTTGATGTCCAATTTACTGAATATTGTTTTTTAAACTCATTCGAGTTGATTAGTTCTTTTGGTGATTGGCATACAAACAACAGTTGCAGTCTTTGGTTTCTTGAACTTTATATGTTCGCGATCAAGTTCAAGAAACCAAGGATTTGACAACAGTCGAATCCAATATCCAGATTGTGATGGATGAATCTGGTAATCATACAATGTATGACTACCAAATGACCCGAAATGGATAGTTTGGTTTTGTGTGCATCACATCATGTATGTGGTCTGAAGAATTGTGCAATTTTTGGTAGGAAAGCGCAATGTATATTTAATCATTGTTTATCTCCAAGCAAAACAGCGGTCACTGCAGGATAGTGTTCCGTTTGCATGAATATGGCTGTAGTAGGAAATAGGTTGTAAAATTCAACAAAACAGTGACTGAGAATATATAAAGCACTCATACATGAATGAAGCGGCAACATCGCTGGCCTGAACAACCTTGCAAGCCATTGCAGCAAAAGGAGTTTCTTGAGTGAATGATAAGGAAAAAAGTATGAATTTTTAATTTTTAATGAATTTCATGCAAACCAAGAGTTTACAGGGTTCTATCTGCCGTATTCACGCAAAATGGAACACTTAAATAAGGGTATCAAAGTGTATGGTAAACAGCCAGTCTTGTCAAATAATCGATACCACTAAGTTATTAAAAGTATTGCTGTTTAAACTATCTAATTGGCTGGTATGTCTCGTGGTGACTGGCATAAAAATGGCTTGTATTTCAGAGATATGCAATCTTTGTTCAAGTAAAAGCGCAAGCACACGAATCAAGGTATACAAAGGAGAGGCAAGTTCAGAAAAGATGATTTAAAACCTGTTTGGTCGTGTGAACATCATATGATGAACGTTGTATTTGAATTGAGATTGTCAATTGAACAAGCAGTCAATTTGTAGTAGAAAAGCACAGCGGATATTCAACTATTGTTTATTTCCAAGCAAACAGCGGTCATTGCAGGATCAACACAAATCTTGTATTTTACGCGATTACGGTTGATCATTTATTCAAAGCACTTGAATTGAAGCAAGACAAACTTTTACAACTATTACTGCATCGTTAGTTACAATCTTTGCTAAATCGTACATGGAATACATTACGACCTTGCCCAATATATCATTAAAGTACCTGCAGTATCGTGGATTTGCAGCAGTTACTGCTCTAGCAGCAGTAGTTGCATTCATCAACCTCGTTATGCTAACGATTGTAGTTGTTAAATTAATTCAAAATGCTTCAGCTACAAGAGAGCTCAACGCCATCATTGTAGCATTGAACTTGGGTTGTCTTATTCTCCAACTGCTCGAGTTTATTGCCATTTATGATTTCAACATTCAAATTGACCATCAGCTTGACTGTGGAGTTCCATTTCTAACGGCGTCTATGCTGGGTGGGGCATCGATGCTGCAACTTGAGATTCGTATTAAATTTGATGCATTATTTGATACGGAATCATCCAGGAGCGGGTTTTGGACATATAGATGGAAGTTTTATGCAAGAGTGGGTCTTGCTATTGTTCACTTTGTTTTATGCTGGCCAGCCTATTTGCTATCTTCAGATATCATATGGGTGGATCAGGTACGTTCAATATTTGAAATCAAAAGTAATTGAACCAAACCATGTGTAGTGTAAAACTAAATTAAATGATTGATTATGCATGTAGTGGCATTATGCTGGATTGTCCATTCAAGCTCTGTCACTGTCGATTTTCAGTTTTTTATTGGCTATTTTGATTACGCAACGTCTGATTTTATACTACAAATCCGACCCAAAAGTCGAAGCACTTCGATACCAATGCAATAGTTTAATTTTTCTACTTATAATCACTCTTTTTATGGACATACTTGGCATACTTGCATACACGATGGAAGCTTTTCTTATCCAAGATTCTCGAGAATACATGCGGAATTTAGCAGCACTTGCAGATCAGTTTGCGATTGCAACACTTGGAATAGAGATATTTTGCGAGTCTGCCACATTGCTCATGGTTGTGCATTTAGTGAGATCGAGACAAGCGGATTTTGTACCAACCAAATCAGGCTCACTTTTTGACGAGACCTTCAAGAGCGTTGTGTCCAAAACATGTGCGCCAAGAGAAATCCCAACCACACTGTCAAGCTCACTCTTTAAAAATGTGACGCTTGAGCGACGATGCGACAATGGATCTTCATTGGTATGCAATAGTTTTACCAAGACTTCTATTTCGTGTTAATCTGAACATACCTTACACTTTTTATATTGAAAATAATAGCTATTCGTTCTCATTGTAATTTTATAAATAAATACGAGTAAAAATAGTAGATAAAAATGCAATGATTAGTAGTTTTTAAGATGGTTACAAAGACATTGCAATGTCTTTGAGAGCATTTAGATAAGCTTGTTTGTTCAAGTCAACATTTGAATTAATTTATAAAGAATTGACTTTTAAAAGTATAAGATTTGCATAATTCTTGACTTGTAGAAAATCCAAGTTTTGCAAGTCAAGAATTCAAATCTTTTGATTTTGCAGTTGTAATCGGAATAGTTTTTAAAATCAGATTTTGACATTTCATCTTTTCATTACAAACACAACCATGGCTGAACCTATCAAGATGGAAAAAGACTGGTCGTCTATTGTTGATATACAGCTTCCAGAGGCTGATGTACTGCTCAAGGTATTTACTTTATATTCGTTCATATAAACCTTGTTGGATTTTAATCTATGAAATAGGTCAGCCATTGCTATTCAATGTGTATGTTCAGCTCATCTAGACTTTGACCAACTATTCTACTATTGTGCACATGGATCTGATGCTGTTTCCTGCTGTGTATTCACTTGAGTTTGATGTTTTTTACTTTCAATCCACATCACATTATCACCCCTGGTCTAGTGGGAATCTACAACTGTCCTTGATTCAACAATAGCCTGACACTTGCTCTTGAACTACTTGTTACAACACATACTGTGCTTGAACTACTTTCTAAACACTTTATTTCTGATTCGTGTTTGGTTTAATTTAACAGGCTGGAAAACTCTCGGACGCTATTGAGCAACTGATGGTTTTGGAAAAACAAACTCGTACGGTTAGTTGTTTGCTTGATTATTTGTTAAAAAGCTGTCTTGTTTTATCTGAAATGCAAGGGGGTTTCATGGATCGTATCGGATTCAAATCTTGAAGATGCACCATGTCATGTTTCAACCATTACTATTGAATGTTTCATTCTATCTGTAAAGAGTCTAGGCGTTCATTTAAATATGTCGGCTTGTTTATCAATACTTTGAGTTGTGCTAATCAGTGCTTTATTACCAAACATCTTAGTCTGCAGATCTGTCGTCCAACTCGCGTGTTTTGCTTCATATTATTGGTATGGCTTATGCTGCAAAGGACTGGAAGCATTTGAATGAAAACATTATTGTTCTTTCCAAAAAACGTGCTCTTCTCAAACAGGTATGGGTTCAAACCGCTAGTATTGTTGATACCTTTGCAGTTTGCTCAACACATTTCATTTTTACTGCCATGTCATTCCACACGTTGATAATGATCACTACTAGGCAATTACCAACATGGTACAGCAGGCCATGAAGTACGTTGATGAGATTTCTGACATGAAAGTCAAACTAGAGCTTATTGATACGCTTCGGGCTGTTACTGACGGAAAAGTGAGTTACCAACCTATAATGACTATTGGCCTGTTTAAATTTAAAGACTACATTTTACTCATTTGTAATACGTGCTAGATTTTTGTGGAGGTGGAGCGTGCTCGACTCACCCGTAAGCTTGCAAAAATAAAAGAGACGGAGAATAAAATAGCAGAAGCTGCCGAGTTGATGCAGGAGTTACAGGTAGGTTTGATGATGTTTTTTATACAGTACAAAGTGACTCATGTTTATTCATGTACAACAGGTTGAAACCTATGGTTCTATGGACAAGAGAGAAAAGACTGATTTTATTCTTGAGCAAATGCGTCTTTGCATCGCAAAGAAGGACTATACTCGCGCTCACGTCATGAGTCGTAAAATTAGCCCCAAGTTTTTTGATGATGAAGCCAACCACGATCTTAAAATTCGGTTTTACGAATTGATGGTTCAACATGCAGTGCATGCTGAGAAGCATTTGCATACCTGCAAACACTATCGCTCATTGTATGATACACCATCTATTCTTGCCAATGACGCTAAATGGCAAGAGGTATTTTTTAGTTTCAAGCACATTTATTTTTATTGAAACTAGAGATAATATTTACAAGGCTTGTCTATTGTGTATGGTAGATGCTCAAGCATGTCGTGCTTTACATTGCACTGTCTCCATATGACAATGAACAATCTGATCTTATACATCGTATCAATGAGGACCATAATCTTGGAAAGCTTTCCTTTTTCAAGTAAGTGAGATTGGTTGAGATTTACAGCATAGACTGATGTATTCAAGCATCAACATGACAAGGTTGCTGATTTTGAAATATTTTGCTGTTGATACAGGGATTTCCTCAAGTGTTTTATTACTAGCGAATTGATACGCTGGCCAAAGATTGAAGAGATTTATGGTGCAGCGCTCAAAGCCATTAGTGTTTTTGACCCTGCAACAGAAGATGGTCAGAAGCGTTACAAGACTCTTCACAAGCGTGTTATTGAACATGTAGGTGCAGATGTCTACATTTGTATTTCTAGACTGTTTCAATTAACACGATAAATTTAGAATATTCGGGTTGTTGCAAAGTACTATGATCGTGTTACACTCAAGCGTCTGACCCAGCTTCTTGATCTTTCGATTGCAGTAAGATGATGCAGTATTTTTTGAAGATAAAAGTGTAGATGAGAACCCTACCAACCATTAAGACGGGTTTATTCATATAAATAGGAAACTGAAGAGTTTTTATCCAACCTGGTTGTTGACAAGACCATTTATGCCAAGATTGATCGCCCAGCAGGGATTGTATCGTTTGTAACACGCAAAGATCCCAATACGATTCTCAATGAGTGGTCTCAAGACATCAATTCGCTGCTTGAACTTGTTGTCAAGACAGGACATTTGATTACCAAAGAAGAGATGGTGCATTCAATTACCAAGACGATTTAAGACAGCAAGAATGCAAGCTCACAAAATAAATAGTATTTTTGTGAACACGATGAACAAGACTCGAGATATTTTATAGTTTTTATAGTTTTGATTTAAAACAAGTTTATAACAATTCTTATTGACGGACAGTTTGCAATTCTTTACAAACTGATTGAACGTGTCGAGAACACTTTGGTTTCACAACTGCTGAACCCATTCAGCAGCTGTCAAACCATTTTACAACTGCATTCAAGTTTAAAGCATTCATTACATTCCAAGTCAGACATTGTATTTCAAGTATAAAGAATTCGTTACATTCAACTTTCTATTCAAGTGTTTCTAGTTCATTCTACACTTGTTAGTCTTTGGTTTCTAAAACTTGACATACTTGGAGTACAAGTTGATTCTGGATTGTCAGGATAATGACGGGCAGTCAAAGACAAGGTATTGAATGATCTACTGAATCAAATAAGACGTTCAAGTCGGACTAGTCAAGTCAGAACTTATTGTATGAATAATCCAACTGTTTTCTATGTTTTAGGTCCGCATCGTTCCAACACCAACACATCTGAGCATTCTCTTGGACGAATCCAACAGCATCAGTCTTTGAATAACACTGCAAATAATATAAGTGAAAGTACTTTTATAAACAACAGTCAACTGGCTTCATCGCTTGCATATCCTAATCCATTGTTGGGACTTTCTCAATTTCGGGATAGACCGGATTCACGACAGCAAATGCAATCTGCAATGCTGGATGATTCAGATGTTACTGCAATATCAACTGCTTCTCAACGTAATCCATATCCTATGACTGGCTCTGCACAACGATTACGTCAAATGCCTCAATTTCAACCAATGCTTCAGTCTGGCGTGCAGCAACACATTCAACTCTCTCAGTCTGGTTCGTCCGTGTCCATGCAAGCTGCTCATGCTCCACAGCTTAATCCAAAACTTCAACCTCAGATTTTACAACCTCAATTGCTTCAACATATACAACAGCAGCAATTTTTACAACAGCAACAACATCAAAATCTGTTTCAACAACAACATCAGGAACCTTCGCAGCAACATCTAAAACGATTCCAAAAACAAAATATCACTCCGCCTCTGTTTGTATCGGATTCCTCAGTGCATGGCTTAAAACCGTTGCACAAGTATGAATATAGGCTTCCTTCTGATAGACTTTTGTCGCGATCGGGTGGTTCCGGTGTGTTTTATCATGCATCATCCTTGTATTGCTTGATTCATTCATCTCAACTAACTTGTTCTCAATCCATTTGATTGATCATGTCAGATTATGTAGATGTATACTTGCAACGACACGGCCAGCCTGAAGATAAACTGGACGAAACTACCGTCAAGGCAGGATATACTGATAAATCTCCTGTCCAAAATGAAACTCTGTCCGTATTTGAATCCATCCATATCTATGATCACCTATCCAGAAAAAATGTGTTTCAAGACATGGTCAAGTTTGCATCCACTGTCCTCGCTGCCCAATCTCAAGTTACCTTTCCAAAAGAATCCCAGTTTACCATCTCAAGGCGAACGGGCACATCTTCCAAAACATACGACAACTGGATAGATGACTTGTTTGGAAATATACCTTTTTCAGAACTAAGTAAATCTGTTCCTTTTGGATTAAAACTTGACAAGTTACTCGAAAGTCTGCAGCAAAAACAGGTCTCTCTTGTTCGTGCTACCTGGGCCATCAAAATGATCGGAGTAACCGATCTTGCTAGTTCATCTCGCTTATCCAGAGTCGATAGTCATCTTGATGCTTCGTTTTCATGGACTTCCATCGTCATTGCGTATATCCAAAAACAAATCAACGAAGTCTCTCTTTCTGCTGTCAATACGCCGCAAATCTCTCAAGTTCGCAATCAAAAAAGAACACAAAGTAAAGAAGCTATTGCTGCTGCGGCAGAAGCTGCTGCTAGTAAACATATCTCTCCCAAACAACGACACCATTTTATATCGCGATGGGATTATTTGTATGTCTTGTCATCCGTGTGTTGTAAACTCAGTCTTCCTACAGTGTCTACCTTGCTAACCTATGGTTTATTTTAATGTAGAATGCGGCTTTGTGCCAAGCAATACGAAGAAGGATTGCTGGATCAAGGAAGTTTTTTAAAAAAATCGCTGGAAATATTTAAAATGTGTAATTTCAGTCAGGTACGGCCCTTTAGTCATATAGCATCTTGTTTATGCAATACGTGTCAATCTTTCTAACCACCTACAATTACCTATTTAATAGACCATGTTTGCTGTTACTTTAATATCAATGTTTGTGTTGGAAATTGGCCGCTCTCGCGCATTAATGCGATTGCTAGTTTCTATATGCTTGAAAAAGTTGAAAAAAGTAGGTTCATGTGTCAAAAAATAGAGTTGTAATAGTACAAGCATCTAACATTTATTTTGGTGGATTGTTGTTGGTAGCTCAAACTGCACATCTCCACTTCAGACTTTGCAAAGGAACAATACAACCAGCTAGTTATACTGCTTCAGGTTTGTTTATTTGAAAGAATTGATCTGCTTGGTACTTGTTTTCAATCTGCTATTACATGCCAACACTTTTTTTTGAATGGTATTTTACGGTGTGATGACAGAGAGGATATAGGTGTGCTCCTGACACGTTTGTTAGCACAAAACTGTGGGTCAATTTTGAAGAATTTTTAACCGTTGTTTTTGCTGACGAGCATCAGGTATTTTATATCATGTATTCAAGTTTGATACGAATGCTTTTAGCATGCCAATTCAATCTATTTTGGACTTATGGATTCGTTTTTTGTTTAGACACGAATGGAGGTTGAGTCTCGAAACAATTGGCTGATTTCTTCTGCACCTTTGACTTTGTGTGCATCTGAATCCCTTAATGTGGTATGTAATGATTCATTTTAAAAACTGATGGTTGGAATTGTAGTTTAACTTGTCGAGATGTTTATAATTAGCTGTTTAGAACACTTGGTTATTGGACCAATTACTCTCAAATATATCAAACCTGGGATGCTTTTTTTGATGGATTCACCGATATTTCAATCCATCTACGACATATATTCAACTGGGCACTTGCTGATTCTCGTCCATCTCAAGACAGTCGAGCATTTATTGCGGCTCGACTTGTTTCTGAATGGTACAAAAACATGTTAAACGATAATCTTACTAAAAAGAACCACCACAGTCTTTTATCCATGAATTTCGCAAAGCTTTTTTACAAATTGCTGGATAAGCTTATTGCCACTTTGCCATCTGGTCAGGGTAAGTCGAGTATGTATTCGAATTAGCATGCAGTTTTGAAAAACTCGACTAATGTGCAAATGGGATTGTTAGATGAGCAACATCGACTTTTTTTGCTATTTTCACAATTGGAACAGTTGCGAGTATTTTCAATACGGCAATATGCCCAACGGTTGGTTTCTCGAGGCGATTTGGATTCATCCAGCAATACGTCAGAAAAGGTATACTTGTATTATTTGGGAAAAAACCATGCTTTCATCAGCAAAAGGTGATCAACTCACCAAAATCTATCATTTAGTTTAAATGTTTTTTACAAGGCTATCCACTTCGAATAGCCGAACTTGTCCAGAATTGTCAACTATATCATAAAAATGATGTGAATCTGGCAAATGATTCCGACAATGATTTTTGTATACAAAGCGTTTTGGAACTCATTGTTCGAACCGATACGGTAGGTTTGGTTTGCTATTAAGCCCACCCTTTTGTGTCCAAACAGGCCGACTAAATTCATGTCAATTTTATGATTGCTACCTTTTGAAATCTCTACATTAGGAATCACGCAAGCAAGATGTTTTGCATTTTGAAAACATTAAAAAGCAAATCATTGCGGTTCTTCCTCGAATATATATATCAGGAGATAAAGTAGATACACTACGTGATCGACTTGTCCAAGATATGCCAAAAGACCGTGCGCTTGCATGGCCAAACATGAAATTAAAACAAAACTTGATCAGTCTTGTACCCATATGGAGGATCCGCCTTTCCATATGGCTCAAAAAATGCGTTGTACAGTTTATTGTCAAGGCTCAAGAGATTGGCATTAATAACTGGAAAACAGTCTCAACTCCTGGAAATTCTACTTTAAATGATCGTCAACTGGCTACTGTGATTTGGATTTTGGAAACTCTTCGCGATTATCCTAGTTTACTTGAAGTAAGTTGATTTGGCTGATTGAATAATTTAAAGTCTGATGCTTACCTATATTGCTTACTACTGGTAGATTCTCATGTGGCTTATCAACAAAACTACTGAGCGGAACATCTACCGCAGTATTGTCTTTGCCTTGGAAAGACATCAGCTTGTTTTTCATGCCATGGGCTGTTCACAGCTGATTTTTGATCATCTTTTTGAAAAAGTATCTAATCTTTTTGATTTTGAGCCTATTTCTATCAATCAGGCTTGTCAGATTAATTGTATTTTTGACTCCATTTAAAATATTTTAGCACCAAACGCTTCGGAAACGGGGGACAGGGCTAGATCCACACATTCTTAGACACCTTTTTTCACTTTTAACACACAAGCTTTGCGAGATGGATTTTGAAGAAAGAAAGAAATTAGAAAGTGATCGTGCATTACCGCTAAAGCGAGGCACAAGCAAGGAAATTCCTTTAGAATTTCGCGATTTACGTGATGCCAAAGACGATCGACAATCCATTACCAATGCTGCATCCAGCCTCATATGGAGATTTCAAGATATGCGAGAAGCGCTTGCTCGACTTTTCAAATATTCGTTGATACTATTGAGCAGACAGTCGAGCATAATGCAAAAGTATGTTGAGAGTTTTTATTACGATTTGAGCACCTTACATGGTTTGATGTTTACTAATAGGGTTGTGCATGCTCTACTATGATTTGATTGTTTTTAGAGACGATTTTAGACGAAGGGTAACACTTACAGTTGAAGTTCTTAGAGAGGTTGCTGATCGTAATCCAAGTTTACAGGCATCAATCATTGATCATTATCGCGATACATATGTGACTTCCAAACCATTCACAGTCATGACTCCGGGAACAGAGCTTCTTGGTGGAATTGACAATATGGCTTCTACTTGGTCCATATCCATGATTGTTCAGCTAATTACTTCTCGCTGCTGCCCATTACAAAGATTTTTAGACGAGGTGGTCGATCCCATCATTTCAAGAGCAAAAGCCAACATCGATCTGCTAAAATCGGTTTATTTTACAAACTTGATATCCAATATGGTGTATTTACTGTCTGTAATCTGTATATCCACTGAATCAGTTTCTTTGACTCCTCAGCTGATTCTAACACTACAGCAGTATCAGTATCTTGAACGGCTTCGCGTTGTAGACATGCACACGCCCGCATATCTGTCACGGATTTTACACATTCTACAGTCGCTTGCATTTATACGATCAAGATTGACGTCTACTTCTGCTGCGGTAGATATCGCATCCAACGAACAGCTGTTGAGTGGCATACAAGTGCTTTTGACGTATGTTTTGGAACGACCTGGCTGGTTTAAACATGCATGCATAACTGATCAGTCATGGATATCATTTGACCTTGCACGCCTGTTTACTGATGCCAAAAATCTATTTTCGCAAGATACACTTGCTTTGGATATGGTGCTTCAATCAACTCATGTAGTATTCAAGGCTCTTTGGGATACACACACTTTTGATGGGTATACTGAAAATACAGTCGAAGCTCCGTTCAATATCAATGCTTTTGAAACCTGTTTTGAACGCATTTGTCGTCACTCTAATGCTTGCAATCGAGACCGATGTCAATATCTACTCACCTTGACATTGGAGCTTTTGCATCTTCATCAAAGCATTCATGCCAGTGGTGTGACGGCAGTTTCATCGTTTTCACAATCGGTTTCAGTAGACAGTATAGCAGCATCACGACAAAACATGGCAGAGGCATACTCCAAATGTTGGGATCGGCTTGTTGACGTGTGTTTTAAGGAAGTATTGGGTAGGAATTCCACTAGTCTGTCACATTTGCTGCCAAAAATGAGATGGGAGTTTTTAAAGCGTCTTGTAGTGAGATCACAACAGTTGATGGAGTCTGTTCATTCACTTTTATCTACCACACCTCTTAAAGAATTCAATCTTGCTGGCACGAATATTGCTCTTGATGCTGACTCTCAGCAGCACTTGGTGGTAAATACTGCTAGCATTAAATGTTTTGGAGAATTTACATCCAAGCTTGGTGTATACATGTGTCATCGACTCAAGGAAGTTCGCAAAGCCAAATCATCTGGAAAAACAGCAGCCAAGCAAACCGAAGACGCCTATCTTGCCGACATATCTGTACTGGCGGCTTTTATTCTCCGAGACTTGCTTTGGTTTCAGGAAAATATCAAAGTGTTTGATCTTATGGTAGACAACGAGATATCATTTGGGAAAGCGCATCAGCTCTCTACTGCTGTATCTTCAACAGATTTGCCGCCATCACAGCTTCAAGATCAAGTCATGCTTGCTCAGATTCAGGAAATTTTGATTGCTCGGCTTACACTAGTCAAAACACTTGCACCAGTGATTATGGAAAACCCGATACGATTCCAAATTGTATTGCTAGCCCAGTCGCTTATGAAGCTTCTTGTATCCAAGCTTGTTACCAATACAATCGGCACGTCCCATTTGTTTCAAATCACATTGGACGTGGTATCGTGGTTTATGGAGGAAATACCCAAAGATTTGAGCAAAGGCTTATTTGCATGGCTGGTTAAAAACCGACAAGAGTTTTCACTGCCATCTCCGGCTGGAGATCGAGTCAATCGCATTCTCCCATTTGTTGACCGTAATCGTCTCGTGTCTAATTTAATTTTTCGATCGTCTGGATTCAATGAATCGTTACACGAACTTGGTACTGCTACTTCGTCATCCGCATCCTCTACACCTATTTGGAAACCGTCACAGGTATCCGCTTCTGTATCGACCCAGAGTACCGGCATGTCGGCAAGTATAACTTCACCCACCCCATCAGCTAGCAATACACCTCATTTGGCTCGTGCGCCTATAGTGACGTCAGATTCAAAACATTCTACCAAACCCGCTTCGTTTTTAAAAGTTGACCAGCATTATTTTCTACCTTGGAAATGGTTGGAAGATCCTGGAGATGTTGTGCTGCAACAACAACCTCCAGCACCATCAATGTGCTGGGCAAATCCCAATACCATTGCACCACTTAACAACACACCCATATCACTGACTTCATTTGGTGCAAAAGTACTCCACCCTATGGAGCCTGCGTATATCCAACTACATAAGCAAGGATGGACATTACCCGACGTGGGTAGCCGCGTATCAGATAATACTGCACTGATGGAACTGACGAATTTTTCTGATGAAGAATCTGTTGTAGAAGTTGTCATGACATCATCTACTGTTACTGCTGCATCCACCCAACCCACACCTGTAGCTCATGTGGACATGCCACAACACACTACGTTTGACGCTATGGATATAGATGTAAACCCTAATCATCAGGCGGGTATCATGGATGTCAAAATCCATAGCGGTAGCTTAAAACCAGCTGTTACAAAAGGTAGTCGTATTCCAACCAAGCGTAAATCTACTGATACGACCACCACAGGGATCACAAAAGCAATCAAAAAACACAACTGAGCTTATAGTATACACGGTTTAATCGTTTTGAAATGCATGGTCTGGGTTAAACATTTTAAAGATAAAGGGGTTGTAGATATGTATTCATTTTTGTTCAAATGAATGGCTTTATTTTTAATAGACTTCAAGGTGTGCCAACCTGATGGGATAATCTGGTTTTAATTCAAGCACAAATGAAACGTTGCTAGGAAAAATGGAGTTTACCCATGTGTTACTGTTTAAGCTCGACATAGTTTCCTGGGACTAAACCAATCGAGTATCGTTAGCGTCTCGATAGTGTATACATATACATGACACATGACAACTTACAAAGTCCAACGACTCCATTTAGTGTTCCTTGCCACCAATCCTCTGATACAAAAACAATATGAGTAATCAGATTGCCTTCGTTAAATGAGAGTTCGTTGGGTTCTGCAGCCACGTAGTCGTAAACAGCGGTTGCTTCGCGATAAGGAGTGTTGTTTTCATGATGAATGTCTTGCTGTGTAGGTACAATAGGTTCATCATGAGGAATACTTTGAGCAGGCACTGGTTCAATGAATAAAGCAGAGGGCTCAACGTGTGTATTGGCAACGTTAGAATCAATCAGTTCTACATAGTTGGAAGGGAATAAACCCCTTTGACCTTGTGCATTGGTTCCTTCCCACCAACCCTCATCCACCTGAATAACATGTGTAATGAGCTCTTCTTCTAAAAATGGTATTTCGTTGGATTCCTCTTTAAAAATATAATAGGGTGAATACACGACTCGACCAAATCAGTAGATTCAACGCAATATGCTTACCGGGAGAATAATCGTACAAAGCCTTTGCATTCAAAGTTTGGACTGCTGCAACGTGTGGAGGATTGTGCTGTACCTGAGTTGTTTCATTGCGCTGAAACTGTTCTTTTGCTTGACGTTCTTTTTCTAACCGAGCATCAGCCTCGGCTTGTTGTTGTTCCATGTGTTGACGTTTTTCAGACGCAATCCTTTGACGTTCTTGAAGATCCTTTTGATGTTGTTGCTGCAATTCTATTTTTTCTCTTTCAATTTTCTGTTGGTTGAGCTCGTTGTTTGTTTTTTGAAGTTGAGCAGATTGTTCCTGTTCACGAGCCATTCGATCACGATATTCCTGTTCAGCACGCTCACGCTGCTCGCGCTCATCCTTTTCACGACGCTCACGTTCAGCTTGAACACCAGAAATCTCATTTGAAGTGGCAGATACAGGAGGTTGATAAGATGACTGTTTTGAAGGTGGGGTTTGTACAGACGCATATCCCCCATATCCACCATAAGTGGGACGAGACGGTTTGGCAGCAGAAGAAATAGGATTGATTGAAGTAGATTTCAAGCCAGCAGTGATGGCATGAGTACTCTGACTGTCTAGTTTACTACTGTTGGCTTCAGACGCAACAGATGAATGGGGAGCCCGGTTAAATGACGGAGTATACACGGCAGTAGATGCGGTGGGCACAGCAACTGAAGTGGATGGATTGGAAGTGGTGGTTTGGTTTTGAGCGTGCTGGTGGATAGAATATTTTGCACCAGCGCTATCACGAACTTTCTTCATGATCAAATCTGGATCGATATCATCATTTCCTCGAGCATTAATTTGAACGTGGAATCCCTATAAAATAAGAAACAAATGAATAAACAGAACCAATAGGTTCAAGACATAGTTATACGACGCACTTTGAAATACTTGGCAATGTCATTGACATGGTAATGAAATAAACCTTTTTTTGCTACTGGAACACCATCACCGCACTAATAACAAATTTTAATGAGCCAGATATAAAGAATTGGACCCATTCAATGAAACTGGTATTTACCCATGCAATAAAAACGTATTTGGGCAGTCCAGATACAGGTTCAAAAACCTTTGCAAATGCATATTGAATCTTTCCCTCTTCGAATTCATCACTCAATTCCTCAAGACCGCCATCTAATAACGATAGTTAATAAAGAATGCAATGGATAATCCAGTCCATGTAGAATACCTCCAGAACCAAACAGTTTGAGGTCATTTCCGCCCTTGTCATAAGAAAATATTGCCCAATTGCAAGAATCCTGCTCGCTCAAAACACTCGCATAAGCAGAGCTGATATCGTTGGAATAAGTCGACAGATTCACCTGCGTAGAAGATGCCATTTCAGAAAGTAAAGATAACTTTATGTTGCGTCGCTTAACCTCGTCATCACGTGTGTTTGCGTTTCTTTCAGATTTTTCTGTTTCTGCGAATTTACTCACAAAAATGGATTCTCTCGAATTGATGCGAACAAGAGTGGTTCTCACTGAAGACTTTGTTGCTAATGTAAGACAGAAATTGCTGATTTTCATCAAGTTTTCATAGAGTTTCCATCAAGTTTTCATAGTTTTTATCAACTTTTTATTATACATTTTTAATCTCATTTTAATCATTTAGGTCTCTGGAATGGATTTCCCTCACACATTTCCTGGAATCGATCTTTCTTGGAATTTAGAAAAGTTTAAAGAGGTATTTCTTGCGCTTTTCGGCTTGATTATGCTTTCAACTAATTTTGATTTGATACTAGAAATTCAATATTGTAATCGATTACATTGGCAAGGATAGCATGGAGTTTGATCTCATTGGTCTTGATGCTTCTATTTCAAATGCATTTCGAAGAATCTTGATTGGAGAGGTAGTTTACATCTGTCATGTTCAACTGTTGTATTTGGAATGATTGTTGATCATTTTATCTAGGTTGCTACGATGGCGATTGAAAATGTTTACATTATGAACAACACGGGTGTGATGCACGACGAGGTGCTTGCTCAAAGACTTGGTCTTATTCCAATTAATTCAGATCCTCGACTTTTTGATTTCCGTGAAGGATGTATGCACTTGCACTATCTACTGGATGCAATCGCGATACTAACTTGAATGTTAAAAACTAGCTGATGATCCACCAACGGATTTAAACACACTTGTTTTCCGTTTAAATATCAAATGCACTCGTAATCCACACGCATCTGCATCTGAAATCAATCCATCCAACAAGTATATTGATTCAGATGTTCTTTCAAAACATCTTATTTGGGAGCCACAGGGTGATCAAGTTGAAAAATTCAAAGACAGTCCAATCCGCCCATACTATGATGATATTCTGATTACAAAACTGCGTCCTGGTCAAGAGATTGAGGCTGAACTTCATTGTCAAAAAGGAATTGGAAAAGAGCATGCCAAATGGTCTCCAGTTGGTATGTCAAGTGATGATTGCAATGGAAATATGTTTTATACCAACCTATTGTATACATGTGAGTAGCTACGGCATCGTATAGATTGTTGCCAGATATTCAAATACTCAAGCCAATTACAGGAAAGGATGCAGAAAAGTTCAAGAACTGTTTTCCAGAAGGAACAGTCAAGATTGTACAAAAAAATGGAGTTGGACACGCAGAGATTGCCAATCCTCGTAAAGATACTGCTAGTCGTGAAGTCTTGCGTCATGCCGAGTTTCTAGACAAGGTTCGATTGACTCGTGTTCGAGATCACTTTATATGTAAGTTGCACCATGAATATAGACAACGTGAATGATTTTTGAACATTGTTCCAATGGTATTCAATATAGTCAGCATCGAATCAACAGGTGCGCTTCCACCACAACTTCTGTTCCAAGAGGCTTCTCAGATCCTTATTGAAAAGTGTCTTAATATCAAGCAGGCTCTTATTGCAATGGGATTACCACCAACAGCATCTGAATAAAAGCAATACCAAACGATTAAACACTCGAGTTATAATTCCAACCTAACCAGACATTTGTGTAGCAGATAACAAGCTATTGATTTACGATCATGACAACAAATCTGATAAAATACAGAATAAATTGAGTAACAATTTATAATAGAATTGACTTGTTATTCGAGTAAGCCCGCATTTGTACACGTGGAGAGCAACCCGTTCTTTCCTTCATAAAAACAGTTGAATGTTGGGCTCAATACTGACAGTTAGCCTCAGATCCTTGCCTCGTCCTGCGATTCAAACTCATTTTACTAGACAATTATCCATCTACTGTCCAGCCATGAATATTGCTCAAGCTGCTGCGAATGTACCTCAACTCGGAAGTTTCCGTTTGCCTGACATTCATAACGAACCCATGGTAATTTTTTATTGAATCAATACAGATTCTCTTCAGTCAATTCTTGATTTAATCCACTAATCTATGCCATTCAACCTCATTCAAACCCATACAAACTCATCCAATCGCAGCTCAATTATGCTCCAGGAAGTATTGAACGAAAGGAATTGCAAACTGCACTTGCTGATATGCGCTCTCAGATTGCTACTCACGGTCCCTTTGAAATTCCCGTTATTGTGAATGATCAAGAGGTTTGCTGACAAATGCATTTGAATTTGGGCGTTGATTAAAGTCTTGTTGAATTCATTCTTGAATGTGTTGTACAGATCAAAACCAACAATCTTACTGCTCAAAGCTCTCCGTTTGAACACAAGCTCAAACTTTGCAATTTCCACAATGCTGATGTCAAGACCATCGATATGGTATGTTTGAATGCTTGAATCTTGAATATTGTGTAGTATACTCAACTGATCTGCACGCTAGGCTATTTCTAAAGCTCTTAAAGCCAAACCTGCATGGGAAGCCATGCCCTTCAATGATCGTGCTGCTATTTTCCTCAAGGCCGCTGATCTGCTTTCTACTAAATACAGGTAACATATTGCGGCTAATTCAACACCAAATCATCATGTCTGAAATTACTTTGAAATAGATACAAAGTCATGGCTGCTACAATGATTGGTCAAGGCAAAAATGCTTGGCAAGCCGAGATCGATGCTGCGGCCGAACTCGCAGATTTTTGGCGATTCAACTGCAAATACGCTGCCGATATTTACGCCGATCAACCCACCAAAAACTCTCCATTGCTCTGGAATCGTGTAGAGTATCGTGCTCTTGAGGGTTTCGTGGTTGCCTACTCGCCATTCAACTTCACTGCTATTGGCGGAAATCTTGCTTGTGCACCAGCACTCATGGGAAATGTTGTTTTATGGAAACCATCTCCCATGTCCATGTATTCCAACTATCTGGTTTATGAGATTTTACGTGAAGCTGGTCTTCCAGATGGTGTCATTCAATTTCTTCCTGGCGACGCTGAATTGGTTACCGAGGTAATCTTTTATTTTGCAACCAATCCAACTCGCATTCCCTACTAACATGTCCTATTTCATAGCAAACCTTTTCTCATCCTGAATTTGCTGGATTCCACTTTACTGGAAGCACTGCTGTGTTCAAAAAACTTTGGTGCAAGATTGGCCAAAACTTGAATCTTTACAAGTCGTATCCCAGAATCGGTAAGCAGATCTTGACATTGTGTTGACTTGATTCAATCAAAAGCTTACTCATTTTGAATATCTAAATGTCTCGAGTTGGTGAAACGGGTGGAAAGAATATGCATTTTCTACACGAAAGTGCTGATGTGTCCAACGCCGCGCTCCAAACCATTCGTTCTGCTTTCGAATACAATGGTCAAAAATGCAGTGCTTGCTCTAGGTATGATGATAGGATATGCTGTTTATCCAAAACTATAAATTAACAATTTCAACAGAGTGTATGTTCCTGAAAACATTGCCGAGGAATTCACTACCATTCTCAAAAAGGAACATGCCAAGCTCAAGATGGGTCCTGTTGATGGTAAGTCAAGATGGGTTGATGTAGTGCGCGTTTAAAATATACGACTGCCTCATATCATCTAACCCAAACTTTGCAGATTTTACCAACTTCACTTCTGCCGTTATCAATCAGCAATCGTACAACAAGATCAAGGGCTATCTTGATGATGTCAAGAATGGAAAGAATCCATCTACTGGAATATTACTGGGTGGAAAAAGTACGTTGACTTGATCATCATTGTTTTGTTGATCTGATCATTTACTTTTATCATTGTTAGCTTCGGATGAGACTGGCTACTACATTGAGCCTACTGTTTTAATTACCAAGGATCCCAAGTCGTCTACCATGGTCAATGAGCTTTTTGGCCCTGTTGTGACCGTGTATGTTTATCCCCAAGATGAATACCTTGAAACTGTAAGTTGTATTTTGCTAATCTACTAATTGAAACCCATTCAATACATTAAACAATTAACCAACCCTAACATGCCATAGCTTGAACTTGCCAACTCATCGTCCGAATATGCTCTCACTGGTGCCTTGTAAGACTATTTTCTAGATTCATATCAATCTATTTCTGATTGCTGCTTTAAACTATAGCCAACGTATCAATTTGTTTGTCATGTATAGGTTCGCTCAAAACCGCACTGCTTTGATTGCAGGATCCAATGTTTTAAGAAATGCTGCTGGCAACTTTTACATCAATGACAAATCTACTGGAGCTGTTGTTGGTCAGCAGCCGTTTGGTGGTGGTCGCGCATCTGGCACAAACGATAAAGCAGGATCCGCACTGTAAGTTTCACCTAACCCTAACACGTTTATATTCAACTTTCTCATCTTGATATCTTTAATAGAAACTTGCTTCGTTGGGTATCACCTCGTACCATCAAAGAATCGTTTGTGCCCATCTCTTCATGGAGTTATCCATCCAACTTGCCCGACAATTGATTTTGCATGTACTGATAGCGATGTACGGTCGTCTTCATGTCCAAATAAACTAAACCCATGGTTTTGTGATGGATTGAGTGGTATTGAAATGTGTAGTGGGGTCAGACTCGATAATGTTCAGTATACTCTAAATTCGATCATATCTGTATACTTTTAGAAATGGTTGTGGGACTAAAAATAAACCACACGTCTGGTTTCAATACCAGTATAAACATGTGTAAACCAATTCTATAAGCCAAATGTATTTGGACATGATAAACTAACGATATACTCCTCTGTTCAATAGTTTAAATTCAACCAATTGTATCAAAAAACAATGTATTGTATCAACGTTGCTAAAGCGGTAGAATAATTGTTGATTGGATAGATCATGTGGGTTGAGGCATGAACCAAATACTGCGTGTATTGGCAGCTTCTTTCCTAACAACTCGTTTCGGATCATCCAAAGCATATGCCAACTCCTGTAAAACACGCGGCTTGAATGGATGCAGCACTGTGTAGTTGACCCATGACATGAGTAATCCCAGTATTGCAATAGCAGATACACGAACACGCTGTATATCACAAGATGTTTAAAATCAGTTGGTGTGATTTGGAAATATAGATTGAAAATGAAACACTTACTGCATCGTTGCCTTGATTGGCATTTTTAAATAGACACATTGGAAGCAATAGTGTCATGATTGACGATATTTGACTTTCTAATACCGCTGGAGCATCTTTAACCATCTGCTGCAACGTGTCCAACGTACCCAGCTTGAGTGTTGTCTCATTTAATGTGAGCGAATGCAAGAGCATGGGTAAAAGCTAGTTGGTAATACCAAATATGAGTTGAACGTAAAAACAGCATACAAAAACCGTTTAAATAAAAGTACTAGGTATCACCTTGGGAAGCTCGCTCAACAAAACACCCTTGGAAACATTATGTAATAAATGGGATAAAGAATACAAATACGCATTCCGTGAACCTATGCATTGCAAACCCTAGATTAGAGCTCAACTTGCACAAGAGTCCAAACAATGCAATTTCAACATTCAATCCATGCTTACCATCACTAGCGACTTGAAATCCAGATGACACAATGGGAAGACAATAGTTATAGAGTCGCTGCTTGTACAGCATTTTTATATTGGCACCCGCCATTTTGGTAAGCACACCTTGTGAATCATCAGAAATGAGTACATTTATCGCATCTGCAGCTGCGAGACCTAGATCCGCATTGCTTAAAAGACCCAAAATCTGTAATGTCATTTGATATCCACGTGGATCGGCTTTAACCACCAAAGCTTTGGCAATCTAACAGTTTCAACAAATCATTATTCACAAGTATCAAACACAATCCAAAAGCAATGCAGTATATAGATCAACTTATCCTACCCAAGAGTATACTTTTAAAATAGTTTGACGCTGGGGAAGAGTGCAGTGGACTGCAACCAGTGCCGAATCGCATTTGGTTTGACAAAAATGAGTCACAAATGCATCAATTCCTTGCACACCATGTCCTTTGTTTACAATAGATGCTAGTATCTTTGATGTAGCCAAAGCATAGAGGCCGTCTAGTTGAATTGACATGTTGATCAACTCATTGGAATACACTTCTAAATCCAGGATATCAAATGGAGTCTACAATACAGATGAAAAATAAATACACGCTTATACTTTGACCAATAGTAGATATAAATCAAAATTACACCATCACTTACTTTACTGGACACATTAGTCATAACTGCAGCAGTCAAATATGCATAGACCGGGTCTGTCAAAACAACTGGTGAATTGAATGATTGAAACGAGTGTTTGAGTTCTTTTATAATTTGAGATTGATGACTACAACAATAGATGTAGTGAGTAATGCAATACAGAAACTAACCAAACCGCAATACATAGTACAATCAGATATTCTTACGGTACATCAAGGCTCCGGATCATCAATGCCACAACTTTGGCAACAAGACAGACAATTTCATTCTTCATAGTTTCATCCATAGCCGGTGCAGTGTTAACTGAAGTCAGCACTAGTTTGAAGATAAGCTCACATGTATGAGTTTGGTCTAATGTAAGCATGATTGGCTGGGTAGACGATTCTAAAAGAATTTCAGCTACAATTTGGAGTGTTCGCCGTTCATAGGCAAGTATATATGGCATATTTGGATCTACAAGTTAAAATAAAATGTCAGCAGATTAAACTAATTAAGCTACAGAAAAGAGAAATAGACCAACGTACGTGACTCAAGTGTAGATGTAGCCGCACTGACAAAAATATCGATCAACGCTGACAAAATAACAGAACGCATTTGTTTGTTTTTAGAAAGTGCAAAACAAGAAACTAGAGCCGACTCCATCTTCAAAACATTAAATTCTGTCTGGGCAGCTAAAATAAACGATTGTTGATGGGCATATCGAATCGAGCTATTAGAAACTCGAATGGTGTCGAATAAGCATGCTTTCAAATGATCAGTATACCTTTTAATGCATTCAAAAGTGGTTCAAGTACAACATTTTGAACTAAATCTGGGATTTCTGCTGAAATGGATGTAATAGTCTCTAAAGCAACCGAATGAATCTGCGTATTTGGGTCTTCAAGCATCCATGACAATACCAATTCAAGAACCGCACATTCCTAAACCAGCAAAAAGTTTAAATCTCCAACTCACATCCCATTTATAATTACAATACACACCTCTTTTGCACCAAGTAAATTTCGAGAAAGCAGCATTTCAGTCAATCCACGAAGTGAAGAAAGCTTTAGCGGAACATACAAATCAGATAAAGCACATGGCATGAAGAAATCAAAAAGCTGTTCACAGTATAACTTCAAGGGAGTTTGCATCAGATCATCTGAGTTTAGCAAAAAACATGACATGAAATGGAATAAAAAGTTAACCTATAGCTGCATTGCATAAAAATTAAAAGCAGTCGTGATTACCACTTGTCCCATTTTTTGAAGAGTAAACCGATCGTCCAGCAACAAGAAAGTCACCAAGAACATCAGCAAGAGTTTTGCGTTTTGATGGTGCATCCTCATTAGATAGAGCATTTAGGATTACAGGAAGCGCTTTTTCAACAATAATGTTGCAAGCGGGTTCGGATGCAGATGCAGCCGACATCATAATCTTTCCACAAGGCTTGGCAAATTTCAAATCTGGATCTGCCAAATTTTCCAAGCAGTCTTTTAAAATGATATCAATCATTTTTTCCAAAGGAGACTGTCGTTTTTGTGAAATTGAAATAGCAGTAGACAAGGATTTGACAAGTGCTCTAATGGCCATGAGTGATGAGAGCTCGTTTGCTGGCTCAACTGGACTCACTATCTAAAGTTTCGTTATTGAAAGCCAAGCAATGAGATCCAAAAGGTGTTAAAATCCATTGTATTGAACAATATATGATCCAGTAAACGTACCTCTTTTTTAAGAGCATCCCAAAATGCGTCTATGTATGGAGAAAACGAAGCACCTTCATAAACTGGAGCACATGCAGATACTGCATCCATGGCATCGCGCTTTAATACGCAAAAATCAATGTTATGGATGGCATTATAGAAAACAAATGTATGAAATGACAATCTATGAGTTACCTTGGCTGCAGCAGAATCAGACGATAGTTTTTCTAAAAGAACTGGAACAGCAAATGGAGCAAACAATGGTGTAGCCGCAACAGTCGCACACAATTCATGTTTAAGATCTTCTGCAGTGACGCCATACGGATCACCAGGAATTGGACGAAACGTAATTGGAAAGTAACAAAAAACAACCTCAAATAAATCTTCTGCGTGCTTTGAAAAGTCAAGATGCTTAATGATGAGCTGAGCAATTCGGAATGCCAGAATCAGAATGCGAGGATCTTTTTCGCCATCCATGGCATGAATGAAGCCAAACACAAATTCAGATCCTAGTTCGTGTAGTCCATCCAAATTCGTTTCAAACAGTTTTGCAAACAGTCTAAATACAGTCTGTCGCACAGATTGCTGAAAAGACTGCACATTCAACTCGGAAAATATTCTATTTGCAAGTCAGTAAAAATCAAAAGGCATGCTGGAAAACAGCGTACAAAACATAACAAACCTGGCTGGAATTGCCGTTTTTTCTTCCTTGGACAATACGCTTAATGAAACCATGGCCAAAAGTCCATTGAGTACAGGCTCAACACTTGGCTGATCGTCTAGTCGACTAAGATAAAACTGTGAAAGCACCGTTGCTAAGTAATTTCAAATTTAAATACACTGTTAAGGAATCTAGTAAATTTCAATGCCAATCCGGTTCAATGAACAAAGCCAATTGATTACCAGATTGAGCCGATATTTTTGACGTTTCAGTTTGCGAGATTACAGTTGATAACAATGCAACGCCTAAAACATGTAAATTAGTCACGAATCTAACAAGCCATTACAAAACCATCGACACTGAACACACCACTTGCTCTCTGGAATGGCTCAGCATGAGTCAGTATTGGACCAAGACATTCGATCAATTTCAATAAACTTGAACGACCATTATTAAGTTCTAATCAAAATATTGGTATAAATAAAGCAGATATTCCTATAAACAATGCTTGAATCAACACTAAAAACAGTTTTTAACCAGCCAGTACTCCTGACCATTGATAATATCGTCTACTCCAGTTGTTACAGGGACTGGTGTTGAGTCGGATTTATTTGCAGTAGTGGTCGAAAGAGCAGCAACAGACAAATCCATTCCAGGACGGACAGTGCCAATTACAGCACTTCCATCTGCCAATGCTTTTGCTATAGCCAATTCCAATCCCATTGATTCCAATGCCATGAATCCAGTTGCTCTTTTGTATAGAAAGTTGAATTATTTTGCGAATTACTGCAGGCAATCAACACGTGGACAAACTCGAGCATTATCACTGCCGTATTCACGTCCATTCAAGTATTGATCGACTCGGAATAAATATGTCGAGTATTTCTATACAAGACAGTCGCAGTTGTCAATCCATGTGTAGAATCGGATTCAAAATAGTCGAGTTTTGTTCATTTCACAAAAAAATTAAGAGTGGGGTCACCCCGGACTCGAACCGGGAACCCCTCGCACCCTAAGCGAGAATCATAACCCTTAGACCAGTGACCGCTCTTGTTTTTGAAAAAGTCTGTATCATTAAATTACTACTCTATAGTAAAATTATATTATAGGAATATCTGAAAATCAAATGAATGCTTTCAATTACTTGAGCTAATACAATCATCAATTCGAATCAATTATAGATATACGCAGTTCACTCTTCAAACAATCTCATCAACACCAAAACTCGACAACTGATGATACTTTTTAATACACTATTTTATTTCAATATCAATACTCTTGATTGTACATGTCCTTGTATACTGAAAAATAGTTGTAACAAATACGAGTTTATCTTGGATCTACTGGTATTCGACTTGCTGAAATCAAAGACTGATAATTGTCAAGTTAGAACCATGTATGTGTAACACTGGAGTAGTATTCTACTTATGATCATTACCGTTAGCATTGTCTCATTGCGAGATTGGTCTTGTCTGGCCTGTCCATTAGCTTGCTGAATTCCACGCAATTTCTTACACAGTCTAGCCATCAACACCTTTTGAGCATGTGCAAATCTCGCTTCTGTACAACGTTCAAACACTCGTGAGCTCATGCATTCTGGTGTAAATGGACAAGATCTAGTCAATTGCAATCATTGTCAGATCACAAGTGTGACACACCTTCTTTATCCAGTGATTTTATACATTTGTCCATCATAATGTCTCTGCTTCGATTTGCTTGTGTAATTCGAGAGTCAATACGATCCAATATAACCTATTATTCAATAGTTTAAGCTAACCCGATTTGGATAGCAATCAACAGCATTTTGAAAACAGTCGATATACTTTAATGTCTGCCAATTTTACTGATGTCTCACAATGCAGTTGTGAACATTCGACGGGTAAAGCATTAGCAGTCTCGAGCAGACTGGAGAGAGCTGGATCTCTAATATACCAAGCACATGAGTAAAATCAACAGGGTTAATGGCACGGTATCTGTACTCGAGAGACACTTGTTTAGATCGAAACTTACATGTGCGTATCCTGCACTTCATAAAATACCTCGATCATATCCCAAACTTGTGCCAGATGATCGTCACATTCTGCTGCAGCATGGATAGTTAGTTTGTCCAGTGATGCGTTGACAATAGCTTCAGATTAGAATTATATTCATGTTAGACCAACTGTAGACATGGCTATAGAATCATATACAAAGTTACATGAAATTAGTATGAAGATACCATTTATGGTTGATATCAGAGTGTCCATATCCGATGGTTCCATGAGTAGTATTCAACTCTGCCAATAATCTTGGCTGTCTTGACATTGCATCCATCACGTGATGTTTTACAGCTATTAAGCGGAGTTTCGCTGTATTGGCCGCAACTGGTCAAACCACAATTTAAGCTGTAATCATTCATGCCAGATCTGAGCAATTCATGCCGCAAACCGACTTTACTTTTCTAAAAGTCCTTGACCATCTATACTACTGAAACCAAAATGAAATTTGAATCGAAACTCAAGTGTCCAATGCTTTTGTGGGTACTGGATATCCTTGTGTGTTCGTACTTGACTAATGCACGCAATTTATTTCATGTCCCTTGGATGAAGCCATCTATAACAATACTTGGATTTGAAAAACTTGCACGCACACCTGAATTGGTTCGTACTGCTGCATCTTCACAAAGGTATTCACAAATATCATTGACAATACTGCTTGACTTATCGTAACACTACTAATGCACTTTTCTAATCTTAGAAATGTGCCATTTAATGTTGTGTCAAACATGGATACATCTTCACCAGTCTCGATAGGCACAGGTGCAATGGCCCAAACGGTATATAGAAAATGTGCAGATTCTCAATTAAAAATCAAAAATGAATCAACTTACCGCGTTTATCTATTCTATTATTGAAACTGTCGATAGCTTATTGGCATTGTGCAGATTGGAACTCCATCACAGAGCTTTTTATTTCAATTGTAAGTCAATGTAAACTGATGACCATGATGTCTATTTGCTATTAATGTGCATAGTCTCAGTGATACAGGAAGTTCTTTATTTTGGGTTCGAAGCTCAGAATGCACTAATGCAATAACATGTTCTGGATTACCACAGTTCAACTCATCAGCCAGGTAGATATGATGTCTGAATGTTTTGACTCGATGTCTACGCATACCATCGTAGTAGATGCTAATCTTTTGATTAAACTATTTTTCCCAATACCCGATTTCTCAAGTTTAACATTCAGTTCATCAGGTAGTCAGACTCAACAAATCGAATATGGTGATGGATCAAAAGTCAGTTGTCAAATGTATAGCGATACGGTGATTCTTGCTGGTATACAGATATCCAATCAGAAATTTTGTGCGGCAACATCCATCTATTTACCTGGCAATTTGCCTACAATAGATGGGATCGTTGGAATGGCTCCGGCATCCTTCAACGGTAAGTAGCCCAAACTTGTTAAAATTATATTCAATATACAAGATGGTCATAAAGCCATATAATGACCTACTTTTGTTTATATTGTCATTATTTAGAGCCTTCAAATATCTTTCAACATCTTCAAGCGCAACTTCCCAACTCACAAGTCGGATTCTGGTTCAATCGAAGCGTAACAACACTGGCTGCTGGAAGTGCAGTGTCTCGAGGTGCAGGTATCATCACGTTTGGTGGTCTGAATTCCGACTTGTATTCTGGTAGTATTGCATGGTATGTCTAGATTTAAATTACATTGAATCATGATTTTTAAACGTCTCGTCTTACTTTAGTGTTGTATAATATTGATTGTGTAGGATACCAACTATACCAGATTTGACGCGGTGGATAGTTCCATTCAAGGGAATCTTTATTGGAGACAATATGCGAATCATGGATAGTTTTCTGAAAGTCCAAAACTTGTCTGCCATTTTGTAAGTGAACTATGACATGAATGCAGTCTTGATCATGCAGATGATCAAATCTCGACTCAAAATTTTAGCCATACAAGTCAAATTAAACTAACACACGAATGCATTATTTATAATTAACCTGATAAGCGATACAGGAACAACTTTTGTCATTCTTCCTCAAGTCATCTTTGACCCTTTAAACTCTATTATGGGTGGTATAGATCAAAACAATACAGGAACCTACATACTTGATTGTAGAAGCGTATCCAATCTCCCGACACTAACGATTAGTTTTATCGAGGGAGTAACGCATACACTCACATGGGATAAGCAAATTCTTATTGTACAAAACCAGTGCATATCTATATTCACTCGGAATAATAATGGCGCGGTGGATACAGGCGAATTGAATAGAACAGTCACAGTTCCACCAGCAATCATTGGTGCTAGTTTTTTACGACATTTCTATACTTGTTTTGACTATAATGCAAAGAGAATTGGACTGGCTACACCTGTAGGAAATAACCCAATCCCAAAAATCCGAATTGAACATACAGGTTCAGGTATGACAGCCAAGCAATCAAAATCGGGTAGTGCATCTACACGACAGTATTGGACTGGGCTATTGATGATGATTACATGGACTCGGTTTATACTGTCATGGATTTGATTGTTTTTAAATGAATATTATTTGTTAAACTTGAATGTCAGATTAATCTGGTGACATTGCCAAAGTTCAAATTCAAATTTTGAAAATGATTCCATTGACAAAATAAAGTTGTATCTGTAGCATTCAACCCATTATCAACAAGTTTTATTTGCAGATTGTAGTTTTTCATGACACAATTTCGGAATAAATTGGCACAATTCCAGCATGAAAGCAGTTGAACATTTCAACGTGATTGTATTAGTCATTCTCCAGTAAAACTTGACAGATTTGAATTTAAAACAGACTTTCAGCGAGTATGAAAATAAAAAGCAATTCAACTTTTTTTAATCGATTTGCTGGTGACATGGAAAGACTTGCTATTCAGTGTTGCGTTTTACATGAATTTCATTGCAATTGAAATTGAAATCTTTTATTTCGAATTGAACATTAACGATTGAAACCAATTGAATCTGGCCTACAATGACTGCTCGCTTTGCTATAGATCTGCAGCGCATTGCTATTGCTCAGTTACTTCGTATTCATGGTGTGGATCGCATATCCGGTACTGCTCATGATGTAGTTGTTGATGTAACCAGTTTTCACATTGAGCTGCTTGCTCGTAGTGTACAGGAAGCTGCTGCACAAGACCGACGCACATCTGCTTGTTTAATGGATCTGATACAGGGTTGTGACGATGCAGAAGTCAATATCTTTGAATTGAGAGACTATATCAAGGAATGGAAGCAGCAAAACGACAGAGCCATGGAAAGACGGCTTAAAGCTGTCGCTGTTGCTGCTGCTCGAGCTGCCACATCCGTCAATGCCACTGCATCCATTACTCCTGCTCTTGTAGAATCGCTACCAGTGGAAAGTGCTGTAAAAAAAGATACACATATAACTCAGGGTTTGGTGGACAATCCAGTTGTATTGAATGGTTTAAACAATACATTGGCTTCTAGAAATATTGCTACATTGGGTGAAGGAGAAAATACTACTGCACAACAGCAATTGGAAGATAAAGGTCCTCCTGCCTTGGGGTTTCCTAGAATGGCTCCAGGTCCATTTCCTTTAGGTACGTTATTCATAGTATACATGTTTCTCATTTGATGATACGAATTACTAATGGTTGTGATGTTGCTGCTATTCCTAGATCCATACAAGATGTTTGAAGATTCAGCATCTCAAGTGAATTCAGACGAACACGATATGGACATTGATGATTCATCAGATATAGGATCCAATTTTAATGTCAAGCCAGTCGATCTGTTTCCACCTTGCTTGACAGATCATAATTTTGCATTGGCATTGTCTCGTACTGAAGCCGAGGTTCCTTCATGGGGTAACGACATTGATAACATCATGATGGATTTGGACGACGACCATGGAGTAGATGGCGACGAAGGTCGTGGTAAAACTGCAAATCCATATTTATATCCAGTCAGTTTTTTAGAGTCTAAGCTATCCAAATCTGGTCGGCAAGTAACTCGGTTTTCTCAACAGTCCATCAAGTTAGCCCAGACAAAGCCTACTAAATCAAATCCTGTCAAACGATCCATTGAGCTACTCTCACATATAGTAAAGGGCTTACATATCTGGAAACCTCCAAATTCTGTTATTTCCAACCGAGACATGGTTCAGTATTTGGGTCGTCGTCAAATTGTTGGTATTTCTTCCTTTCGAGATAGTATGCTGCCCTATACACGAAGCCTTATGGATGATCTTTTTTTGATGATGCTACCCAACATGTTTACTGTTTTGGGTTGTGAAAAAATTCCAGATGAAATCCACATCTTGCCACCAATTGAAGAGATGCACGATGTGCGTACTCGCCACGAAATGCATAGTAAAAAAGTAGAAACCTCGACAGCTTCAACAGTATCCGCTCCCATCGCGACTAGCCACACTTTACCATCTGCTTCTCATCCTCCTGTTAAACTAAAGACTGTTTTGACAATGATGCCAACTCCAGCACCTGTGTCCACTCCAACGTCCAAGCCGATCTTTGTCAAATCATCCGCATCTACAATTGCGACCACTCCAACACCTGTTTCTATACCCTCTACGCAACATATTCGCCTATCCCTATCTTCACTAACAAAACCCATCACCACTTCAACGGAAAAGCATTCAGCATCAGCCATATCTGCATCCGAGTCAACTTCCATTACACCATATACTGAAACAGCTACACCATCCGTTTCCAATCCTCAAATTAGAAAGATTTCTTTTAAGCCAACCCAAACTCCCGTTTTCTCTAATCCATCGGAAACTGCTCCAGTGACTACTCTAGCATCTGCCACTCATGCTCCAATAGCCAAAGTCCCTTTTGTCGCAGCTATGCCATCTTCAGAAACTTTGACCAAAACAGAAGTGGCTCAGCCTATAGCAAGACCTACTATTAAACTTAAACCGTTTGCTTTATCATCCAAACCACAACCTCAAACATCTGCTTCAAAATCACCCCAACCGATTGCTGCGGGTGTTTCTATATCTAAGCCAGCAGAGATCGTGCCTGCTACAACAGCATCTACCTTTAGTTCAGCTATACAACCATTGTCCGAGCCTAAATCCAAATCCAACACATCTCCGCACAAATTAAAGTTGAAGTTCAGCATTGCTACACCCAAACCCTCTTCATCTGCTACTGCAGCGACTTCAACTCCCTCGGCTGTTTCTTCACATGCATCCTCTCACGCTATTACCAATTCTGCTTTGCTGACACCATCCATGATTCCTTCTCATCCAATATCTAACGGAGAGCACGATGATGACGAAGAAGTAATCAATTGCATCTGTAGTATCCCTACGATTGATGATGGTACATTTATGATTGCTTGTGATATATGCAGTCACTGGTTTCATGGGCGTTGCGTAAACGTGTATGCCGAAGTATCCCAATGGCGATGTCCTCGCCATCCTGAATAAGCTTATTAAACTAGTCTAATTGGCTACAGTTTTGATTTGGCATTCGTTATATTTTTGGAACTATTTTGATATCGTTTTCCATTTTATAAACTAATAAATATGCTTTAGGTTATATTGCATATTAATTGTATTTACGCTGGCTAGTAATATCAAACATGAACTGTTGGTTTAGTCTACTGATGTGATGAATATCGAGTCTAGTTTCTATATAATAAAACGAGTAGTAATTACTATAAAGCGAGCTCAAACATTTCAATCAGTAGTACAATAACGGCTATGCATGTTGAATGTTTGTACAGTGCAAAACATTAAAGTTTGTTGTTTTTAACCAGCGATACCAAAAACTCGATTTTGTCTATTTTACTAAACACTCCAAGATAACCAACTATCATTCCTACACAAACCAACAGTTTATATCAGCTACGTGATTTGCTGTTCAATTTCGTGCTTTTACTCCTTGTCATTAGTTAAACAGATAGTATGTACGGTAGGTTGATTCAATATTGCAGCTATTTTCATCTATACAGGGACACGAAAAATACTTAATGGGTTAGTGCATTCTAGGTCGCCCACCTACTGGTTCTCTAGCAAACCGTCCTGGAAGCCGTGTTGGGACTTCATCATGTAAGGTTTGATATATCTGGATATAAAATGGTTATTGACTTGCAAAACTAATCTATTGTGTCTAGCTTGGGGAAGACCCCCAGCTCAACCATGGCAAGCTGCACCACCTAGAACAGGCAAGCATCATGAATTATTTCAAATATGACCATGCATTGTTCAAGTGTTTTTTCCCATGGCAATAGACTAATAATGCATTTGAATATCGAAATTTCAAGGTGTCGTGGTGAGTTTTTGGATTGCCCGACTTTAAACAGCAACCCAACTTTAACATCACTGGGTATTTATGATTTGTTATTGGGATTCAACAGCCTCCTGCAACAGTGAATAGAAACCCACAGACACGACCAGGAACTGCTGCTCGTGAGTGATTTTGATCGCATTCATTCAACCTATACCAAAACTCACTGTTTTGTACACCATCTAGGAGTTAATGTCGTTGATAGACCTACAACACAACAGGGTTTGGCAGGTGTACGCGGTAAACCTCAAGGTCAAGGCCGGATGGTACAAGATGTAACATTTTTCCAAACCGAACTTCGTCAAAAAATGAATCTTCTCACCCAAGAGATCTATCGTATAGCCTCCGAAGCAGATACGGCCACCAAAGAAAATAGCAACTACGCCACATTTGAAAAGCGGTAAGTGTGTCTACCACCATGTTTGAGCTTGAATCGTCGTAATCAACTGTTTGTCATGCTAGGGCCGATTCACTTGCGGAAGAACTCAAGGAGGTTCAAGGGAAATTAGGCGATTTAAACACGTTGGTAGACAAACTTCATACAGATACAGATTTAGAAGAACTTGAGCATCAATACCATCAACTACAAGCTAAAAACCAACGCGAGTTGCAAGTTTTGGATGAAATATTTATGCAGCGGCAACAGTTGAGTTATTTGACTTGATGGATAGAAACATAGAGGTATACTAAACAATTCGAGCATCATCCTGTGAATCCATCAATAGACACGAGAGTTCTATCCGAGATATCGAGAATCAAATAGCAGAAGAGCAACAAAAAGCAGAAGATCAGATCAATACTCTAGTATGTCATTTCCCTTTTTATAATGGATTGATCAAGAATCTAAATGTAAATCAAATTTCAAACTATACAGGATCCAGTAAAACGGCTTGAATATAACAAACTCAAGAATGAGAATGTCAAATTCCTCACCAACATTGAGTCGGTTCAGACAGACATTGAACAACAAACTCATCGTGTTCAAAAACTTCAATTGGTAGGAACATCATTTTTATATTATCTTCATTTGGCTTTATTTCAAAACTTGCATAGTAGCATTGATTTGAAATCGCAATGCATATACAACTATCCATCAATGTAGGAGCTTGAAATGGACCCAATCAAGCAAAAAGCCGTTTCACTTCACGAACGTCTCAATGAAGCACGCGATAGAAAACGGGATTTGGAAGAGTCGCTTAGAATGGCCGATAAAGAGTCTGGACCACAGGAAAAAGCTCGGCTGCTAGAGCAAGTTCGTGAAGACAATCTCGAGACATCTGGGATGGATCGCAAAATTTTAGAACTGGATGACCAAGTTCACAAACTTCGTGATCAAATATTACAAGCTGATGCGGAACTTGATCCAGCACATGGTATTTGATCAACCTTTATTTGCATGTATATGTTGGGTCATGATAACCTGACACTGATTACTGTATCGTGCTGTTTTTATTGATATTGCAATGATTCAGAAGAACGAAATGCAAAATACGAGGAACTTTTAAAACGTGACCGAGAGATGCAATTGTTTTTGGATAGTTTTGATGAAAAGCGACACAAATGTGTTGAAAAAGCCCAAGATGCTGAAGCTACCATTGTTACGCTTTTGAAGAACATCAAGGTGGGTTAGTTGAAAGTTGTTTTAGAATTGAAATGGCACACGTTTAATCAGGGTTTCAATAGACACTTTCCAAAAAAGACATGTCCAACCTTCCTAATGCGGATGGCTTTAAAGGACTTCAAGGAGATTTGGAATTTAAAGAAAAAGAAATGCAAAATTCTGAAAATACTGCAGATGCCTTGGTGATTGGTAAGTAATGCTTGGCCCATAGAGTTGCTGTAGTACATTTCAAGATACTGATTTCTATTTTCTTGGATCAAACATGCACATATGTAATGTCATGGCAGAGCGTGATCGAAGAATACAGGATCTCGAAAAAGTAGGGCAGTTGGAAACCAAACTCAATGCCGAACTCAAACACCTTCGAGAAAAGATCCAAACCATGACAGACGAAATGGCTAGAATTGGCAGTGTAGAGTCTATTAAGCGCGAAGCAGAAATTTCTAGAGCGGTAAGTCCTGCTATTGATATTGTCAAATAGTCCAGCATGTTCAACATTCTGCCATCCTTTTGAATTATTTTATACAGCGCAATACAGCGGAGCGAGAGGATCTGCAGTATAGGCGCGATATGCTTCGAGGGACTATTCAAGCTCTTACAACTCGATACGAGGCAAAAAAAGCACAACTTAATGAGAACGAGACATATACTCAACTTGGTGCACTGGAGCAGAGATTGCGTCATCATGAAGGCATTACGTTTGGACTCAAGGACTGTAAGTTTGTAATTTGAAAGCAATATGTAAATTCAAACTCGAGTCTTATTTTGTAAATGATTAGATATTGCATCCAAAATAGCCGAAAGTGATTATAAGCCGTTGAAACAGGAGGCTATTTCACGCATGTATGAAATCAATTCTCAACTGCTCAAGCTAATGTCTCTCCCACCAGCCCGTTAATGGACATTGATATATGGGTATCCTTGTAGGCTCAACCAATAAAGTAACCAATTATTTTGGAGTTTACAAGCAAAAACTATTTTTGGAAATGGAATGGAAAGAAATTCAATCCCATAATACACAGTAATGACTGTACATTGGACATGATACCAATTTATAATAAAAAGACTAGCAGCCAGTATTAGACAAAGGAAACTGAAGTCAACATTCAATTACTGACTGGCCCGTTTGTTTGTCGGAATTATTGGAAACCCGTGTGTTTAAGGAGCAAATCGCGCATCGTTTATGCAACCCAAGTGAGGCTCAATAATAATTGGCATTGCCAACCTCCGCCAGACACTTTGTGATTCAATCGTTTTTTGAGCAAGGCTTGACGAGTTTGAATAGCTCCGACAAAACTCATCATTTCTATTTGAATCGTCGTGGGAATCTGGCTGAAGATATTGTCTTGCATTCGACTAAGCTTTGATCATCGTCTAAACTAAATAGCAACTACATAATTATCATCAGTAATTATGGTTGGTGAACCTAATACGAATACGGCTGCTTCTCAGCCAACAGAAACATGGGAAAAGTCTCGCCATCCTTTTGCCCAAGTTTTTGTTAGTGGTAAATACGCCGATGCTGTCTTGCGAGTACGCAATCTAGTCGAAACAAGTGAGTCTAATACTTGATGCTAATCAAAACTTGTTTCTTGTATGATTCAATCATCTTGATATTTGCTACGACTGCAAGTCGTAACATTGATCCAAAAGTATACTTTTGGACTGTTTTTTTTTTGATTTCTACTGTCAAGTTCGACCTTTAATCGAGCTTAATTGCAAGTCTGTCAGTTAAAGTTTCTCCGTTGCGATTGCTGTTCTCAAGCAGCTTTATTCCAATGCCAAACTTTTTCATCTCCATTGATTTCTTATCCAGTTCTCTGTTACCTATTATTGCTATTTCTAATTGGTTGACTTTGGTAGTTGTGTTGATTGTTTGTCACTAACTTTTATTATGATTTCATGCATGGTATGCTTATCCACTGAATTCATCCACTGTATTCGAATATAATACACGGTTTACAGCATATGTGTTTGATGTTCCTGTTCATCGAGTCATTCTGGCATCAGGCAGTCCTTACATGGATAACTTATTTTCTCAACCACCAGAAGACCAAACAACACTTCATGGTGTTGGAAAATCAAGACAACCTCAGATTTGTGGAGTTTGGTCAGTTGCTGTTCACTCTGACTCTGCCATGCATGTGTTTCTTCAATGGATGTATTTCGGCACTGCCATTCATACCAAGGAGTCATGCTGGGGTGTTCTCGCTCTTTCTCGTCATATGTATGTTCCAGATTTGGAAGAACATGTTGGCAAATGGATTTCAGACAACCTTCTTGCACGTACTCTCGGTGAGCCTAGACCTACATCTGAATGGTACGAATACATTCTTGGCGCTCTCCATGCACGGGTCACTCAAAATGTTGTAGATAATCTCATTGAAGCTGCTGTGATAGACGATCAAATACTTTCTCCCACTCCTTTTGGGATTCCTCAAACATTCCATCGCTATACTATACTAAGGAATCTGGTACGTGCTGCTGAAATCAAGGGAACCCCACTTACCTCAAAGCAGGTTCGCTACATGTTCAAAACTATTGATTATAAAAAGTGGCCGCGAGATCAATTGCAGCAAGCATATATGGATGGATTGCTTCCTCGCGATAAGATTTGTACAGCATTATCAACAAGTGAGCCAAATCCATCTGAATTTACATCCAAGGTGGCAGACATCACACCCACAGACCTGCAAGTTCCAACTGTTTCTGCAACCAATCTTCCCAAACCAGACGTTGAACAAAGCCATGTACTTGACCATGAAAGCGATATGCAAACCATCAAACCAAGCACCGTCAAATTGGCACGTAAATCTATTATAAACTTTCACTCGGATGTCAAAGATTTACAAAAATCCACTCTTCCTACAGAACCAGCTCCTGATTCTATACAAAAAACTGTTGATAATGTAGCATCTATTGATACTGTTCCATCGTTACTTCCCGGTGCTTATCCTAATCCGACCTGTAATCATTCTTCCAAGATGGATTCCGTACGTGCTGATACAGAACTCCCATCTCACTCTACACGAGCGATTATGAATACGTTTGATGAACAAAAGGAAAATGCAGAATTTACCGGTTTAAATTTGAACAAATCAAGTTTGTCAGTAGAATCCGCGTCGACGTACAATCAGCACACATCACCTTCAAACATAGAGATTTCAAACCAAGTCAATACCGATTCTCTTGCATATAGCGAGAGTCTGATACGTGAAACACCAGAGCAATGCTTGAATGATATACGACTTCAGCTAGATATTATGTTTGCTAATGAGCCTACCATTTCCACCGATTCATACTCAAGCGACATTTCTAACCAAGCAGTTGTACCCATTAATGGCACGCTTATCAAGTCTCCGTTGGTACAAAAATCTGTTCAACGGACTTGGGGATCGAAAATTCTGCGTAATATAACAGCAAATCCTTTGAGTTTTTCCACGGGGTTTGACAGTCATACAAATGCTTCTACATCACCTATTCCTTTAGCTATTCATGATGTTAGATCGCTACATCCACTTACTGTACTGGCTGCAGAGGTCAAGGCATTGCATAATACTGTTCAAAACACATTGGTATCTCCTCACAATTCCATCACAAAACAAAAAGACGGTGGTTTGAATGCCACGATGCACCTTGTAAAAACGGACCCTTTTGGTCATGGTCTTAGTAAGCCAAGAGGTATGTAGTCACGTTTGGTTTGATGATGGATGCGTGTTTTATATAATTAGTTTTTGATGTGTTTAACATTTATATTGAATCTCTTGATTGTGTTTGTATAGACCGATCAAAAACCGATCCTTCTGATTTTGTATCCAATCAAGCCAATCATAATAGTGCCATTGGAGACAGCAAACACTTTTTAAAAAAGCCACATTTTACTCGAGCGTTGGGAGAAAATGAACATAGTGTAGCCAAAAGCGACTTGTCTGCATCTATACGCCAAACTGAACAGATTTTAAAAAAACACGGACTTATGCTTGAACCTCGGCGACTGGACATTGGCAACGGTAATTTCAAGACTTGGAAAGATAAAGAGTCACGCATGGGAGTATTGTCATCAACGGACACGTTAGTCAATGAGGAGGATACAGAAACACCTACTAGAGCACGCGAAGTCAAGGCTGGACAGCATACTACGGGCATTGTTTCTCCCTTGAATAGCCGGCAATTGTCATCTGCTTATCCATTCCCACTACCACCTTCCATCAACGTTGGTAACAACTCTACTCTACGTGGTATATCTGCACGACAGGGAAGAGGTGCTCTTCCCAACCCACCCAAACCAACCGACGTTCAATCAGAACAGTCAAAACGACGCAGTCTTAATCCAACATTTTTGATGGAATCAGCAACTGATTCTTTAACTATGCCACACGGACTATCGAATAAGCAACTGGATTCCAATGCACTTTTTTTGCCACGCCGAAGTATGTTTGGAATGAAGCATCCAAAACAATTACAGAACGATGCATCGTCGTCGCGAAGTAAATCAGTAGATGTCAGATTTTCTCTGCCTCCACCAGAAGCCTCCTCATTGTTTATGGACAATAGTCTTGACGATATCCAAGCCCACGAGTCTAAAAGGCAAGATTATCAGCATAATGGAACGTTTAAAATGCTGAAACTCAAGCATGCTAGTTTTGTTCCACCCGGCCTGCCCGTTCCAGATTCACAAGTCATGCCACCAAAGACTTTAAAAGAACACATGGATGACGAAGCCAACCCGAGCATGTCTAGCGATGATTCATATCAGTTGGCGTTTCCATTATCTAAATCAGCGACCATGACAAAACAACCCTCTCAAATGGATCCACCTCATCGTGGGTTAAAAAAACAATGGGCAAAATCCACCACTTTTTTAAAGCAAGACATCAGAAAGAAACAATCGTTGATGAACATGCTCAAAAATTTTGTATGACATTAATATCTCGAGATTCATATTGAGATGTACTGCATTTCTGGCTGTCGTTAATAAATAACATGTTTTTGTTTGCAATTGTTTTTATATAAAGTTGAAGTGTAAGTTATGACTGGGATTAGAGGATTGCCAAAGCATTTGATTAGTAAAATGACAATTTCTATATTGATTAAAAGCATGGTATTGATCAGTGCATTTACTTTGTCAAGTCGACAGTTGTATGGCTTGAATAAAGGGTTTTTAGTTGAGAATAAAATAATTATTGGAAACTGCAATCTTGAAGTGATATTCAAGTTGAATTTCTTTCTTTACCAACTCATCCAACATGTCTTACATGCTCGCTCGCCCCGTCACTGTATGTATATTGGCTTATAGTTTTTGATATTACTACTTGTTTGATATTAATACACTTACATGTATTGAATGCATTTAGATCTCCCGTGGGTTTGCCTCTTCTGCTATATCTGCAGCTAGTGTAAGTTACCATTCAACCCACCACTAGAAACTTATTACCACTGCAAACCTTGACTAGCATCTCTTGATATATTGGAATCATCACTTTGTTAATCAACTTGTTTGATGGTTTACTCGACTGGTTCATTCATGATGGCATCCTGTTGATTGCAATGATGGATCATGATGACTGCTTCAGGCACCCATTGCACTGCATGGAGTGGATGGTCGTTATGCTACTGCCCTTTACGGTGCTGCTCTCAAAGACAAAGTTCTTGAAAAAGTTGAGCAGGAACTAAAGATGGTTGAATCCCTCATTGCCAAAGATGTTGGTGTTCAAAGTTTTCTTAATGCTCCTCTGCTCGACCGCACTACCAAGAGAGAAGGTGTCAAGTCACTCCTTTCTCAGGGAAAGTATTCGACTGTGACAAAGAACTTTTTCGATCTGCTTGCTGAGAATGGCCGTTTGAATCAGACTGAGAAGATCATCGCTTCTTTTGCTCAGCTCATGTCTGCTGGTCGTGGCGAGGTTCCTGTTGTGGTCACTTCGGCCAAGGAATTGGACGCTAAAACTCTTGGTAAACTGAGAGACGTTTTAGCCAAAAGCAAACTGGTTGCTCCTGGATCTAAACTGCTTGTCTCTAACAAGGTAATATTGTGTATCATGTCAATCGGATCTGTGTGACTTTGAAACTAATATTGTTGATCATCTAGATCAATCCTGAGATCATTGGTGGACTCGTTGTTGAAGTGGGTGACAAGACGGTTGATCTGTCTGTTCTATCCAAGGTCACAAAACTCAACAACCTTCTCACTCAGGCTGTTTAAATGGTTTACAATGACTTCAAGCTTATTTTTTTGCGTAATGAACCAATGTGAAACCAGATATATTGCTTTATAAACCAACTTATTTTCTTGCTGATATCTACAAGATGGGTGGTTTATGAGCGAGAGTGAATGGCCGTGTTGAATAGTCTGTATCGAACTGCATTGCTCCCGTCAGTCTGCGTTGTCATGTACGATTCGATCATGCATTCAAACTCTGGCATTGTGTTTTTATCCGATACATGTTCAAAATCAGAACAGATCTGTCCTAATCGACACTTGAGTTTGGCAAGTGTGGCTGGGTTTAAAACTAGATCGCATGGTGGAATTCCAACAAAGTGAATCTGTCATCCAGTGCATCAAATGTATTCAATCGAATTAGTCAAATCAGGTAGTTTAGACTTGCATGTGTATTCTACTTACTGCATCTTCGCCTGATAGAATCACGGGCAAATACCCCGTTCCATCTGTCATCAATAGACTATACATGTAAATGTGTTGAATATATTCATCCGATTTACAACTTGGACACATCATCTTTTCATGTGCTTGCTTGTCGTTTGAATCAAGCACAAATGTAGATTCACAATAGTTGCAGTAAGGTCGTGTAAAGTTGCAAATCTGACGTGGCATCTGAGCAACCACTTTTACCAAACATGTATACTTTGCTGGTATAACAGTATCTGTAAGAATGTCGCTAATGTGTGTGATTTTAGATATACGCTGTGTTAAAAGGGTTCGACGAGTGTCCATTTTTTGAGCAAGTCTATTTTGAAACATGATTGCATGGGTCAGATTCAAAAATAAACATTGTTTTGACTACAGTTTAGAAAAGTATAAGCTTACTGTAGAATATGTTGAACAGATGGATCCGAGTTGGATAGTTTACGAAAGTGTTGGTGGACGATTGGATCGGAATTCACAGCTCCTTCCATATGGCCTGATTTGCCTATTTTGCATCGCATATTTTTAATACAAACTATATCGCCCACTTTTGGAAGCTGATCGGGAGAACCAAGTTCATGAAAAGGCATCCAAAACATGCACTCGAAAATTCCATTTTGAAGAATAGTTGCAGGAAGATATTCATCGGGTGCAAATAAGCATTTCGTAAGAGACGAGTTTGTCGTGTAGTCCACAAGTGCAAGTGTATACGGCGACGTACTAACAACTTTGACAATCTAAAAGTAATGTTGATCACATTGTCCAAATCGATATCAAAAAGCAAATCAAGTATAAAGCATAACTACCTTGGCAGTCAAATCATAAAACTGTCCCACTACAAGTTGAGAAATGGGTCCAGTCATCCGTTTCTTATCAAAGTTTTTGATTGCTGGAGGTGTAGATGATTTGACTTGAGTACTCCACCAGTTTCGTAAAAACATGACGACTTTAGTTTCTGGACTGTTTTCCACTGGCTTTCCTGCTGGATAAAAAATAAATACTTTTTCAGAAATTCGTTTTTGTACTGCCTGTAGACGTCCATTAAAAACTCCAATCTATCATAATAGTATTGTTCATTTCAGATTAGTTAGACTGAGCTGAAACATGCCAGATCTTGGAAAGAGTATACATTCCTCATGTATGATGCACTTACCTCGACTTCCAATCTAACAATATCTCCAATTGCGAGTATGGATATAAAGTCGGACTCAAATTGTCTAAACACGTTGATCGTAATGCCATTATATGTGTGTGCATCAAATGTTAGATCTGACAAGGTCAACGATAGCATGTATTCTGTAAAGATCATTTGAAGTTTAGTAAAACAACCAACTCAGTTCAATATGAGTGCATTTGAAACTAGTACATACTACACACCTCCTGTAGATGTGACGGATGGTTTTTTAAGTCCAGTAATTACTCCAAAAAAATGGGCCAGTGGCATGGACCGCAAATCACCAATAGCATGCAATTGAGCAATACCCAACTAAAATGATTAAATGGATTGTATTGAGTGTGGTTCTAGAATGTCCGATATCATGACCAGACTGGCATGTTGAATCGTAAAATTCAACATTTAAAATCAAACATGTACCTGTAAAGCGGCAGCATTCAAGAGGTTTCTGTAAGTGGAAGGAAGCATGTCAGTGTCTGAAAAATGCCTTATTGGTGTATTTAATATGGGTTTTGAAGGAGTTTTATACATGATGACTGCAACAGCAATCGCTCGAGTAAATGTAAGTTTTGGAACAAGACTGAATTCAACCAACACGTGTCAGTTATATGGCTCGAGTGCAGTAAATACGATTGACAGTATTGAAATCTAAATAGCTTTAAAAGTAATTGTAAGATCACATTATAGAATTGTTGAAACAATAAGAAACTTGTACATTGAATTTTTAAAAAGTCATGAATTGTTGATTGGAATTCATTGCTGTCTTCACGTAAAATGAAATACTTGTATCGATTATTTTACATTAAAATAAATATTTGTTGTACTTTCTCATTACACATTGACATGTTTAGTTGTTCAAATACAACATTCATCATAAATGAACAGAAACCATTTTATTTGACTTCGTTTTGTGGTTTATTTTACGTGAATACGATTTAAAAAACTGTTTTGTTCAAATATTAAATCGGATTGAATATTACCAACAAGACCATGTCCTGGCCACATTCTGAATGGAATTCATTAGTCACTGTTACTATTATTTTACTGTCATTGATTGTCGCAACGCTTGTAGCAATATTCATGACTCTTTGGATTGTATGGCCGCCTTCACGTCAAGTCCAACATATGCGACTCAAACTACTTGAAAGCAACACTTGCAACTCAACTCAATCTCCATTCACTATTGCGTTTTTTCATCCACATTGCGATGGTGGAGGTGGTGGAGAGCGAGTTTTATGGACCGCTATCAATGCAATCCAACAAGATTGCAAGCAACGACAACTCTCGAATACATTTATTGTTGTTTACAGCTGTCCATTGTCTAGCACTCCAAACGAACTATTGATTCATATCAAAGTATATCTGAATTGTTTATTTATTAAATCTACTTGTTTTTGTTCTAGTCTAATGATTGTCGGAATATATGTTTTCAATGTCATGTAGAAACAATTTGACATTGTTGTAGATCCCGAAACAATCAGATTTGTGCAATTAGAATCATGGAAATACCTTGAAGCTAAAAGGTAAGTCACTTTTAAGCATTTAGTTTCATACACTAAATTATGTACTGCCGTATTCATGTAAAATAGAGCATTTGTATTTATCTTGCATGGATTGCCTTTGAAATAGGCAGTGTTTGAATATTCGTTTGCTTTCTTATTAAAAGTTGACTATTTCTTCAAATACAGCATCGTATAATACAATCACCAGATTCATTTAAATCTAGTGATTGAAATTGACTGTCTATTATGCACCTTGATGTCCCTATTTGTGCTCCGTTATACGTGAATACGGCTGTATATTAAATGTGACTAGCAAAAAGCTAATACTCGTCATGAACGTGTAACTGGATCGTGTAGATATAAGCGACTTACATTGTTAGGACAAAGTCTTGGATCAATCATCACAGGAATGGAGGCGATGCAGCAACTTGTTCCTGATGTATTTGTTGAAACAGTTGGATATGCATTTATATATCCAATTGCTCGATTCTTTCAAACCAAGGTTGTGTCATATGTGCACTATCCAACAATCAGGTATACGCTCAATCTTGTTTTTATTTTTGTCAAAACTTGTCATTGAAGCGTGATACATCAATATAGTTTAGATATGCTTCAAAAAGTTCAAAACAGAGAGTCTAGTTTCAACAATGCTCATGCGATATCCAATAGCGCTGTGCTGAGCACAATGAAATTGCTATACTATCGTGCATTCTCTGTTCTTTATGGATACGCTGGATCTTTTTCAAATGCTGTCATGGTATGTTCACTGTTTTGTATAGTTTACAATCCAAATCACATGAGTTTAACGGCCAAGTCAATCTACTTGATTCAATATGCTTAGGTGAACTCGTCGTGGACATATGGTCATATTAATCACATTTGGAATATCCCACAACGAACTAGCATTGTTTTTCCACCTTGTTTTACGCAATCTTTGTCCAATCTTACTTTATCTGCAAGGCAACGCATTATTTTATCTATTGCGCAGTTTCGGTATGTATCTAGGCCAATTGTCTAGACTGTCTTTGATGTGGTGGTGTACTCAATGAATAGTTGATCTGATTGTAATAGACCCGAAAAAAACCACACTCTTCAGTTGGAAGCGTTTAGCTTGTTGCTTTGTGATCATCCACAATTGCGGCCAGGCACAGATTCAAGCGTGAGTCTTGTTTTAGTTGGTGGCGTTCGTAACAAAGACGATTCTCGGCGTGTAGCAGAATTACGATTGCTAGCGACTAAGCTTGGCATCGAGGTAAACGTGATATATAGTACAATGGGAGTGTGAATACCGTATTTGTTTAAATCAACCCAACTTATTTTGCAACTATAGGAATCGGTCAAGATAATAGAGAATGCATCATACCCTGACATTGAATCTTTATTAGCAAAATCGCTAATTGGCCTGCACACCATGTCGAATGAACACTTTGGAATTAGTATTATTGAATATATGGTAGGTTGATTGTTTTTTGGCATGAATGTACAGATTTGGATGCATATATTAGTGAATTATCTTTTTACTGATCTGTATCATTGAAATGATGTACAATGAATAGGCTGCTGGTGTAATTCCAATTGCACATAATTCAGGTGGTCCTAAGATGGATATTGTCAAACCATTGTCAGGACAATCTACTGGATTCTTGGCCACAACTGCACAAGAGTATTCAGATTTGATGTTCAATGTTTTGACACTTTCATCTGAATCTCAACTTTCAATACAAAAAGCAGCTCGTGAATCAGTAATTGGTCGATTTTCAGATTCTATATTCTGTTTAGACTTTTTAGCCGTGATTCAACAGCAAAGAGATATGATTCAATAATCCCAACAAGTATTTTTTAAAATTTGATTTCATTTTGTTGTCTTTCTGTTCTACTTGATGCCATACCAACCTAGGTTTGTATTTTGAATCGACTACAATGCTTGGCTGAAACTCTCATGTAGAAATGACAGCGTGCAGTTTAACTTTATTACAGCCGTATTCACGTGAAATGTAACACTTTATCCTGCAATGATTGCTTGGGATAATTAAATATTTGTTCTTACTACAAATTGACTGTTTTTTTGATCAAGTTTTCAATTCTTTAAAACACAATGTCCATTATAATACAAACTATAGTTTTGAACGTGCCCTCCTCTCATTTAGTATAGTCATATATTATGAAGTACCAGATTTGGACCGTATTTATGCATTATAACGCAGTGATTGGATTTGACTGTCATCAACTCTGCAAACTCTTTGTTGTATCCTGAATCTCATACATTCGCGTTCTAGCTCAATAATAAGCCAGTGATTGTATATTTTAGGAATGCAGCAACTTCTTGCATGCAATCACCAAAAGACCAGTCAATTAAAGAGTTTAAACAAGACAATATTGAGTAAATTTAGTGGAAATTATCATGCCATGAGATGGGCTGCTTTATGCAGTTTAGCACCATTATTTTTAGTATTTTATTCTGTGCAAATACGACCAAATTTTGACGATAGAAACTATTTCAAACTTATAGCTCGCATCATGAGCAGCACTTTTGCATCAGACCTCTGCTATTTCCCGCCATTGGTGTTGCCAGCTACACCAACTACACAAGTCAAACGCATATTTCTATGCAGACATGGCGAAACTGAGCCCAACGCTCGTGGGGTTTTACAAGGATCCGGCATTGACGAGTACTTGAATGCCATGGTAGTCTATTCTCATGTGTATATGAAACCCTCTGTTAAACTTGTTCAGCATCCATACACGAACCATGGATAGACCACTGCTGTTCAGTGTTGGATTATCTAGACTCGAATGCCTGTTTTACTGGTCGTGTTGAAAAAACATGATACGGACTCGAGTACATGTTGATTCTGCTGGAAGAGTCGAGCATGATAATGATTTTTATAGTCATTGTTTGATAATCCATCTTGCTGGCTTCATTGTATTTTGTGGTCACTATCCCTGGTTGGATTCATCCCAGTCTTCATTCATGCATTATGAAAGCTATTGTTAACCATGTGACCTATCCAATTGGTCACATTATGAATATATACCCTTATCATGCCAACAACTCATGCTTAAATCTGTCCATGGTATATAGGGAGTTGAACAGGCACAACATCTCCGTGACTGTCTTGCATCTGTTAAAGTAGATTTGATCATCAGTAGTGCTCTCAAGGTAATACATGCATCAAGTGATTCAGTGTGGAGTTTGTTTTTTAGCAGTCAAACTCAAATAGTATTGATGGTATCAAACTTGTAGCGAGCACGCCAAACAGCAGAGATTGTCAAGGAAAAACATCCAGATATTCAACTCTTGGAAGTTTCCGAGCTGGCAGAAATCAGTTGGGGAAAATGGGATGGTCAGATTGAAGCTGATCTCAGGATCTTGCTGAATCGATGGATAAATGGCGATTTTCACGGTAATTGTTGAATGACTAGCCATTTGGATTGTTTTATCATTCTAACTGCTTCATCCACTACAAAATAAAGCCATGGCGCCGCGTGGCGAGAGTCCATTTCAAGTGGAAGCACGAGCTGTTCCTGCATTCTATAATCTGATGCTTAATCGGCCAGAAACAAACATTGTTTTTGTCGGTATGTAATGTGTTGTCATGTATGATGATATTGTCTTTATCTACTTGGTGAATTGATGTAGATTGAACGGATTTTTGTTTAGTGCATGGCCGACTACTTCGCATCATGCTTTCATCCATTTTATTCCAAAACCTCAATCACATGAATGACTTTACCCATCACAACACCTGCATCAATCTTATCGATGTATCCATAGAATCAGATTTAAATCACATAGGCGATAAAATCAATATTGATTTAACCAAACTAAAAACACCTTTCAATACAAAGTCTCGAAAACCCGTACTGGACGATAACGTGGTAATAGCAGATACACCAGCAATAGAATCGCCACCAGAACTATTTGAACAAAGTGGATGCATATTGGATAGCAGTTTTGAAAGCGCTGTGCCTACTGTGGTCCATCCTGCGTGTTTTACCCTTACACCGCTTCTTTTAGATGATAGGAGACACTTGACTCCACGTTTTCAATAGATACTTGGTTACGTCATCTTCTATTACCTTGTACCATTGATTCACAAACTGGATTGTGATCTTTATCGTGTTTTAGAATATTAACGATGGTGTGATTTTGGCTTTTAGCTTAGTAATTGAAAGATGTATATATTTGCACTACTGAGCAAGTTGAGTATGCACTTGGTATCCTACATATTGGGCAATAAAAGTTTGGCACCCTGTTGCATTTAAAACCCGTAATAAATCATTTAAGCACAATGGCCAGTAGCTCAGATATAACCATAACTGTATCTCGTAGTAATCGGGCAAGTTATTGACTAGGAAATGATTTACGCAAACATATAAAAACAAGTATTTGCTACAGCACATGATTGGCATGAGTATCTTGGCACAAACTAGCATTCTCGGGTCACATCACGCTAGAGATGTGTATCTGAATGTTGTTGCTCATGATATTTAAAAATACAACTCGGCACTACCAAATTATTATATTCCACCAAAACTGTTGAAACAAAGTGTAATATGTTTTGAATACATCCAACTTGAAATAGGCATATATTCAAATCAAAGCAATGAGGTGCAATTTACATCAATCCAAGATCTCGACGAAATTGATCGCGAGTTAAAGCAATGTTTCGGTGAACAGCTTCTAGTTCATATGTGACTGATCTACGCTCTCGACTTAGTTTTCCCACTTCAACTTGTAAATCAATTTTTGATTTTTGTAACATATCAATTTGAGTTTGCATCCCAATACGAACTGATTCGGATTGCTCCCTTATTGTGCTTAGCTGGTTTTTGGATCTGTAGTGAGTTCAATGGAAATATCCAAAAAACATTCGTTAGTTTGTTATGATGGGTATTAATTTTTAATAATGCAACATCTACTGGTTGAATCATACCTTGTTAGGAGCTCATCAATTTCTTCATCTTTTGATCGGGTTACTCTTTTTATACTGTCCTCCAATAGTGAATTTTCTTTGGTCAGTTTCTGCATTTGCTCAAGAGCATGATCACGCTCTTCTTTAACCCGATCAATCTACCATTAAAGTTTGAGTCACTGCATTTTCACTATTTTTCAATGCATTATATAGTATACGCTTACATTGAATGTTATTTCTTTTAAACGATCCTTGGTTGACAATAACTCTGCATTTTTACGTTCAAAGTCTAGCATATACTTTTGTAACCCAGCGGCATGATTCTTTTTCTCCTTGTCAAACTCATGTTCAATATTTCCTAGCTTTCTGTTTAAATCTACCACCATTCCGTTGCAAACAAATCCATTAGATTGCGTCTAGGTGTTTAGTTTACTAGTCAAAACGTTTACCTTGAAGCTCTTTTACCATGTTTTGAACATGTCTTGTAAGAAGGAGAGAGCCTGGTGTGACATCTCGAATAATATCGTCGTGTAGGATCGATGCTAGTCCGGATTCACGAACACAGCTTTACTCATTTCAATTTACACGTCTCATCAGTACAGTGATCTATATATATGGTCGAGTCAAATGAGTCATGAAATACCTTTCATAGTCTTCAATACTTCCTTGATAAGCACGTATCCATCGTTGGGCACGATCACGTTCTCGAGTCGAATCCATCCATTTCTTTTCTGATTCGACACACATGGTGTCAAGCTCGTCCACTTTGGATAAAAGTTGCTTATTGGATTTGACACTTTTTTCAAGTTTTTCCATAGTACTCGTCACTCTTGTTTCCAATGCTTTGGTTTCGTCGACAAGCGTGTCGATGGTGTTCTTTTGGTGTTGGGTTGTTTGTTTCAGCGCCAAAATATGAGAATGCAATACATCGGATTCTTTTTTACTTTCCTCGGCTAGATATTCATTTCTGGTCAGCTAAAAAGCGTGTCAAAATGAATGCAAGTTCAAATGCACTCATACCTAATGCAGACATGGTCTTGGTGTAATGCGCTTTTTCTGCTTCCAAGGATGCTTGATATTTCTCCTGTGCTAATCTAATCACTAGACAATCGTGAGCGTGTTTTTATTAATGGATGTCTACTACATGGCTTATGAATGAAGTGGACTTGCCTAGATTCATACTCGATTTCACCAAGTCTACACTCGTATGCATTTATAATTGTATCAATTGGTTTTAGATTGTAATTATTGTTCTAAGTAGAGTGACTAGTTAATACAATGAAATGTCATATCCAGTTGAATGCATATATATGAATGTACCTTGTGGAGGGTTGAGAGCGTACTGGGAGGAGGAGGCGATCTGTGTGATGTATACCACAATAGCAATACATCTTGTCTTTTAATCATATGTTTTAATTCTTGAATTTCAGTGTGTGCTGCATCGAGTTGAGCCAATTCCAAAGAAGCAGACGGTGCGGGTGGAAGAGAAGGCGGTTGTGGTGGAGATGCAATCTTGACAGGAGGTGGAGTTTTGGGCCGTCTCGGTCCACTCAAAGCTGCCTTAAGAATAGCTGGTGGTAGATTCAAGTCTTCGTAATTCACCAAGCTGCCTTGATTTAGCGTTTCCATCTTATGTGGTTGAGTAGATGTGCAAACACGATGATGGGCAGTTTCTTGAGTATTTGCTTCTACATTCGGAGTTTTGATAGTATGTTCATGGGTCTGAAATCTAGTGTGATGATGGTCAGCTACGTGTTTGGGCAATATACCATACTTTGAAGCCTGACTATCCAAATGGTTTAAACGAGATATAGCTTGTTTAGACAATTCCAACAAAGATGTAGTAGATGGACGACAGGTTGGAATACCCAAATCAGAGTTGGCATGATGCAAGTCGAGTTTTAATTCAGTAGTAGCATCAGTGTAATGCGGTGTACTCTCTGAATCCCTAAACACAGGAACATTAAAAGATGTGGTCATTCAATACCCTATAAAATAGATGTATAATAAGGTTTAAACTGTTTCAGTACAGCAAGTTGTTATATTGATGATGCTGATTGGATAAAACACTATAAATCGCGATGTTTATCGAGTTATGCTCGACAGTCGCGCTGTAATATAGTCTAGAAAGCTATATGTGTTGTAGAATTTGACTGTTTATTTGATTGAATCTCTAATAGTATTTAAAATACCATTTGCATGCGAGTATAACAAGATGCAGTAATCAACTTGAATATGTTTTGACTTGACATGAATTTCAAATACAGTTTACAGCCACATTTTGTTTTCGAATAAACCATTGTTATTGGATATGGATTCCTATTATTGAAACTCTGTTTTATTCTAATATTGAATATGTTCTAGTTCAACATATCTCAGGAATGCAACTTTACATGCTGGTCATGCAATGTTTTCAAGAATTGGAGGTTGAAAAGATGTCGAGAGTGGAATGCATTAAAACAGAAATGTAAACATTTATATTTTTGTACGAGAATGAGCATCAAGACAATGAATTAAAGTTTATGAAACCATATTTTTCAGTTAAATTGAAACCCGCAAACATGACAGTTTATCATGCATTGAGTTGTTTCATGTGAGAATATGGCAGTAAAAAATAGCGAAATTCATACAAAAAAGTGTTCCATTTTACGTGAACACGACAGTAATTTCTAGCAGTGTTCAGCTACAGTTCGTCAAAGTAATCATCGAATTCGCTTCATTGGTGGCCCATTATGGATACAAATGGGTCTTCGAATGCAACACCGAGTCCTCGTATTTCCATTAGACGAAGAGTTGCCGATGCTGGCGATTCTTACGACGATGCACACACGGATGCAGCTGGATTGCCCACTTATCAGTTCAGTAAATCTCGTCGCACTGCAAGCTCTCGAAGATGTTGCTGCTGCTCTAGTAATTCAAACAATTCAATTCTCGTTTATCTGTTTTTAGTCGCTGTGGGTGCATTGACATTGGGTCTGTACATTGGCTTGGTCTTTTCAAGTATGCAACTGCCGTTTATCGGTAAACCACACACATCGAAACAGCCACAATTGATTCAATCTCCTCCATTGTCGTCCCTTCATCAGATTTATCAAGAACAGGCTGCTGCTCAAATCAATGGTATTTTGAATGCTTGAATGTCATTGTTAAAGTGCTTTTATATTCGGCTGGATTGATTTTATGGCCATTGATTTCCTAATGCATGTTATATTCAAATCTGTTCCCGATTGCTTTAGTCGGTTTTATTACTAACGACATGAATTCAATTATCGATTGTTTAAATAGCCTTGAATGAAGTGATACAAACACAAAAAGAAGCAATGAGTAAGCAAGCTAAAGAACTTGCTGCTCTGCATGCAGCTGTTCGTGTTCCTTATAAAGTAGCTACTCCCAAATCAGGCACAGATGTGCATAGGAAGAATGTAAAGCATAAATATACTCCTCAAATAAATAATCCAGATCAGGAAGTGGACTCTCCAAATGAAAAAGGAACGACGGGTAAAGCTGCGCTTAATACTAAACACGATGCGCATGACACTCAACTTCGACAGCATCAGCAGATGGTGGATCTCACGTTGAGTTCAAACAAGAAGGATGCATCTGGTAAGTTCAAGGTGCTAATCGGTTAAGTATTTATTTTTGTTAATTGAGTTGCAATGTATTGCAGATATCAAGCTTCAACCAAGCACATCAGACATTACCGAGGTGACGGATTGGAAAACTCTTCCTAGCTCATCAGTGTGGTGCTATGGATCTAAACGTGCAGATAGGTATTTGATCATCTTAATTCAATCATCACATCAAAGTAGATTGACTGATTATATTTTGATTTTAAAATCCAGAGTGTGTCGATTCAGAAACCTTTGCTATCATCCAAAGCATGATGATTGGTTTATTCTTAAAACCAACAGCTCTGTTCTCCACAACGTTCCGGATCAGGTTAAATCTGAGACATTGCTTGAAACGGGAACGGTTGAAAATCATCCCTACTTTTTCTGGAACTATGTCGAAGCATCTCCGTTTCATCCATCGTTACAGAACATCAAAGTGCGTTTTGAAGATCTACCACATTTTATTTTCAAACGACTTCATCCAAAAAATATCATGCACAATCTACACGACGACTTGCTGGGCATGTATTACATGCTAAAAGAATTTGTTGGTCGAGGAACATCGTCCAGATATATGCCCTTTTCGTTGGATGGCCATCGCGTATTGATTATTGATCCGTATGATGCCACAGATTCCACCAGAATATTTCAATACCTTACGAATTTTCCGCTCAGATTCAGTAGTTATTTGAAGCAGAAAAACGAAGAGCATATTGTGACTTGCTTTCGTGATGCATATGTAGGCAATACAAAGTTGACCACTTGGTACCAGTACGGATTTAATGAACCTCAAGGCCCAATTGCTGGAAAATCCGTCAATGGTATGTATCTTCGTGAAGTGGGTGAATGGTTTATGCGTAGATTGGTACTTCCACTTGGTCACGATGAAGATCCTACAATCAAAGATTTACATCCTTTACCAAGCCTGCCTTCAAATGGTACCTATGGCAAGGAAGTGGATTTCCAAGACACCGATACTATTGTTGTTCTTTCTCGCAAGGGGAACCGATTGATTTTAAACGAAGAGCAAATGGCTAAAGATCTTGAAAAGGCGTTTGGATACAAGGTTATATTTGTAAGCAATGAGCAGCACACGTTTGAGGAACAGATTGTATTTTTAAGAAAAGCACGAATTGTTATTGGAATGCACGGTTCTATTCTTGTAATGGTCATGTTTTGTCGTCGCGGAACTGTTGTAATAGAGATGTATCCATTTGCGGTTCCTGGAGATCACTACACACCCTACAAAACCTTGGCAAGTTTGAACGGAATGGATCTTGTATATCGCAAGTGGGAGGTGAGTTGATTGGAGTGGTTGATTGCAATGTGTGGTGTATCGTTTGTCTAACCTTTTTAACGTGTTTACTAGAACAAACATTCATCCAAATCCGTTGCACATCCACACAACCATCCGCTTCACGGTGGCATTGACACTCTACCACTTTCTGAGCAAACCCTCATTATCAATACGCTGACTGTGCCACAACACAAGTGTTGTGCAAGTCCTTATTGGCTGTACCGTATTTATCAGGACACCGAAGTGACCACTTCGGAAGTCATTGAAATTATCAACGATGCCTTGGTAGAATCACGCAAGACTCTAGTTCGTGTTCGTGAAACCAATTTCCACAAAGTTGATGTTTTACCTGCTCTTGTTAAAAACATTCGTTGCCTAGAGCATGCCAACCGTCCACCTAATACGCTATGGATGGCTTGGGATCCTCCATGGAATGGAGTCAAAATCGAAAAGTGGAATGTACACACCATGAATGATGGTAGCAACTACATCACTATGGGATCTGAGCCTACTATTTCAATTCCAAACCTAAAAACCAACACCACGATTCGAGTATTTATTCGACCAGTGATTGGTACATGGAAAGGAGATTGGAGCTCACGAGGAGAATGTGTTGTTTAGTGTGCTGATCTGGATTTGAACTAACGAATAAAGCAAATTTTGGATGTTACCGCCCTATCCACATGAAATCAACCACGTTTTTATCGATTTGGTGTCGATTACCTTTTTGCTTTAGAATAAACAGCGATTGAATGGTTGGTGGATTTTGATGGAAACTGACTTGAACATTGTCAATTCTTTCAAGCACTGTATTATATAATACAAACGATTATATTTTAAACTCGTATGTTTTAGTTTAAAAACAACAATGGCTTGCATGATCATCAAGAGACCAGCCAATTAAAAAGTTTAAAACCACAACATTTAGTAAATTTCGTGATACCAATCATTGAACAAGACTGGCGGTTTATTATACTTTGATATAGAATGAGAATAATATGGGGTTTGACACTTTGTCAAGAGTCAAGCCGAGTTACATCAAAGAGCATTTTGATCCGATTGAACCAGAGGCTTCCAATACACCAGCAGTCATTTTTAGCATGACTTCTTTAAGCGTACCTGTTGCTTGCATGGCAGATGATCCAACTTTTCGAACAGCATCCAAGTCATATTCCAATTCCATGACGGATAGCAGGTCCGAAATCCAAGGAACAGTATTGCCTTGCTCGTTTTCTACTTGGATGCCAGCGATTGAAAACACAGTCGCTTCTGCACCCCAATCGCCAAAAAGAAACCCATTGAATGCCCCTTTTAGCGCTCCTTTTAATACACCTTTAGCCGTAGTGGCAATACCCTGAATCGGTGTATTGGACACCACAGATGGAACAATTTCAAGCAAGATCTGCATATCCTTGCGCGTATCTAGCATCTCAACGCCACGTAGTACCCCATTTGCTACTTTGCTGCCATTGAAAAACACATTGAATTTGATGGCAGAGAATTTAAACGTAAGGCTGGGAATGGTATCGAATTGAATGTTGAGGCCTGTATTGATGGACCGCATATGTGTTATAACTGGATGGTGATGAATATGACGGATAGCAAATAGTTCGCGAATACCTTGTTGATCAAGAGCATCGTTTGTAGCTTCGTTGACTGCCTTGTAAATGGCTGTTTTGTTTAGTGTTGGAATACCATTTTTGTTACGAGTGATGAATTGGGCGAGTTCCATTTGTTTGACTCGCACCTCGGGGGTTGAAGTTGAATCTACAGTGTTATGCTTGATTGGTTTTGCAGTAATATCCTCCAAAGCAGGTGTCGAGTGTTTAGAAATACTCGACTGATCCAACTGTGAATCTATAAGGGTTTGGGTTGGAGTTTCTAGTGAACTTGATATGGGTTTCTGGATCTGATCCAAACTTGCTGAATCTACCAACTCTGACTGATGATTCGATATTAATTCGGCAGCCTTTTGATTTTCAGCTACCGCCAATCTTGCTTTAGCAGCCTTTTGATTTTCAATAGCGATGGCTCTTGCCGCTAAATCATTGAACAAAGCCGTACATTACAAACAGGATGGTTATTACACCCCTTTACACCCATCACACTCACATCACGATAAAATCCACCTTGTAGTTTGGCAACGTTTACAGTTTTGACCAAGGCGACATGATCGACAGTTAGCCATCCAAAAAAGTCGATTGAGATGCATCCTTCTAACCGAACAATGATGCCTTCAATTTCTTTTCCTCCTCCCATGTTCACTCGACGAACAATGGGTTTGAGTATATTGATTGAATCGGCAATCAGCACATCCACAGGGTCGAGATCCACTTGCCAATGAGTAGCCGAGGATCCAAACCTACCACCAAGTGTTATAGGAGTATCGATCAGCACCACTGCCCATTGGTTGTTTTTGACAGTATCTATAATTCTGATGGGAGAAGTAAACTGAACAGACACTATGCCTATATTAAAAAAAAAGGCTCGCAGTGGTATCCGGAAAGAAAGAGAGAGTTGCAATCCGTCATCCGTAACAGATTTAATATGAACCGAGTCTATCAAAAGCTCCTTGTCGAATGATACCTTGTCAACTACAGTGCAAATCAGATAAGGTAGAATGACTTTTTTCAAAAGGTAAATGAACAATACTGATAGTATAGCTACAAGTACAATGGCTTGAACAATCATTCGTGTATTGTCAAGATAACAATTGCAATGGTTTGACTAGATTTTAATCTGAATTTTAATCTCGATTTGATAAACTGTTTAACACGTGATTTTTCATGGTTCAACTTGACACCAAATTTGACAGAAAATCAAAGTTTATTCCAAACAGCAAGATAAATAAAACATGACTAGAGATTATTACCAATAGAAACTCATGTTTCAACAGAGTGAATTTCAGTTTCTATCTCTTGTGTCACTGTCTAGCATTGTCATGACAAGATCGTATAGTTTATGAATCTCGTTAGTGGACAATGCAGTTTCCAACCCAGCAATAATAATAGGCTTGGTATCGAGAGAATCTAATCGAAGGATTGCCAATTCTTGTCGTTCAACCGCAAGCTGATATCGCACTTCCAGTAAAGCATCAAACACCACCCATTCTTGCTCAATCGTTGTAATACGCACCATGACTGGTTCGTCCGTGTTGGATTCCTCGTGATCGCTCGGTACTTGATTAGATTGGGTTGAATCTGATTCAATGGAATCTGCAGATGTTTCTGAAGTAGTGTCGGTTTGTGATTGCAACTTTTTTGTATCCATTCCATCCAAAGATTCAATGGGATGTTGTAAAGATTTTATGCATTGGATGGGAGAAGTACATCCTAGCTCATTCATATCGTATGCAGTCAACCATTTTTTGAATTTCTTCTTTGGTTGTACATTGGGTGTTACAGGTGCAGATATCACTTTGGGTTCTGCATCAATATAGGATGATTCAGACATGGTTTCCGGGAATAATGGCTGCATTTCAATCTGTTTACATTGTATTTGATTGGCTGCTTCTTGTTTTTGAGATTCAAATATGGGATGAAAGCACATGATAGGTGTATGAACAGACACAATGTACTTGCAAACACTATATTCACGTAAATACGAGATATGTTGATGAGTGCAGCAATGGTACTAGAGCATGAATCATACCAATAAAAGGGTTAGTATTTTACATATCCCATTACCACCATTTCAATCAAGGTTAAAAATAAACTCTACCTGAACTTCAACAGTTCTGTGCTCGCCAATATCTGTACACATATCTCCAAATCCCCATACCTGGCGTAAATGATGTTTTCCATTATCATCATCTTCAATGAGCTGAGGAGCAGAGAAAACCTTGGATTTTGATTTGGTTAGTTTTTCTTTGTCCATGTATCCGAGAAAATACTCTATACTGCCGCCTTTTTTTTGCTTGGATGTTTTGGGCCAAGTATGATGCTGACGAACATATTTTCCTGGACAAAAGTCATAGTCCCACAATCGATCGCTCTAGATGAACATATTATGGATGATCAACACGACTATTAAAATAATGCTAGCATGCAGACATGACGCAAGATTGAATGGTCCTATTATAGTGGATCTAAAAGTTAGATGTGTGAGAAATACAACACCTACATGTTTTAAACAAGCTGAGCCCATAGTTTTTAGCTTTGCCATTGCTTGAAGAATAATACGGTTCTTTTCCGTATTATCTACCACAGAGGCAGATGCGGATGTCACTACCAGATTGGATGGTATAGAACAGATGAACATGGACTGATCATATTTGAGTTGCATCACGTTTGAATCCGAGTTCTTATATCGATAGTGTGAGAACAGCATTCAAGGACGGAATATCAAAGATTATAAATTGATATAAACATGGGATCAAAAAGAACAAATCAGTTGATTGAGAAGAGTTTAAATGTACAACAGCATTCAGCGAGTATTACCGAAAGCAACTTGGATGCTTCAGAGTGAGAGATGGATTGAGTTCCAAACACAACATTTATTAGCGGTGTTTTAAACATATCGCTAAACACTTGATGTCTTAAAGCCGCATGTGACTGTTGATTGTAGCGATGCTGATGGCTCTGTGCATGAGTGGATTTGTGGCCAGTCTTGACAGTTTCAGCCAATACAGTATTAGTTAATAAAGCTATAAAGCTCAATGTAACAGTTGGCAGTAGTTTTAGAAAAACCATGGTTTTGTATGAAGATAATATAAACAGATGCATGAGTTTAGAATAGTTGATATTCAGTGACAAAGGAATGAGAACGGAAATAAAATGAGAAAATATCAGAAATCAGAGTATTATGAAACACTCGAATCAATTCATTCAATTCATTCAATTCATTCAGATTTGATTATCTTGATGTTCAGTTTTATGTGAATAACTTACTATTAGAAATAAGTTATCCAGATTTATCCAAAAAACATTGACATTTTTACAAGAGAATCTAGTGGATTGGGAAATGTCGCAACGGTTACTGGTGTTGTATGGATCTCAGACTGGTTGTGCTCATGAAACTGCTGAACGGATTGCTCGTGAAGGTCGTCGTCGATATTTTAATGTTCAAGTCGAAGCCATGGATGATTACAACAAGGTGCTATTCATACTGGAAATTCCATCATCATGCATGTTCAGTCACCCATTACAGCAATTGCTAACCATTCATCTACTATCCAACTTCACAGGCTCTATTACCTAATGAATCTCTAGTGCTATTCGTGTGTTCTGTTACAGGACAAGGAGAAGAGCCAGACAACATGAAGGTATACCAATCTTTTGATATTTCTTGGTTTGACTTGGATCATCCATACAAAACAAATCTTCAAGACATCCATTCGTTACTATCGTATTGCTTTTATTGTAGAATAGCTCAATCAACATACTTGGTTTATTAGAGATTCTGGAAGTTTTTGTTGAGAAAAAACCTGCCTAATGATTCACTTCAAAAAGTACAGTTTGGAGTTTTTGGGCTTGGTGATTCTTCATATCCAAAGTCAGTATTTATTATGCAAATCCCTGAATGTCTTGAACTATATTTAAATGGATGTCTATTATTTTGTAGATTTAATTTCCCAGCAAAGAAACTGTATAAGCGTCTGATTCAACTTGGAGCTGCTGCCATTGTTCCTCGAGGAGATGGGGATGATCAGCATGATCTTGGGTAAATCGCATCAACGTGAATGTTACACTATATATGTTGTCTAAATCAGCTAATCTTGCGTTTTGATGTGTTGGGCTCTTTATATGCAATCTAGGCTTGATGGTGCACTGGATCCATGGCTTGATCAAGTCTGGAGTGTCATTTTAAACTTGTATCCAATACCAATTGGAAAAGAAATGATTTCAGCTGATGTACTTCCACCATCTTCATATGAAATCATGTTTTTAAACGCCAATGAGGTAATGGATACTAATGTTACCAAAGCGGGTGAGATTGATGAGCATTTTGCTACTGTGCGTTGTAACACTCGCATCACTTCTCAAGATCACTTTCAAGATGTGCGACACGTGGTATTCGACATCACCAACTCGGGGCTAATGTAAGTAAATCTATCATCTTGCATTTCAGTTTGGATTATGGAAACAAAAAATGATTGATTGTATAGTCATTTGACTCTATGGTTTTATAAATAGTTATAGGACGGGTGACGTCATGTCAATCTATCCCAAAAATCTGCCTTGTGACGTACAGCTTGCAATTGAATATCTTGGTTGGACAGCTATTGCAGATTTGCCATTGCGATTAATTCCCAATCGATCTGGTGTGTTGGATGTTTAATTTGAACGGATAAAGAATTGGGGTTGTTAATGTAGTATTGTTTTTGATAGATTTACGCCAATCAAAAGAACTAAAAGGAATCTTGACTATTCGTGAGCTTTTGGAATGCCATCTGGATATCTTTGGTCGACCACGACGATACTTTTTCGAATTGCTAGCGTTTTTTGCATCTAATGAACAGCATGTTGAAAAGCTACGCGAGTTTGCATCGGCAGCTGGCCAGGTATTTGATTCAAAACTAATCTAGTGGAATCCATCAAGAACATGTCTTGCCATGTTCACGTACTAATATTTTGTTTGGTTTATTATGACATTGACTATGCAGAATGATTTGTATGCATACTGTCATAGAGTTCGTCGCACAATCATGGAAGTATTAATGGATTTTACATCTGTTATCATTCCTGTTAAATATCTTTTTGATTTGATTCCACATCTTTCTCCACGATCGTTTTCGATTGCGTCATCATTGCCTGAAACTGTGCACTCTGAACAACCTGTTGAACTTCATTTGGCAGTGGGGATTGTCACATACCAAACACGATTAAAAGAGAAGCGACATGGCGTTTGTACAAAATGGATATCACAACTAAAGGAAAATGATAGTGTTCGGTTCAACATCTTACCTGGTTTATTTCGACTTCCCGTATCCATCGACACACCCATCATATGCATTGGTGTAGGCAAGTAGAATCGAGATGGATGGGATTGAAGCTGGTTTGTATTGACAGGTTGTATTGTTGTCGTGGTTATTAGGAACAGGGATTGCACCCATCCGATCACTTCTTTTTTCTCGTTTAGCTAAAGGAGCGACGGAGAACATTTTGTTTTTGGGAGTGAGAGGAAAACATACAGATTATCTGTTTGGTAATGAATGGGATGAGATGGTGGCTAATGGGACCTTGCAGCTGTTTACTGCATTTTCAAGAGATCAGGATCACAAAGTGTATATACAGCATCGAATTGTAGATCAAGGAGCTCTTTTATGGAACCTGATTGATCATCAAGACGCGGTTGTGTTTTTGTCGGGGTAAGAATAGCTTTCAGTGGATGGTATGAGTTGAAATCTGTAGCTCAACATGAGTTGATTGTAGGAATGCCAAACAGATGCCATCCGATGTAGCGGATGCTTTCCGACAGGTGTTTCGAACCCATGGTAAACTGAATCAAGCAGATGCAGACAGATATATGGTCGAGCTTGAGAAAACAAGACGATATCAGCAGGAATGCTGGGCATAAAGGAAACGATCCGGTATTATAGGGCAGTTTAGGACGTGATGCATATTAAACTTTTATCATCTCCAACCCACACAAGATAAATCAAAGTAATAAAGTGTGATTTCCAAGAGTTTACTACTATTCAATTGACTTAAACAAGAGCTTCATAGGCAACAGGGCTGATGGTAATGGGAGCATTGTCCTTGGAAGTGACATAGCGAGCACCACGGGGCTGAGCGGGAAGACGCTTCAAACAGACAACCTTTCCTTCGATTCTGGCTTCCTTCTTGAGCTGAGCGTTGCGTTTAACACGCTGCAGGAAATCGAGACGGCAGTTGGAGTGCTTAATGTGCTCAACACGGAGGTTGACACGTTTCTCGAGGTAGCGGTTACCAACAATCTTGTGGCAAATCACACCAACAGATGACTTTGTGACATTGTAAACGACACCAGTCTTTCCGTGGTAGTACTTGTGGGGCATACCCTTTTGAATAGCACCATTGGCCTTGATGTCAACAATGTCTCCGACTTTGTAGACCTTGAGGTAGGTCGAGATCTTGACGGGACCCTTGGTACGGAAGTCACGGGAGAAAAGGTGACGAGTACGAGCTCTGAGACCTGTTGATAATGAATAAAGAGATGGTTTAGATCAAGACAATTAAAAGAGTGAGACTTGGTCATTTGAAAAAGACCAGTTGAACAGTTGATTTCAAGAGCGAGTTCAACCAAGCTGCCACTCCAACGAATTGATGCTTTTCATCTTCAAACTGTAAATGGACTGGATAAAATGGACATCCGTAATCACAGGAGATGAACAAGATCGCTAGGATGATGGCTTGGCAGAAAACACTCGAGTGATGATTGATAAAAACCAATGAGCTGAAGGTGTCCTTGACATTAAAAGCAATGAACAGGACATGAAAATAAATGAATAGCCAAAGTAGCTTGTAGAGTAGTAGTAAATAGAGCATCCTTACCGAATGAGTGAGGCATGTGTGCGACTTGTGAGGGAAGAAAAAACAGCAAAAAAATCAGCGTCAAAACATGATTTTGCAAGGACGAAACGAAAAGTGAATTTGTTGGATTCTTTAGAAAAAAGCCAGATTGTTGATTAATAAAAAGATTTCTTAGTAAAACAAAGTGTTTTGATTAAAGAGACGGGATTTATTGAATAGAACGGAATGGCATTTTGTTGCAACAACAAATTTGGGTCCAGTCGCTATCAATGACTGTCCAAAGCCATGATTTGGCCAAACATGTTGACAGAGGTTCGACTTTTACTATGGCTGCGCCATAGTCACGTTACTTGTACGCGTCTTGCGAACACTGCAGCGAGTCAACTCTCGCCAACAGACTGCAACACCACACAATCATGTAAGCAATTTCCTAAAGGATTGGGTTAGAATCCGTCCAGTTTGTAAAGAATTCAATCTGAAATCAGTCCAAGTTTTGAGCAATTCCTTGCAGAATGTCCTGCGACTGTTTTGAGTTTGAAGCCAATTCTGCTTTTCGCAATTTATTTGGTCTGAAATTCGTTTTCTTTTTTCCTTACATTTTTCATAGCAAGTTTCTGTCATGCCACAGGTCAAGTGCTCAAAGACCTACAAGGTCCCTCGTCGTGCCTTTGGTGCAGAACGTCTTGATGCCGAACTCAAGCTTGCTGGAGAGTACGGTCTTAAGAACAAACATGAGATTTGGCGTGTGTCGTTTACCCTCTCCAACATTCGTCGTGCTGCTCGTGACCTTCTCAAGCTCGATGATAAGGATCCTCGTCGTCTGTTTGAAGGCAATGCCCTCATTCGTCGTCTGATTCGCACTGGCATTCTTGATGAGGAAAAGGCCAAGCTCGATTACGTTCTTGGTCTTAGGGTTGAGGATCTCCTTGAACGTCGTCTCCAGACTCAAGTGTTCAAACTTGGACTTGCCAAGTCCATCCATCACGCCCGTGTTCTCATTCGTCAGAGACACATCCGGTAAGACCTTGGATTGTGTCGCTTTATGAGCATTCTATGATCTCTGCTGTGGTCGTTGTGCATGAGCAATCATTGCTGAAATATCGGCAGATCATTCGTTTGGACTGTCTGAATCAAGGATGTGCATGTGATTGCAATGTCTGGACTGATCGAGTCTGCTGTTTTGAATGGCAATCTGACCATGTCCAAGAAAATAGTGCCATTCAATTTCTAGCATCTGGATTGATTTCCACAACATGAACCACCTACTTTCAATGCTCATCTGATCAACACCTTGAACATGTTTGAATTCAACTAAACTGACTTTTTATTTTTAGTGTTGGCAAGCAGATTGTCGATATCCCTAGCTTTATTGTCCGTCTTGACAGGTAAATCGTTTTGCTCAACTGGTTTATTTTTGCGCATGCACTAATGCATCATCTATTGTGATATCTAGCCAGAAGCACATTGACTTTGCTCTCACCTCACCATATGGTGGTGGTCGCCCAGGTCGCACCAAGAGGAAGCGTGCAAAGTCCGCCGAGGTGATTTTATTTTCAAAATAGTCTTGTACTTTTTTCTTCTACATTGGATATTCCATCACCACAATACTAATGTCTTGTTACAATTCTACTGTTTCAGGGTGCCGTTGAGGAAGAAGAAGAAGAATAAATTCAAAGAGCATTATTCTTTAAACCTAGCTATTAGTCTACTTTGTACTTTTGGATTAAATCTATACAACCTCTGAATGTAATGGTTTAAAAGTGCTTGCCAATTACATTGACACTAAAAAAATTAGCTTATATTTCCCAATCACTCATTTTAGAGTATCTTGGCTTGCTCTGCTCGCTGACAGTGTTTGCATAATCTGAGTATACATTGACAATTGATCCAACTTTGGATAAAACGGCATGATTGATACTGTAGATATGAGTTGAATAAATCACTCATGTATGGCCAATACTGCACTTTCCATCCACATTTACATCCTCTACCAACGATTCCAGTTTTCAAAAAACACAATTCCAGCACGACAGTTGAGCAAATCCAAACCAAATGACCATTTCAAACCTTGCCTCAAACTAGCAAAATATATTATTATCATGAACATCAACAACCAATTAGAACATCGTAAGCTATACTTGTATGCATACTGTATTACTGGTTTCAGTTATGCAATAAACGTTTCTAAACATGTAACCTATTGATTATATTGATATGGGATGGTCGTTTGATTCATTTGTAAAGTTCAAGCCAGATATGTTGGTACAGGCCATGCAGACACAAACAAGTTGTAAGTTGAATTCAGTTCAAGTCTGTTGAATGTGTATATAAACCATTACTAAACTATCTAATGGTATGAATCCATTTGGGTTTCAAGTGAATGGGTACAAAATCAACATCGAGATACGTATGCATCCTATTTAGGTCATAGAACACTCATGAACTACTTTGCAGTTGCCGAGAATGAGAGTCTTGGGAGACTACAGACTAGATTTCTTTCTGTAAGTTTATATTTTGGAACAATCCGTTATTCCTGTCTAGCTCACCTAACCATTGATCTGGAATTGTATATACTAGAATATTCTGCAGCCATGTGGGCCGCCTGTACAGAGGGAAGATGAATAAACCCCATTTCAATATTGGTCAATGTCTGCAGTCAAGCATGATAACAAAAGTGGGTTTGTATTTTATAGAAATAAAAAATGAACCAAATCACTCCAACATGGCGAAACTCTACAGTTGCTCGGTACATGAATATTGGGTTTAAAGACAAGAGGCTCTGGTACAGATTATACTTTTTGAATAGAGAACTTTGACAAGTTGAAAAGGGGCAGAAAGAATCCCCATTCAGTACCACAAATAACAGATCTAGAGAATAGAACATGCCTTCTTTTTCTTGATTACAAGTGGAGTCAAAACAGCACGAATGGCTTCGTCAAAAATGCTTTTGAGTCCTTTTTGAGTAAGTGCTGAACACTCGAGGTACTTTAATGCTCCAATCTCTTTCATCATTTGCGTACCTTGAGTATACGAAATAGGTGACTGACGACGTTCACGAAGCTTTTCAACTGTTTGGCGATCTTCGCGTAGATCGAGTTTGGTCCCAACAAGGATACATGCAGTAGATGGTGCATGATGACTTAACTCGGGATACCACTATTTGAATCATCAGGTGGAGCAATCAGTACCAAAACAGAACATAGTATACGGCTCAACAAATCATACCTTTGTCCTGATGTTTTCAAATGATGGAGGACTAACAAGCGAGAAACAGACCAAAAACACATCGGTTTGAGGATATGACAATGGTCGAAGACGATCATAATCTTCCTGACCAGCAGTATCCCATAAGCCCAAATTAATTGGCTTGCCATCAACCATGACATTCGCAGAGTAGTTGTCAAACCTATAATGCAAAATCGGTTAGATTTGAACTAAACTTTTGAAATTCAAAATACCCATTCATCTTACACAGTAGGAATATACTCTCCGGGAAATGCGTTGGTTGTATAGCTAATCAGCACTGATGTCACAGACAAATAAGATTAGTGTTGATAAAATGTTCAATCGCATTGTAACATGCCAAAACAAAAAGTGTCTTGCATTCCAGAATACGAATTGTAATCGCTACCTACAGCAAGTTTTACCAACGGCGCTGTCATGATATAGATTTAATGATGTGCATACATGATGGTTAAAAATCAAGATACATGATACATGTACAATGTCAATCTGAGGTCAACTTACCCATCGCCAACAACGACACATTTTATAGATTGCATAGCTTGCTATTGAAAGAAAAAACCCATCCCATTAAATAGCTGAATAAGCAAGACTGAAAATTCAACAGTAAAAGACAAGCTGATTTCATTATTCTCTAATTTACATTTTTGATAAGAGCTCAAGAGTAGAAGCAGTGCTAAATCAAAACAGCAAAGCGCAATTGAACAAGTGATGGTAAGGATCAAGTTGATATTCTTTTGATAAACATCGCATGTGGCTGCAAAATCAACACTTTGCAATGCAGAATCCTCAAACTTGAAGTCGAATCTGGAATTAAAAACGCCACAATAGCAGGCTTGAAGCCAACGCCTTGTAAATCGATGCATGAAATAATATGCAATTCTCACATTTGTCAGTGTCTGATATCCAACACACTTTGGTAGAAATATATGCATATAGTGCTTTGACAGCTTAAATACGATGGTCTGGGTGAGTTGAATGGTGATAAGCAGTGTGGATGAATCAATCGTAAAGATTTCCATGCGGGAACTCAAGCCATCAATCTGTCTAAATATTGAAATCACTGCAGCTTGAGCGTGATTATACTTTATACAGTTGGAATAGTATTGCTTATAAATACTAAATTCAATCGTATTACAAGGCTGTCGGGACTTGTTATTATTCTCGATTGCAATACACCAGTCTAGATATCAAGTTGCAAGATAGTACAATCACCCATTGTAGTACTTTTCTAATCGAATACTCATTTCAACCATGTGTAAAAAGTAAATCTTTGATATAAAAAACCTGCCATGTTTCTAAACACTGAAAAAAAGCATGCTCCGTACAGGGATCGAACCTGTGACCTTTGCGTTATTAGCACAACGCTCTACCGACTAAGCTAACGGAGCACATCAATTTCAAGACCACACCCGTATACCACCTTATGTGCCTCCTATTTTACAATCCCACAACTACTAACCGATAACCATGTCTCCTATTTGTGTGACTCAATCTCTTTCCTATAAACAAGATTGCTTTTCCCTTGATGTTAACATCTATCGTGTTAATAACTATAACATTAACACAAATAAAAACCTTTAAAACTCACTTTGTCACAGTTTCTCGTCAGGCCTCGCCCATTTCATAGGAAATCCTCTCGGTCCGCAATACTTAACACGATCAATCAAGTACTCTTTCCTTGGACAGTATTAAGGACTTGACTACAGAAAAAGAAGGGTCCGACGAGAGAGTACTTGATTTATTTCGCACATTTCGCTGCAAATTTGCGAAGTTTACATATAAAAATTCGCTTAATAATATGCTAAATAATACATATATCATACTATATTTCGACAGTCCGAGGTAAAAACAATATCAACAACGACCACATTTACGGAATGCGTGCAAAAACTACGCACATATATCGTTTCTTTAAAAACGAGACGAGTATCCTATTCCAGATCTCCATCCTTTGGAAACCGTCTCCTGCAATTATAATAAATTCATATGTAACCCAACATTTCTCCTTTCAATCCATCTGCATATGTAAGTTTTCTACCATTGAATAACTCAAATCACCAAATTCCACCTCACTGCCAATTTTCCAAGCAGATACTCGCCCTGATTGTCTGATCGCTCAGTCTGGTCCGCGAATCAGTAATTAAATGCCTTGCCTTTGAAAAGGCGTGCTCCGAGGACGCAGATGTGGCTGGAATTGCTAGATAATCCCTTGCCATTTTTGCAAGCAAGGGGAAATCCGATTCACGACGTTTCCACCACTCCAATGGGTCTTGCCTAGGATCCACCACTGGGATATTCAAATATTCTTCGAGTTGCAAAGTAGGAGTCAACTTTTTCTTTTTAAACCCCTACTTGCTGGAGTAGGTGCATTCGAATTCTAATGAAATGAGCGTGACAAAGTTTAAATACAAGTAATTACGCATGTGATTATCTGACAAGTCCAATGCCGTTTTGAATACCTCTAATTGCATCAAGCCACTTTGATTGTGGTACTCGGCATAGACGCTTTGGATTTGCCTTTTTGATTTTTTCTTTCTGAAAAGCATTTTCTTGAACATTCTGATTTTCGTCGTCGTAAAACTCAAGTTTGTGTCGAGGATCAAGTACCACAGCGATCACACAATGGTTACTGGAAACATTAAAATACTTGTCAAGCCTCATTTGGGATGCATTTGGGATGCATTTGCTGCGCCTTTCAAATTTCCAATGTATCAATTGCAAGCGATTCATTGGCAATTCTTCGACGACTTGCTGGAGTTCCAGAAATCAAAGCGTCTAATCATTGTCCATAATCATTGACGGCATTTTCACAATGGTCCAATAACACGTTGTACCATGGTATAACGTATGACAACGTTTGATACTTGTTGCTGCTGCATTCCATTGTGGCTTGTTTAAATGGTTGAAAGAAATACACTAATTCAGTCAAGTCGTCCCAATCTCTCGCTGACGGCACGTCAGGGATCTTCTTTTCCATGTACAATTGATCCAAGATTTGAACGAGTGGTTCTAATTAACAAATTTAAAGACAACATGTTATTGCAAATTTAACTGCAAGGTGGCATACATAAAGTGGTCTTGAAGTTCAGCTCTAGATCCTTGACGTACCTCGCATTTTCAAAGCTGTGACCAGCATATCGAATGTAGAATTCCATCTCGTGGAAACATCAAGGATTGGCTTTAAGATTCTCCCATTATCATTTTCAGTTGTTCCATCGATGCGGGGCAACATTGTAGCAATTTAATCCCTTCCCTCAGTGTCTCGATTGATGTCTTGATCTCTTGATGTGCATCTTGGGCGGCAAGATCAAGGACATGTGCAAAGCAACGATGATGACATTCGGGAGATTCCAAATAACCAGAATTGATGAGCTCTTGAATGAAAACCTCATTGTTGGACGCATTGTCAGTACAGATTCCTAAAATGAGCGATTTCCTATCACCGCATATGGGTTCCACAATCTGCTTGAATAATGCCGCAATGTTCTGGCCGCTGTGGCTTCATTAAATACAAGAAAGTCGACAAGAATGCATTTCAGTTTCCAATTTTTGTCAATAAAATGGGCAGTGACAGCCGTGTAAGCAACATTGGCAGGCGATGTCCATATGTCGGTCGTAAACGAGATCTTGGATGTGTTTTCTTTGATAAGAGCATAAACGTCAGCTTTTGCAATTTCAAAATCACGATTCACAGTTTGTGATATAGCATCGACGGACTTGAAAATGATATGCTTGTTGATGTACAACATCATTTGTTGAAAATAGGGATTCTCAACAACCAGAAACGATTGCTGGTCACCAACAATCCACCGCTGTAGCTTGTTTTGAAATTCTGTTTGGGTAAACCCTGTCAGTACAAGAAAATAGATTAACATCAAAAAATACAATATTAATATTCCAGACAGCAGAAATAATGACGCATCATACGAGTATGCAATGATTACCCTTTTCAAAGCAGTCTTGAATCTTACTTTGTAGTTTTGTACCCTTTAAACTTATACTTGTGGAGTCTTTGGAATACCGATCCATTGCATCTGATAGAGCGTCGCGGTGTTTGGTCACCAAATGGGCAACAAGATTGAAGTTGGTTCTTGAATTTGTCTTGACGAGCTGCTGACAAACTTTACAGGGAATTCTCGCCTTGTCAAGGTCATTTATATCATCAGGTTTGTCAAAAAACTGCCACACCAAACTGGCCTTTGAGACTTTAGACAAACGTGTGGTTGTTAAAGGAATAGAGCATGGGATTGAGGGTAAGGACGACGATGCATGGTCATGAGTGTCATTGAGCCTCCTTTTCCTTTTGCTTGCATCCTCGTGTCGATCGATTGACGTTGACGACAGCTCATACACACCCATAGAGGAAGTTACATTATGTGATAGCGTGGTAGTTTAAGGCAATCTCGGGAACAAAAAGCGAAAAAAATAATTATTTTGCAATCCAAAATCCATTCCATTTCGCATATTTTGCATTTTTTGCGAAACACTAACTGCCAAACATATTCGTGTCTGAAAGTTGATTGTGAGTTGGTGGTTTGCAAGAATTGAACACAACTGACATGGTATTGGATACAGCAACCTGATTATAGTCCAGTCGCATGGTGTGATACAGTGGTTCGTGCAATACAACATCCAGATATTTGTAGTGTTGAACACGACGAATCTGTTGCTCGTGTAGCATCATATCAATTGGTAATTCGGAATCAAAGTGCTGTGACCACGGAAACTGAGTATGTTGCATTTGACTACACCAAAACTTGTTTGACATTGTTCCATTCATTGTGCAAGTACACCAGATGCCAGTTGGAGTGATTGATCAGAATCGGCAAATATCACGATATTGTCGGCATACATGAACCCTCACATTGGTGGTGATTTACACGATACTCATGCAATGACAATCGGTTGATATCATCGTGTGTGTCATTGATGAACATGTTGAACAACAATCTGACAGTGGACATCACAGCCGGACTCCATGCTCAAATGGAAATGGATCAGAAACCAATGATTCAGTCTGAGCACAAGCTGATGAGTATGTGTACAGCGCTGTTAGCAAGACCAGTGTACGTGGTGTCAATCACATATGCTGCAGTTATCATATCAAGGCACCAACCATGACAGTGTTGAGTGCATTTTGAATATCAATCAACACAACAATAATATTGAGCTGCACGCACTGCTGTCATTGAACGATATCGACTAATGAACCAACCTGCACAACACATTTGTTTGGTTTGAAATCAACCATGCTTAGTGGTGACGAGTTTGTTGAGCACCACGATCCATCAATGTGTGTTTGCAAGACCTTGCATACCAGTTTATGTCACACATCAATCAGCATAATACCGTGTTTGTCGTTTGTATCAATGTGATCACCGTTATTCTTGTCAATATATGCAGTCAGTACAATCGATACAGTGTATGCAGACTGCCATCAGGTCGCATAATGGCCGTCAACATATTGACTGAACTGTGTAGCAGGACACGATCAAATGGATTGGGTGGTTCATCAGGTGTATCATCCGATGTATATAATGCGACTCGGTAGAATGTGACCAATATCTTGTTGTTTTCCAGGTGTTTGGTGTGGACCATCTGCTGTATTGCATCAACTAGTCGATTTCAAGATATATCCGAGTCGAGATCAGTTGCATCGTCACGAATTGGAAACAGTTTGTATGGTGGAAGTGGATCACGTATATGCCAGTACTGCCATTACTGCAAGTCAAGTAAATGTCCACTATCGTCCATAGCAAGATGCAAGTAGTGATTACTCGGTATGTCAAAAATAATATCACTGCTGTACTGAATGATACGATTAGCATCACATCACATCGTATAGTGGAATGGAATGGAGTGATGGTTGTTGTGTGTTGCACCACCAGACATGACTCAAGCTGCTGCAAATGTCATATCAAAACGATCATCAATATTGTCTGGTCAAATGTGTCAGCAAACTTGATCCAGTTCATATGTTCATTGGCGCATTCAAGTCGCTGGATTGTTGCATTGTGTTTGTCACAGAATGCACCTAGTTGGCTGCGACAGAGTTCATTGTGATTGTCACGGATACTTGCTGTAATGTACATCGATATTCCAGTGTTACCATGTCAAATCATCCGTTTGGTTGAACGATACAGTCGACGTTTATATTCCCGAGCAGTATGTGCATGTGCGTGCAGTTGACAGTCATTCACTGTTGCATTGGCAGCATCCAATAACTGAATGCATAGCTCGTGTGTGTCCGTGTATGATCCATCAAACGCTGCATATATTCCACCAATCTAACACTACAATCCGATCATAGGCATATATGCAGAGTTGTGATATGTTAGTTGAATGAGTGGAATGGACTGAATGAGTTGGTGTATGTGTATTAGTGCGGATGCAAGTGTAAATGACACATCGTCAACAACCGCAATGTTCATGTCTACACAAGCAGATTCTACAAGTGTTTGTTTAGTCTCGTCACACACAAAGTGATTGATAGAGTGTCAATGACATGCAGTCCTGCTCACTCGAGTGATGTTACTGTCGGAGTATTGCCAACATACTGCATGACAGTCAAACGCAGTATTCATGCGTGTATGATGCGTTGTAATGACGCATATTCAGTGTTCCAGTTTGCAAACAGTAGCACGGATGAGTGATCGTCAAACGGAATAACTGCTGACAGGACATGTTGAATGGCAGACAAGACATTTCGCGTTTGATAGTCGCATGCAGCCGAGTGTCCAATGTACACAGCCAACAGTTCAAACACAGTCAGGTGTAAAGTTTGGAATGTTTGCGACAATTATGGTGCCATAAACAGTCATTTTGCAAATCCAAACCATTTGTCAATACCGAATGGTGTCTCGATGTTCGGGAACAGTTGCCGAGTGTTGCAATACATTGAAACCACACACTGTGTGCTTGAAACTGTCCGTTGCAATGCAAGTCTCGGATAATCCACATAGTCGGTTTGGCTGAATATATGTCAAAGTAGTGAGTGTTTGCTGGCAATGTTTGACATATTGACTGACAATATTTGACAACAATTAGGAAGTGGTGGAACACACAGTGAGGATGTCGTTGGATGCCTGCATTGACAGTTTTTGTGTATGTCAGTTGTTGTACGGATGATTGGTGACAGAGTTGATGGATAGTGTGTGCGGAACATGACTCTGGCACAGTAATGCGGACTCGTGCACCGAGTTGAGTTGTCCAGCAATCGATTTTGGAAATGTGTTTGATGTGATGGTTTGAGATGAATGCCAAATGACCACGAATGTTACCCATTGTCATGACAGTTGATTGTTGATTCAAAACGTTGTTTGTTTGGTATTAATGGTTAGAGTGTCACTCATTGACCTGTCAGATCAGCAAGTGTTATTTTGGTGAGTTTCGTGTTTATTGTAGTCACATCAACATCAGCAGGTTGGACTACGGATTTGCTTGACAGAGTTGCAGATCCAGTTGGATTGATAGGCGAGCAACTGTGCAAACAACTGTGCGAGTTGCAGGATGTTTGAGATCCAACAAAACACTACTTGCACACAAGTTCATGAATGCAGATTGTCAGACTTGACCATCAACTCACAGTATAAATTGCATGTACAACAGTTTACACGCTTACCCATCAACAATAAACCCACATAACCAGCAAACCGTCAACGAACAGCCAGCTCAGTGGTCGGATTGATGTTTTTTGTTGGAATTTCTGGATCAAATTTGACCTGATTTGTACCGAGTTGTGTCATGACTACAAGTTTGACAGCAATAGATTGATCTACTAATAATCTGATTGTGTTGTTGATTGTATGGATGTTGGTAATCCGTTGCAGATTGATACGGAATGTGACCAGAATATCACAAAGTTTATTGAGTGTGCACATTGCATTCGATGCAAAACGCAATAAACAAATGCGAGTTGCAGCATTCATTCAAGGTTTGACACCAGTCGATACAGCATTGACCGCAATGGTATTTATGTCAACAATTGCACAATTACGGAATAAGTCGATTGTTGCTTGGCATTCCGTATCGACAGTCTGCATGTGTGTACAACGTGCTGTTGTCGCATATGAACAACTTGGATTGACTTTGTGGACAAAACACAGTCACTGTAGCGATGGTGTTTACAGTCATGGAAATGGTTTCGAATACCACAACTGGTATAACAACTGCATGTGTTGGTGAGCAACCAGAGTCCAGTTTGACCAAGATCTGTCCCAGTAATGATTGAATGACATTGTCGTGTTTGGTCATCATGACAACAATGTCATTGGTTTGACTCTGCAACTGACCAAATGTGCTAATAACAGCGTTTTCAATTGAGTTCATATTACTTGTGAGGATCGTGAACATATGATGGCATATTGATGGTTGTCATTGTTGTCAAGTGTGTTTACAGTTGATTGAAGATGTGATGGAATGAATCAATATTCGATTGTGTTGTTTATTAACAAGTGAGTGAGTGTGTTTATAAAATGGAAGAAACCAAGAAAGTCATGTGAATTCCAGTTCAAACGTCATTGTTGATGGTTTTTGATTGTTAAACTATTCAGAAATGTCTCACATTCACACACTACTAATGTCTCACACAATGCAAGTCAACACTCTCACACTAGTAATGTCTCACATTAATGAGACATTAATTCTGGTGTAAATTTGACTAATTTCCAAATATTTAAATCGTGTGAATTGTCTTGAAATATCCCAAAATTTTGTTATTTTGACTCGATTAAAAAGTCGATTTTTGTTTTACAATTTGACAAATAAATTGCTTTTTTACTCTTTTTTCTTTTCATAGAATGCCAAAACGATACCTCAATGTTGAATATGGCACACTTACTGCTGAAATCGATGTGACTGACTTTGAAAACCTGAGTGAAGTTCAGGATGCTATCAAGTCTGAGTATGGTCCTGCTATGGCTGACATTGGTGCTCCTCAACTCCAACTATACACTGACACCAACAAGGACCAACTAATCAACACTTGGGCTTTACTCGACTCTCTTCCTCAAAAATACTTTACTCAAGATGGTTCTTGCATTGTCATTGGTGTTTCCCCTCCATCTTCAAGACAGCCTACTCAAACTGACCTTTTTGAAGCAGGTTATACTTCCTTATCAACAGCAAACGACGAAGACTTCTTTCGCAAAAAGCAACGTACTGAAACCAGTGTTTTGTTCTCGCCCTGTCAAATCCTCTTCTACAACAACGTTTGCAAAGCTACTGAAAATGATGGATGGATTTTATTTGGACAAGATATTCCGTCCACCTCTTTGAATAAGCTATACATTCGGGACAGTTATAAATCCATTGCATCACGCATCAATCCTGGCATCAAAAGAGCTATTATCACAGGAACTCCTGGCATTGGCAAGTCTTTATTTCTCATCTACTTATTGTGGAAGCTTGTCAAGGAAGGCAAACGTGTGCTATTCATTTATCATCCTAGCACTATCTACTACGATGGACAAGGCGGTGTGTTTTACCCTAATTTTCTACCTTCCAACAACAACGTAAACTTCTGGGCATCTGACTTGTGGTGTTTGTTTGACGCCAAAGGCAAGAACGCAGCGGATCTAAGTGCACTTCCCTATGAAGACTGCTCATTTGTCTTGTCAACCTCCCCACGACGAGAAATGGTCAATGACTTCAAAAAATTTCCTCATCTTCGGATCTTTTACATGCCGATATGGACTGAAATGGAATTGGAAACTATCACCCCCTGTTTTGCTACTGTTATTGACTGGCGTGATCGCTTCAAAATTCTTGGTGGAATACCTCGACATGTTTTGGAAGATAAGCAGTATGATCCAACAAAGCTACTTCAAGCAGCATGTAGGCAATGCGACCTCGATGATTGCATCAAGATAATTGGCTTGAACTCGACTATTACAGACAAGTCCCAAGTTGTCCATTCTTTGGTTCACATGACATCTGTTGACCCATTCACAGAACCATCTGTTACCTTTGCGTCTCAAACAGCCTTGGATATCATTGTTCAAATCAAAGGAACAGAAGCGAAACGCAAGATGGCGGAACTCTTGGCATCGTGTGAAGGAAGCCCTCTTACTGCTGCACTGTGTGGATATATTTTTGAACCGTATGCTTTTGAAATGCTGGAGAACGGAGATGTTTGACAGCCACAAGTTGGTGCATGGAAATGAGAAATCCAAGCCTGAAGAAACGACTCTTACCATTCCATCTTCAGTGAAACTAGTTGTTGATAGAGTTTTACTAGGTCAGACTCAAGATCAGCTATATGTGCCAAAAACTAAAAACTATGCAGCAATTGATGCTTGGATTCCTGGAATTGGTGCATTTCAAATGACTGTTGGCAAGAAACATGATATCAAAGGCGGTGCCGAAGAAGATTTAGAGATGCTTGGAGATGGTGCCGAGAAGTTGTATTGGTTACTTCCTCCACTGTATTACCACTCTTTTACCAAGAAAACACCTCAAGATATCGACCAATACGCTGTAAAAATTCTTTATCCTACTGTAGAAAATTAAATTAAATATTGCCATTTTATTAACAGATTCCTATAATTATTGTGCTCAATAATGCACCAGCAATTCTATTTCCTGACACGAGTGAACAATTCCCTTAAGATGAGATTTGAAAACGATTTACAATAATATGTCCAGGACCTCAAGGCAACAGTTGAAGTTCTTATGAAAGCTTGAAACAATATACAAACTCTTCTGTTTACATGTCGGGGGACTTTTCAATATATTGACCAGGCACAAAACCAAGTAATTACAATTGTAATGTCTATACAACTCATTGCATGGATAAGACAAGTTGCTACTCTCAGTGACACTGCTCTGGAAGAAGAACTCGAACTATTCAACAACACTCTATCAATGCATTTGCAAGAGTCATTGAATGTATTCGTTGTTTGAATGTTGATTCTCATACATTCAGAAGTGGAAGTTATGAAGCTTATTTCCACGCAGACACGATCAATGTATTACTTTTTATTGGATAGGCTGTATCATTTGTCATCAATTCAGACACACTTGTCAGTCCTGTTCCGTATACAATGAGTCACATATGGACACATATGGACACCAATGCAACAATCAAGAATCAATTGTCATTTACAAGTCCGAGTTGCCAACCAACAATCGTACTAATGGACCAACGGACCAATGCCAAATCACCTGCACATCAGACAGTTTATTGGACATGACTTGATTGTTCTTGAAAACTGTTTGAAAACTGCTTGATGACTCGAGTAATCCAATCACACATTGCTGGCAATTAAATGTAACTATACAATGTGTCATGTATACATTGGATACCATCAGTTTATCAGTGACTATCTGGTGTTTATTTATTCAGAATTACCTTGGACTGTCAGAATTTTCGGAGCTTCGTGATTTGTATAAATGTAGTAAAGTATAAAGTAGAATATAATCTGTAACTGTTAGTAGTTATCAGAAGAGAACAAATCAAAAGTGTAATGGAAGTTTCACTTTAATCCAAGATCAGCAGACTTGGTCTTTTCAAGTATAGTAAAAAGGTGTGATAAAGTAATTAGAAAGTTGAAATAGTTTGAATAGTTGTTTATTGATAAGATTAAGCATTCTAGCTTTTATAGTAGTTGATTGTCTTGTGATACGAACAAGTAACACATTTGATAATTAGTGGTTGTAAACGAAAAGTAGTTGAGCCAATGGGATTGATTCCTGTAGTTGACTATATCTACATAATGACACCATTTACCCGTTACTTGGAACATGAATCTCCAGAAATGAGGATAATGGAGTTGGGGCATATGGATTAGTGGTGATGAAGGGTTTAATTTGGAGATTCAAAGTGTGCGTTATTAGAATTAGCTTTGTCACAGATTACCACTTAGGAGTATCCGTCTGAATATTCTAATAATGATGCCTCACTCTTCTCATTGAAAGAAAGTTTTGAAAGCATCACTTCAAAATGGAAAACCGAATCAAAGCCTGCCACAACTCTATGATATTACCTATGCCTTTCTACTGTCTCGTGTTCTGTTTCTCAAATATCTCAAGGAAAAATATCCTAACATAACTCCAGCACAGTTTCTCATTCACCAATTGTTCAACTCAAGAGCCATCAGACTATGCTTTCTGAAACTGAAGCTATTGTCTTTGGACAAGTTGAACGACATACATTGCAGCTATATTGACGATGATTTGCGCTGCCTCTTTTGTTTTGATCAAGCTCATGTGTTGGCCGAACATCTTGGAAGCACGATTATCTCGTCAATGGAGGGAAATCACATCCAACAAAACGGAGATGTGAATGAAGATTCAAAAAGAGGAACACTCTCAGTCTTGCTGTATGTTATACAAAATAAGGAGTTTGCCAAAAAGGTTATTTTTGCTGGAACATCATCAAAACTACGCAACATTGACAACTTTAAATCATTTGGAACGAAA